TGTATCACATATACGATTCGACTCTCTTGCATATAAGATATAAGTCTAGACTATCAGGTTAGTAGGTACCCAGTTAGTTCCAGTTACCTCCCCTCTCGTTCTTGCCTGCTACATTCGCTTTCTTCATATGCCTTTTTGAAAAACCGCGCCTCTGCTGGTAATCTCACATAACCCCCTCATTCGTATATTTATATAAACCATCTCCCTTCGTCTGTATTGATTCCTCGTCCAGGGACTGGCTGCCTCGCAAACGGAGGCTGGGTGTACTGTGATTGGATGTCACTTTTTTAGCAGGGGCCCTTCTGGGGAAATCTGAGTGTCAAGAACCAATTGTATGCTGCCCAGAGCCTCTCCCCGCCCCTACTGCAAGCTAGCGGCTGCACGAACGAATCGATCGACATTATTACTACCTCTCCATTAATGCCAAATGCGCATTTTGGCCACGGATAGTCTACTCGACTTTGCAAACTGCAACTGCAACTGCATCTGCATCTGCATCTGTACCAAGGCGGCTGAAAATAATGCTTGGGAAGGAACTCTCGGATGTACGAGACAGTAAGAGCAGGCAGGAACGGCTACCAAAGAAAGATACTGTAGCACTTACCTAGCTGGGTAGGCACCCAACACATTACCTATTATTATGGATCGTTCCTGCTCCAATCGTAAAATCCACTTACAGCTAACCATCTCAGACATTCAAAAATCCGTCTTTCTTTGTCTTTCAATATCATCCGCCTGACATAAAGTTCCGCTTAGACAAGGGATGTCTTTTAGTTTCTTGTACAGTACCTGTGCTGACCTACGTTAGCAGCTCTGCTTTTGTTTCTCTTCCCCAGGCAGTTCGGCGGTCAAGTCGCATGTACTCCGTACTGTACGTATTAATTACCTCGTGGCGTGCGGCCCTTCACCACACAAGGGCAGCTGGGGTTTATTATCACACAATTCAATACGATTCGCAGGGAACTCTCGCTTGACTCTTTAGTGTTGAAGGATATGGCATTCACTGACTAGGATGACAGGAAATATCGCAAGAAACAGCCCTTCTTTGTTCCACTTTCGAATCTTGGCCACAGCTGCTTCTTACCTAGGTGCTAATTAGCTGCTGCACGCTTTTCGTTGTTGCTACTCAGGACATACAATACTACAGTGGATGCCCGTCCAATGCCAACGCTCATGGGTACCCTTTCAAACTCAGCCCGCCTGCCAAGACCGTTGATGTGGAGTCTTACTCTGCCACTCGCACGGTGGCGATACTTAAGCGAGGGGGAGCTTGGGAACGGAACAGCAGCATCAAGCCCTGCTTGCTTTCGAAACATGGATGTCTCTTACTTTGCTCCGGGCATCGGAACTATAACAGCACATCCATTGTTACTATTGGACCAGTCATCAAAGATCGCAGCGCTCGACACATGAATACCTACCTACTGTAGCTTCTTCCAAGCAGCCATTCATCGTTTCTGTCAAACTCGGTCTTTCCTCGTGTAAGGAGATTGTACATGTGCTCATTTTAGTGCCACAACCTTTAGTCGCAGGGCCGTTGCCATTGGTCTTGAAACGGCTCTTGAGCTGTCAACAAGCGGCTTCCACGCGGCTCGGATGGCCACCCCTGGTTTAGTCCACCTATTCCCGTATCCATCTACGACCCTTCCCCGAAGGCTTGATCCAGTCGTCGTGCAATCAACTCGACTCAATTGCTCAAGCTCACCAATAGGTCTCATTGTTTGCTAAGCACATCGAGTGCTCTGGCCACGGTTCAGCGCCAATTTCAAGTGCGATCTGGTGTGTGGCAAAGTATAGTTCCGTTCCATGCTACTTGAACAAGGAAGCTTGCAGAGGTCAAAATCTTCAACTTGAAAGTCGACATTCGGTTGTTCATTTTACATCAAAGCGCTGTAGCAGCACAGTGCGGCTTTTGACAAGCGCTTGCTGTCGTTGGTGTTGTGCTTGTACAGTAGCAAGCAAGTTGCAAGCTAAAGCAACAGTTGCTGAGCTGCTGGGCACCGGTGAGAAGGACTGCCATCTCCAAACCTACCTATACATCAAACCGATGGCCTCTCCCGCTACAGTACAATGCCACCAATGCTGAACCGCAGGGATAATGCCAAGTGCTTTTGATTTTATGAGTATTATGATGAACAGCGCCTTGTGTTTCAGGCAGAGCTGGCAGAGGTGATCACATTTAATTGCCCAGAATGCAACAACACTTGTGCCTCACTTGACAGACTTAAGACGCGAGCAACCTCGCATGCCCAGGAGACTTTATGTTTGTCATTCATACATATCCAGGCACATGAGAAGTGATATTCTTTTCGTCTGTACAGAGTACAGTACATGTTTTCCCGAATCATTCGGCAAGAGAATCGATATCGAGTGAAGATTATCAGGATGATATTGAATCGTTCGCGGATAGCGGTATCCAGGCTCAGGGGTTATTAGTGGTGGGTCAAAGACACGGTCGAGTCAGCCATCAACGTCATTTTGGAGCTGCGGCAAGTCGATTTCCAATTCGCAGACAAGGATACCCCTTCACTCGTTTGGGTAGACAATTTTCGAAATCTCATGATTTCGCAAATCACATCGAAGCTTGGCAATTGCTCGTGTCGTCTCTGCTTGAATAAAGGGCCCTTGTCACCTTGCATGTTGGTCATGTAGGGGACTTGCGATCATTCACGCACGGCTCGATGGTACAAAATGTCGAGTGTCTGTACTGTTTTCATCTCTTTTGGATACTGTGCAGACGATGTGATTTGTTCCATCCTTTCAGGATTGGTGGCTTCTGGCCCACGTGAGTTGTTTCGAAGCCCATCCACAGCTCAAGCACATGCACGACTAAACTTCGACGGTTGGGATCGACAATCATTAGAGCCAAGTCTATTTTACGAACCGACAGGATATGAGAGGGCAGCTCTGAAGAATCAATCACAATGGAAGAAGACGGATAATTCGACAACGACTCAACGATAGGCTGGTAGGTATCAGAACGGATATCAAAAGCCACTCTGCTTGTCAGACTGAGCAGACAAGCCGGCGGCATCGAAGTCTCTGATCGATAAGCAGAAACCGGGCTGCTTCTCTTTAACCATAGGCCGTTGACACGAGATATCTAGACACTCAGAGCCCTGCAAGCTGGCGCTCGTCACGAGTATTGATTTCAATATTTCCAAATGAGGCTCGCCCAGACGGCATTTTCACCAGTAATCACTATCATAAACGAACATACGAACCGCGAGACACAAGCACATCCTGGAGCTTCATACTGGTCCCGTTGTAACCGCCACTGGGTTGACCCGAGTGACATTCGCTTGTAGGACCACAGCTCGCATTTCAACGATACATACATACAGACAGTACTCTCGGTTTATCTCCACTTGACAGAGGACCTCTCCCTGCTTTGAGTGGTTCTACATTCTCAGCCTGCTCTACGATTATTACAGTTTGAGGGGCGGTAAAGGGATAGAAGGTACTCTGGTTTGTCCTTGGGCTTGGGCTTGTTCTGTTTGCCCCGAACTTCTGGTATGCTGAAACCAACGGTCCATGAAATGGCGCGAGATCATCGCTCAAAATCTCATTAACAACCAGGGTCTGGTCAATATTTACAGACTTTCCCATATCGAGTTGCTGATCAATAACCACGCTTGCACGAACTCAAGTAGAGACGCATGGGGTCTTGCTAGTCCAGGGCAAAACTCGGGCAAGGACAACAAAAAAAGCCAACAGAAAAGAAATTGACGCCGAGAGCTCGTTCTCCTCTTCGTTGCCCCTCCCTAGCCAGAAAACCCCCGACAAGCTGCTCCACTCGTTGACACCGTACAGGACGGCGCAAGCATGTACGGTAAGAGTACAGTGGGGGCTTTCTAGGATTGGACCCTCGAAAAAGGACCCTGAAAATGCTGTCATTTTCTACCTCGGGCGGTCTAGCTGATACCAATCAGTACTAGCTGATCTTCTAGACGACACCCTTGTTTCTCTCGCCCAAAGTTCCAGGGCTGTTGCAAACTGAGCAACTACTCCGCCCCTCCGCTTTTCTGTCGGTCTTGAAGACAGACAACAGGAAATACAAACTATTGATCTATTTAAGTTCGATCTCGGTATTGGCGATGTGGCGGTCCCTCCTGATTCATGCTTGCGTGCTAGGGAACCCCCCATCTCCATCGCAATGCGTGAGAGGCGTCGCTTGTGCGAGGCAGTAAAACAGCCCCGAAATAAGTCTTTTCCGAAAGACTGTCTGCACCTGCGTCAATTAGATCAAATCTGTATTAAAGTAGCGTTGTAAACATGCTGCTCAACGCCATTTCTCCTCAGCCGAGTCGTACAAAGCATACTCTCCATGTCGCGAAGGAACGAGTAAGAGTAACTTGCTTTGCCATCGTGATACAGTACGGAGCTGGCTTGGCGGTTGCTGTTTAATTCTGTCTAACTCGTGATCATTTCGGAAATCGGCACAAGGCACTGATAGTCGCTGAGTGATGTTCGTGATTGGGCTATGTTATATTGGGCTGCGATGTTCTTCATCTGACAGCACCCGATGTAATGATATAGGGTAAGCAATGATGCATCTCAAAAGAGACTTTGTAGGTACTCAACTTTCAGGATCATATCTTCCAAACATTCATAGTGATCGCCTTTGTCTCTCAATGTTCCCTCTCTCAGCGGTGTTTCGATGAATCAGTCATCTCAAATGAATGTAGCTGGGACCGAAATATACACTCGTCATCATATGTTCGAAACGAACGCAAAAATACTGACATGCAAACGGTGTTCTCAGACGTGGCCACTTTTTCAGCTTCATAGTCACACTCAAATGGTTCATGCCCAAGAATATGTTACAATTGATTTCGCTGCCTACACGAACGAGGGTATCTGATGCTATTCCTTTAACCCAGACAAATATCAACAAGAACAAAACCAAACTTCCAAAGCCACCCATAGCCACATCATGTGTTGCTGGTCCATTTTCCGTCATAGAACATTCCATAATCCCTCTCTTCTCTTGGAATCGTTTATCGTCTGGGCAGATTGTTCCGCCCAAAGTTGCCACTGAAAGCAGGGCCTGCTGAAGAGTTCCATCCCTGTGTCACGCTGTTCTTGACAATGAGAGCCGCAGCAGCTGTAGCTGCTTGCCTCTCTTTCTGACGATGCCGATCCCTGAGATAGGGCGCGGCTTCTGGTCGCATACGGAGGATACGCAGAATCATATCGTCACTCGGATCCGCTTGTGCCTCGCGTCTCTTCGCCTCCTTCGCCTTACGCATGGTGCCCAGGTTACGGCTCATCATGATACTCTTTCCCCGCCTGATCGTGCCCATGCTTGCAAACGAACCTGCACCACCAAGCGATGCACCCAGCGCTGCCGGAGCTGATAAACGGTTATTCTGCGAGTTCTGCTGCTGGAGAGCTAGACGTGCCCGCTCTGTTGTTGCAGCTGCCATCCTTTCCGATTCTCGGATCAGACTATTAGTGTCCTCAAAGTAGAAGAAGTTCAGCGAGGCAAGCTCGTGCCACTTAGGCGACTTGAGTGTTTCAGCTGGAACACCTAGCTGCTCTCCTGACTCATCTCTGGCATTGAAGAATTGGAACAGCAAGTCCAACCAATAATAGACAATGTCGAGCTCCTTTCGTGACAGGGGCCGCTGCTGGGAAGGCTTTTCTGACAGAGGTGGTACTAAGAGGTTCTCAATAACCATTAAAACCTCTTTCCAGAGACGTGCCATGACGGCATCCATTGTGGCCTTCGTCAATGTTTGTTTCATAATAGCAAAATTCTCATCGAAGTAAGAGAATAGCGGCGCCAGTGCCGCTTCGATTTGAGCTGGAGTCACTGTAGGCACTGCTGATGCTCGCTTCTTCCAGAGACTTGTAACGGATGCACCGATGCCACCTGTTCCTAGCAAGTGTCTGAGAGTCTCCAAAGACAGAGTATGGTTGATTTGAGAAGTGAGCTACACACAAGTTAGCATATATGTTACGGTTGCGCTTGAGCATGTCATTCATTACCTTGTCCGTAACCTTTCGGACCATATCCCTCTCAGTACGTTTTAGATGCCGGAAGGCCTTTCCAAAATGAAACTGAATGTCATCCCTTTCACCCTCCATGCTGACTCTAATGAGCAATCGGCCCTGCGAATCCAGGTCCAGCCAAAATTCGCGAGGCAAATAGTCACTGAAATGGACAGGATCAAGCTTGAGCGATGTTCGCCCAACGTAATCGTGGTCACCAAAAGTGTCGTAGTCCCAGATGGTCGCAATCATGTTGACAGGACCCTGGACTGTTATGTCGAAGGTCTCGTCCCAACGCGGGTTCAGACTCTTGTGAATAATTCTTGTCTTGTGTAGTCGCTTTTGGTATTCATCGCCAAATACCACGTAAGGGTCACTGTAGCCGTTTGCGTCACACGCCTTAAGGTCCTCGGCCTCGACTACTTTGATCGTGAAGGTATACTTGTTCGGCCGCCTGGCCTTCTTCTTCGGCCCATCAATCTTCTCCAAAAGCAGGGCGCAAGCATCGGGGTCCATAGCCCGCTCCAACTTGTCCAGCTCCTGTATGGCATATTCGATATTGTTGAGTTTGACAAAGGACTGCCCGAGTTAGTTACACCACTCAATAACCACGATATGTTTTCTCACCTCGGAGTAGAACTGGAATGGCTCAACACGGTCTTTGTTGTTCCAAGCGTCCTTTGCATACTTCATCCACTTTTCCTGAGTGCTTTGGTTCTGCGCTGCTAACTCTTCTGCAGAAGGGCGATCCATTTCCTTCACAAATTTCTGGTCAACAAGTTCACAATACTTGCCAATTCCTGTGGCAAACGCCTTTGAGAGGGATGTCATGAATCTAGCATGATGTTCGTCGTTACCCCAATTAAGGTTGAATATGGTGTCCAGAGTTTGGTTGAATAGCATGAACATGTCGATAATGGAAACACTGTGCCTTTCCGCGTCCCGTGGAATGTCCTCAGGATTTTCCGTGCGTACTTGGAACTGGTCCTGTTTGACAGCCTGCTCGACATAGTCCTCCACCCTATTCTCGGCGGCACGAACCCATCGCCATACAAAATCAACCAAAAGGTTCTCAATGTTGAAAGAGAAGGGGCGATCAGGCAGGGAATCGTTATGGATTCGACGAATCGCAATCAATTCTCTATACAGCTCGAAGCCATCTTGAATATCCAGCTCAGTACCAGTCTCCTGTGCCATTTCCAGAATGGACTCGATAATGGCGTGTGCATCTTCTTCAAATCGTGGGAATACCTCTTCAACTAAAATCTGGAAAGGGTTCACCCCCATGATCTCAGGATTTTTCTTATATCGCTTGTTGATTCTTTCGCAAAGCTTGATAACTGTTTTACCCAGCTTAACCACGTTGGCAAAATCCCACTCATTCCGATCGGTCGATATTTCCTTCTCCATGTACTGGCGGTATGTCTCTTGAGCCTGGTCATGAAGACGTTGACTTAGGTGCTCTGTGAATTGCTCGGCTGCCTCAGCTTTAGGGGAAAAGCATGGATCGCTAAAGATGTGGTGATCCAATATATATTGAACAACACCGATCTGGGGTGGTTTTGTGTCATAACACTGCTCCATCCGGTCGTAAAGGTCACGAAGCAGAGTCTCATGTAATGTTTGCAGGGTGTGTTGGTAGACGGCAAAATCATGTACCGTCCAACGGCTAGGATCAATCTCGGATAGGGGAGTACAGTAGTTTGATATGTGCGGAGGCTTCTTGGCCTCTGGCAACGGCGTCTTGATGAAATCAAAAACTGTGTCCAATTCTTCAGGGAGTAATTCTCGATCCAAATAGTTGCGTGATGCGACTTCGAGCAAAGTGATAAGTCGAGAGAATTGGGGTACCCTCCATCTCACACACAACTCAGTCAAAAGTTCCATGGATTGTTTTGATAGGGGCTGGTATTCAAGTTCAGAGTCGCTATTGATCTGGTCAAAGGTCATGGCATGCTTAACAATATACTTGAAGAACGCTCGGGAATCTGGAGGGACAAAGGTGTAAATATTCTCCTCGACTGCTCGAATACTGGAGTCTCCGATATCTAGTGACGCGAGGTTGATCGAAGGATCAAATCCCATCGAGCTATCAAACCCTGGGTTGCTGTAAGTCGACTGGGGCCGACTCGAGAAGCCTTTGTCGACAGTGCCGCTCGACGTCTTGGCAAGTTCTGGTTTGGCGGTCAAGATGTCAAGCATCATTTGCGATAGATGGGGTGACTCGGCTTTCTTCCATTCCAGAAAGGCGTCGTCAAGATCAAAGTCATTGCTTCCTAAAGCACCAGACATATCTGAGTTGAGCCTGTGCTGATATGATTTGAGGTCCTTGAGTGCAGCTTCTTCTGTCCAGACCCCTTTGTTCTCGTTGATCTCGGTCTGTGCCTCTGAGAGACTCAGCCCAAAGATCTTGACTACCTGTTGGACCAGAGGCATGTCCTTGACATCATAACTCAAAGGAACAACGACCTCAATAGTTGTGCCAGCTCCACTAGAGCCACCACCAACAAGATTCTGGTCGTTTGTAAGAAGCTTCTTTTCAAGAATACTCAGCTTGGACATGAGTTCGGACTTGTCCCGATCATGGCCTTGATCTCGTAGTATTGTTGCAATTAAACGGACAAACAAGGCGAGATGCCGGTCGGGGATAAGCTTCCAAGAATCATCGTCGGGTGCGGCTCCTTTCTGAGCTGCCTTGGTAGTAGATGTGTAAAACATAAGAATGAGTGGTTCAAGTTTCCTCTCTTTGTCAATGGTTTTACGGAAATTCCTTTCGGAGAAGGTCGTATAAGCTTCAGCAAAGCTGCGCTTGACAACAGGATCGTTATAACCCGGCAGGCGCTCGCTGCCCCTAAGTACGCCGCCACATCGTTCGAGCAAAGCGCTGGTGAAGTTATGAGGGAGCTTGAAACTCGACGAAGAACCAGAGGTAAATTCTTGGACCAGTGCGCCAACACTGGTGTGGGTTCGGACAGGCTGCTTCGGAGCTGGGACATATTGCTTTCGTTTGGCCTTGGGCTGTAACAGGTAGTGCAAGTAGGCTGATCGAAGGGCGAAACTGCGAGCCTCTTCATGTTCGACAACAATTGGCTGCGCCCTGGAAGCAGCGCGAGCTCTACCAAGATCCCTACTGCTGCCCATACGACGACCCGGGTTATATGAGCGTCGGGACGCTGCTGACATGTCGACGGTCGAGGGAGGAATAGATGGTAGCGACAGCGAAGTGGCGACGATGGGTGCAGGGACCTAGATAGTGAGGATAGAGATTATCCAGCAAGCGAGATGATACCGAGAATGGACTGTGTCTACGCACTCCAGACCATGACACTGGATATAGGACAGAACACAAGATGTGGACAGCAATGCTGATGCTGATGCTGATGCTGATGTCGTTTGTAGGTTTGAGGAGGGAGACAAGGGATAAAAGGAGCGATGACTTTGGAGCTCGGACAATGACGACGTAGAAAAAGCAAAAGATGTGTGAATGATTGATTTTCCAATGGAATGACAAAAGATATAGACTACCTGCCCTTGGTATTGTGGAACAGAAAATCCGAGTTTGTTTGTTTAGGCTGGGGGTTCGGTTGAGTTGGGTAGCGTAAGGTACCTAGTAGGTAGGTTATACGGAATTGCCAGTTGGAGGTGGTTTGGTTCCATCGAGAAACTGACGGTGAAGTGAATGGAAGGATGGAACTGGATGTCAGAGCAAGAGCCGCCCCCCCGGTCGCCTGTTTCCGTCTGATTGATTGACGGCGGATGGATCCGTGCAGCGCGCCAAAGGGCCAAAGAATCCAATGATGAAACAGAAACACAAGGTGAGGTCGGCGTGCACTGTAGGTACCTTCAGTAAAACAGATAAGCAGCCCGCACTTGATGTCGCGTAGCCCCCAGTAGGATGAGCTGTAAATGAATGACAGTGACGGTAATACAGCAGATGCTAGACAATTTGATCCTTGTCAAGTTGTGTGTAAATAAACCATCCATTAGTACCTGGGTACTAGTAGGTACTACCTGCCTTACTCTAAATCACCGCGACTTAGGTGAGGTACTAACTAGCCCTTTCGTTGTGCAGATATGGACCAGAGGTCTAATTTGGTGACCACCCACCTCAGCCCACTCAAGCTCGGGCGGGCAGCAGCCCAAAATAAAAGATCACAGCCCAAGGAACGGGGCGCAACGTCATCTAGGCTGAGGAACCTGATACGTCCTTGCACCGCTAATTCGTTAATGGTGTCGCCTGAGGACCCTGAGTAGCGCTAAGCTGACCCTGCATCCAATGAATTGGATGGGCACAGCCAATATGTACCTAATGTTTCTTGGGCGTTTCGCCTGTTTATGTGACAAGACATCTGGATCTGAGACACGGACTTGGGGATAGTTCTGTAAGTGATCTTATCCTCTGTGAATAAAGGATTATCCTTGTTTACTTGTGGAAGTAGCATAGGGGGATCACATGTAAAAGCAAACATCAAGAGACTGGACCAAGGAAAGTACTAGACATCATTTTAGAGTAAGTATTGGGATTCCAAAGGATAAGTTTATATTACTTGTGATCTGTATTAAGGAACAATATGTATTGCCTGTAGTCTTGATTCCAAAGACATAGTACCTACTATTCTAGTAGGTACCTTGGACAGGCTATTAAATAATGGGTGAGCATATATTGCAGTTATAGGTTGGTGGTATTTGATAACCTCTTTCCCCTAAAATAGTTTGGTAGGAATAACCAGACAAATGCAAATATGCTACCTATATGCAACACAACAGTAACTATGACTTATTTTATATGAAGCTGTCCAGTAAAGCTAAAGCCTTTGCAACATCATAATCCGGGCTAATTCTGCTCACAAGCGCAACTACCTATGACAAAGTTGAATAAAGTTTTTTCTTCCCTATGTGGTAGACATGTTCCTTTCTTCCTGTTATGACAAGTGAGCATAAGTTTATAAAGTATCCATGTCATCCAACGGTTCTAGAAGCAAACAGAGAAGCCGCCGCATCGACTCCACTGGCGGGTGGCTCGCATTAACACATATCCTACCTATGTGGCTGCAGACGTTTGAAGAAGAACTGAGCCACCACCTAACAATAGCAATAACTGTCTAAAATACTGAAGATATCATGTGCTTGTTTGTTGTGCCTTGTCTCAGTCACACTCTGGATGAGGTGGTTCATGAGCTTACGATGAGCGTGACCCTGTATCGGTATCGTATGCCTGTACTTCATCTATACGTGTTATCTGTATCCCCTGGGATGGATATGATATGTCTACGTATTCGTCATGTGAGAAAGAGCATTGAAGGCTCACGTCGAGTCGGTATGTTTACGTACCTTAGTAGCTACCTTACCTAGACTACTAGGTAAGGATGGCTAAGTTCTATCACCATCACAACCTGACTCACCAAGAATGACGAGCAGCCACACAGCCATTGGATAACGATCTGGAGGTTAAAGGATTCAAACCCTATTGGGAAGGAGCCATAAGCAAGGGCCCTGGCGCCAAATGCCTGGAGGGATCAGTAACAGGAGTTGGGTCCTCTGGAGCATCTGGAAATTGAGCAAGGATTTCCAGATTTTTGCAACGACCCGTTGTTGTGCAACGGAGGACAAGAGAGCCAGTTCACTACTGTCACTTGCATTCAGACCAGAGACATTGCTCAAGAGGCAGTTGTTCACTCTACTGTATCATGTGAATTGCCTTTCGATAGAGCGCTAAAAGCCAGCCATTGCAACGTCGGTTGAGGCGAAGCGCCCACTACTGTGCCTAACTTAGGTAGTATGTACAGTACCAGCGCCGTTGGGTTTCAAGTTGTGTGTATCAACTGGATCTCCCCATTTGTTCAAGGGACTCGCTCGGCTTGGCCTGGCTCAGATTGCAGATCGAATCTCAACCTGTCGACTTTGGTAATTAGGTACATTGATATTCGTCGGTCCGTCAAACGCGATTTAGTAACACAATTACCGAACTGACCCATCTGGGGTCAAGGAAGTTGACCTAACCAAAACCAATGACACCGAGAACTAACATTCATCTGTGAGGAATGACCGTTTTACCTAGCAAGGGGGCTCACGCCGGCTAAAAGACATTACCCTGTTATTCTGATCCGAAACACCAGAACTAGGTACAGTACAGCGATTGACTTCTGATGTTGGTTAGTAGCGAGGGGAAGATCTGTCGTAGTACCTATAGTACCTATACTCAGCCAAGTTCAAGTTCAAGTTCCAACAGTGATTCATCAAAGACAGAGATAAAGACAAATAGTATAGTATAGATGGCTGGAACATTGAGAAAGGAGAAGAACTAGATAGGTACTTACCTTAGTAGTTAGATACTAGTCTGGCCTAGTAGGTAGGCCTATGCTTGTTGATCGCTGCGAACTGCACGATGAATGATGAGATCAGTTACCTATCTTCAGCGAGCTGCAGCCCACTCGTGTACTTGACTCGAAATCAAATTGCATGGAGAGACCCTGCAGAAGTTGAGAGATTCATGACCGATTTAATTTACCAGGTAACAATAAGATGGATCCAATCTCTGATGGCGGCTTATAATTCCTCCTATAACCTACCTACCTCAGTATCTTGTGTCCACTACCATACTGCATTCTGTGGGGAGAGAAGAGTCTTTTTGAACCTTAACCCCCATCCTGTTGTTCGTTCCTATTCCCAAGGAACCTACTAACCTACCTGCCTGCCTGTGGTATTGGGCTGTTGATTCCCGTCCTCTTCTTAGGCTCTTAACTATTTGCTTTTGCGCCTTCCGTTTTCATGCCTCTCACATCAAAACAACTAGGTATACTTTAGTACCTTTCAACCGCAACTCCAACAAACTGGAACCTTGCAACTAATACAACCAACCAACAAATACTTCAACATTGTCCATCTCCATCGTTGATAGTATTACGACTTCCACAGGCAACAGCACTTATCCTCGCATTTGTGATCAGTCTTTCTGTGACTGCCTGGATCGACGAGCACGCCCTTCCCCCCTCGACATTCGTCTGTTACCTGTCGACCTCGACAAATTCGCCACAAGAGACTCGATAGTCATTTAATACAACAATAATCTGTAGTTCTCCCAGTAAAGAACAGTACAGTACCAACTCCTGGCGGCCGATTGACGAGCTTGAGACCCGAATACCAAACTTTACCTACACCCAATCGAGGCACGAGTGGGCCTCTCCGGTTGGCTCAGCGCCAGATGACGGCCTCCCCTGTCCCGTTCTGAGCCCCGCGCTACCATTCGAACCGGCGCTATTTTACTGCTGGCTGCAGCAGCTCGCTGTCACGGTGTCACAGTGTCGTCTGTCCCCCAGCGTGCGTGCGCTTGTCGCTCCAGTCCATCTTAAAAGATCCCGACAGCTCCTGTTTGCTTGGGGCCCGTCGCGACTGTATTCGTTCCTCGACCTTCAACCTTTGTCGCCCATTTGATTAAATTTTGGCCATGGGTATCGTCAGCAGCAAGCCCGAAGAGGGTCCTGCTCTCTACCTAAGAGACCAGAATCGATGTATGTCGTCCTGCCATTTCCCCGCCTTTCCCTTGCTTCTTGCTCGACAACTGCACCGAGGTTGTGGCTTGTTACTCTAACTGACCGACTCCGTTACCCAGTGAGCATATCCTCCTTGGTCGTTACAAATCCACGAAAGCGCACTTCTGTGAATGTTGTTCCCAATGCATTCCCTGCCACCAGAATATCTGTTCAGAAACCAGCCAGCGACACGTCCCCCATAGAATTCGTCCAGGTAAGTTGCGCCGGGTTGCGACCTTTGTTTGTGATCTCGACTAACCCGAGTATAGGATCCCGATACTTCGAATCCAGGGACGGTACCGAATTTCCTCGTCAAGCTCAGCAACGATGATGAGCTTATATTTTCCTTCACGTTTGTCATGCGTCAGGCACATCTTGCGCAACCCACCTCACCTTCCGATACAACATCTTCACCTATCGATACGAGCATATCAGGCCTCACCTACGTCTATGCCTCAAACCTCAAAGAAGTCGAGAACTTGGTGACCAGAGAGTTTCATGCGGATCCGAACCTTCACAGAAACGCCAACGTCGCATTGGTCGGCGATTATTCAACAGGAGGTAGCCCATCAGTATCATTCGAATGGACTTGGAAATGGAAGCCCCCGAAGCCAACAGAGGATAAGGGCGGTGGCTGGAGAAACTCCTGCAGCGTAACTTGCCCCCCTTTCTTACCGTAGGTGTGTTATGCTAACCCGGAATCAGTTCGTCGAATATGACCCTCGCGCTCATCGACTGCACACCTTGGCTAGTTTCTCCTATTTTGTCGCAGGTACTACTAATCCTCGTGAGAACGCCTATGCCTCAACCGCTCATGCTCTCCTAGGGACGCCGGCGACTTTGAGCCATCCGAATTCACCGTCACCACCTTTTCTCCTAGCATCCCCGCCCAAAATCCGCGTTGCTTCGTCTCAATCAGTCGATTCTCGCATGACTGTTCCTGATATGCTTGACGAGCCTGTTTCACCCCTAGTTCCCACAGCCGAGCTACCTCTTACACCCGGACTCCCGCACTTCAAGGAAGCGGTCAAAGTGGATGTCCCTTGTCCTAAACCAGGCGAGGAATCCATGGTCAGTGACGATGGTCCTGTCTTCAGAGCCACCCTCAAAGCCCTCGAACAGAAGACAGGCAATATGAGGACACAAATGAAAAAGGTTCTAAAGAAAGCAGAACATGCGCACTCTTGCCAGAACGAAGCCAATGATGCCTTTCTTGCGTTTGTCGATGCTCTACGAGAAGCGGCATCGACCAATGCCAATGCTGTGCAGCCTGCTTTGGAACATTACTTTGATAAAATCGCCAGAGAAATCTTATCCTACGAGCGCCAAAACACCTACAACCTTCAGAAGATTATCATCGAGCCAGTAACCAAGCTATATCAGGTCGATATCAAACAAGCCGAATCGAAGAAACGAGACTTTGAGGAGGAAAGTAAGGATTATTATGCTTACGTATCACGCTATCTGGGCCAGCGACAGGATTCGGTCAAGGCTAAGAAACTTGCGGAAGCCGATTCCAAGTATCAGAACAAGCGACGTAACTTTGAACTCAAAAGATTCGACTACTCAAGTTTCATGCAGGATCTCCATGGTGGTCGCAAGGAACAAGAAGTCTTGTCCCAGCTCACGAAATTCGCCGATTATCAAACCCGAGGCTTTATGGCTACTGCGAAGAAAATTGAGATTCTTCTTCCTCAGCTAGAGGCTCTATCCAATGAGGTTCAGGAGGCCGACAAGGAATATCAATATCAACGCCGCGAACGCGAGGAGAAGAGACGGCTTCTTGAAAAAAGCAACACACCTTACAAGGAGCCCGAGCAGGGAAGTAATACAAGCAGCATGCCAATTTCGTCTGCCAGTAATGGCAATACGGGTAACACCTCAGATTCTGACCTAGGCCGTGCCGACAGCACAGGGTCGCAGTTGAACATCGGGTCAGGGAGTGTTCCGTCAGGTGTCGAGTTATCTAGGTCCCCCGGCAGTCTCGGGCAATCGTCAGTTGGCAGCCCCGTGGCGTTGTCTAAATTCAAGGGTATCCGTGACCTCGAAGAACGAGATAACATGCCATCTGCCGCCACTCATCGCAAGGAAGGACTTTTGTGGGCGCTCAACAGACCCGGAGGACATGTCGACCCGCGTAATTTGAATAAACAGGGCTGGCACAAGTAAAGCCCCTTGGTCCTCACTGAAAAGACTTGTTACTGACATGTTTTCCAGGTTCTGGATCGTATTGGATCAGGGCAAATTATCTGAATACAGTAACTGGAAGCAGAAACTTGATCTTCACATCGATCCCATCGACCTCCGAATGGCATCCGTCCGAGAAGCTCGTAACGCGGAACGTCGCTTTTGTTTTGAAGTTATCACTCCAAGTTTCAAGCGCGTATATCAGGCAACATCCGAAGAGGACATGAACAGCTGGATTATGGCCATCAACAATGCTTTGCAAAGTGCTATGGAGGGTCGCAGTTATCAAGGGAAGCCATCTTCATCAAATGGTGATTCTTCCATAAGGAGAGATATTGGCTCCGTTCTCACGGGAAAGACACAATCACTGAGCCACGGCAATCACCATAGTACTTCTAACAGTGGCATACCCAGTCGCAGGATAACGGTTGGTGCGCGACCAAGTGCTGTGAGGACTTCCAGCTCAGGATACGACGAAAACCCTGACAGGGTGCTTCAGATGGTTCGAGATAACGACCAAGGCAACCTGTGGTGTGCCGACTGTGGTTCTGGCTCCAAAGTCGAGTGGGTGTCTATCAACCTGGGCATCATTCTTTGCATCGAATGCAGTGGTATTCATCGGTCGCTTGGTACGCATATCAGCAAGGTGCGATCTTTGACGCTGGACATCAAGTCCTTCACTATTGATATTGTCGAGCTTCTGCTGCTGATTGGAAACCGAGTCTCGAACATGATCTGGGAGGCAAAGCTCGACCAATCACAGAAACCGACCGGGCAGGCAAGCCGCGAACAGCGCCTTCGATTCATCACGTCGAAGTACGTGGATAGGGCGTTCGTTGAGCCCATTTCGCCAACTTTGTCGCGATATGGTACAGCAGACGAGACATTGCTGGCTGGTATTAAGAAGAACGAGATACAGCAGGTGCTCTACGCGTTGGCACTCAAGGCGAACCCAAACACAGTTGACAAGATGAGGGGTACACATGCTGTATGGCTTGCTCTGGCTGCGGCGGACCCAGCAGCACCGTCACCAACACCGCACCCAGTCTCCGACTCAGAGGCAAAGACCGTGCCGTTCCCAGTAGCCGAGTTGCTGGTTCAGAACGGGGCCGAAATTCCTGAAGCAATGCCGGCGTTCCCCTTAGGTCGTTATGCGCAGCTCTACGTAGAACAGAAACGGGGACGTACGATTGTGGGGGGAGGATCAAGCGACGCAGTGCCCTCGCTACCCGGTAACTTGAGTTCGGCCGAGAGACTTCAGCGCGAGAGGGAAGCTCGACTCCAGAAGCGAGTTAGCACAGGGGGCAGGCTGGCCAGATCTCCGATTCCCGAGCGATAGGAGTCCGGACCCTAGGAACAACTGGCAGGCCTGGGTTCCTGCTACTCTCTTTATTATCTTTCCCGATCACACAAGCAAGGCAAACATAGGGTCTGCCTGTGACGAATTTGTTTAACAGACAACGAACTAGTTCTTTTTGGTAATGAAGGACGGCTGGCATTTTGATAAAGACATGGCTGGGCGCAAGGGAGTTGACCGGCGTTGACGATGACTCTTTCTCTGCCACAACGCTGGGAAGATCAACCTGGAGACTCTGGAGTTCAGGGGACAATGGGAAAGAGGAGAAGGATTTGAGCATGTTTTAGGTACTTTTGGATGTTTGAAGAAAGCATAGTGGCACATGTGCCGTGAAGAGCGTTATGGCACGCAGGCCGAGTCATTGGGTATTAACAGTCCCTGTTGATTACCTTAGTTTACTTGTTTGTTATAAGTAAAGACTTAGGCCTTGGCATGATATTGAATAATGGTAATGTCAAGAAGAAACTGTTTCGTTGTATCTTATGTGCTGCACTCCATTTGTGTCTGATCGCTCGGTCGAAGTGGTTCCAACGACTTTTCATGAGATACTGGAAGGTCCTTGGTTGTTTGCTGCAATGCTGCAAGAAAGATGACAGGCTGGTAATGGCGCGCGTGATAGATGGAATGGCGCGGAGACTCAGACCGAGGGGCGGCGTGACTTGGGGTTAACAGATGACGAGACAGGTTAACAAGATGGGGCATGGGGTTTGATAATTATAAGGAGAAGGCCCTTGACATACAGGCCTTGTGGGCTGGACTTGTATGTGATCATCATCTGGACGCTGGGCATGAGTTGATATCTCGATCCATTGTAAACTTGACTTGCAACCGCTATGCGAGTTATGTCATGGCAGGATCCACTTGTAAGGCACACTGCCACCAGCGTCGACGGGGAGTCTTGCCGTCAGTTTTTGAGAGACAGGTTGATTTTGACTGGACGCTCACATGATGGAAGAGACCTGGCTCCATGGAAGGATCCACTGGAACGCAAGACCAAGAGACCCATTTCACAGTGGTCTTGGAGGCTTTGACCCACCCCTTACAGGTGAGCAGGAGCGAGAGACGAGGCGACCGATGCTGTCATGGACAATTTCACGGGGCAAGAATGACACTGAGCGTGACTCTCTCGGCTGCTGCGCAAGCCAAATGAGCACTTTGAGATACAACCAGAAAGGCTCAATAAAACCACTATTTCTGCTGTTATTGATACGAAAAGAGAAAACCCAGAGAAACAACTCGTCACTGTCTTATTGAACCGGACTTTTTCTCGAGGCTGTGACTCGATCCTGACTGATTGCGAAAAGGCTGTTCAAAGTGGCTTGGTTCGGGTCCAGTCAGAAGGCGCTGTGGTCCCGGTACATACTAACCGTCTAGGCAGTTGTCGCACTCAGGTACCTTAGCTCCAAATTAGCTCTAGGCTCCCGGCTCGCTCAGCAGGAACACCACCATAGGTATTACCTTCTTGGTCCTGGCTCGATTCACGCCCTTGCTCGCTTCAACTTCCTCCCGTCCATAATCTTCCTTTTTTCTCCTTCTTCCCCTTCATTCAAGGCATCACAACTACCGACGAACCCCACCAAACAGTATTACCGTTAATATCGGTTTGACAACGTGTACTATCTTATCGTGAACTATTACACTCTGTTACTCTTTGGCATCTCTGCCTAGCCATAGCTACTACCATGGCTCCGCAACCAGAGAAGAGCCAATTGAAGCGTCAGCGCGTTAGTCTTTTCCTCACCCTTTCACTCATATCCTGAATAGTTGCATTCCATCCTGGCCGTGGTCAAGATGTCTGATACTCGAACCTTCATCTTGCGCCTGTCAATCTGTCTCTTGTCGCGCTTCAAGTTTGCCACCCATCGCTAACTTCCACCTTCCATTAGGGCTCGCTACCAGATGATGAGACAGAGACCAAGAAGCCTCGTAGAACCGAGCGCCCCGAGGCCGACCCAGACAAGACCCCTGTTGTTAACAAACAACACCTCCCGTCTCCTCTCACACATCTCACGGATGACTCTAGCGAGCTCAACAAGGAGCCCACTGCGACTCCCCCAGAAAAGAAACAGGACGAGAATACCCCCAAGAAATCTGAAGATAACTCCCAGAGCCAAGCGCTATCCTCTCCACCTCAGGATACACAGCCTTTGAGCCAGTTCGTCGATCGCCACGCTGCTATTTCTGACGACATCGAAGATGAGATTCGCGAAGGCGTTTGGGGATACCTTGTTCCATTGGACCCGAAGTACGGCGATAAGCCCATCGTTCTGAAGAAGCGGACCGCATGTCCCCTGCCGGACACAGTTGCCGATGCAGCGAAGAATGAGAACAAGAACCACACAAATGATAAGAATGGCAAATCGGCGGCCATGAAAGATGAAGAAACCTTCGAGAAAAAGAAGGAGAAAGGAGCCCCTTCTGGCGGCTATTTGATCGGACGCCATCCCGAATGTGGTCAGTAATAGAGCGATTGCACGTCGGTTTAATGTTACTAACGTCTGGCCAGACATTGTTGTTAGCGAAGGCGTCGTTTCGAACAGGCACTGCCTTCTTTTTACCGAAAACAAGGGCAATGATACCGTGGCGATTGTCGAAGACTTGTCAAGCAATGGCACATACGTCAACGAGGCTATTGTAGGAAGGAACCAACGTCGTGAGCTGGCGGAACAGGACGAGATCGCAGTTCACGGTAAGGCGCGCTTTGTCTTCCGCTACCCCCAGTCTCGCCAAACCAGTGCATTCCTACAGCAGTACACTCTACTTGAAAAACTTGGCAAAGGTCATTTTGCAGAAGTCTATCTTTGCGTTGAGAAGACTTCTGGGCAGCGTTTCGCAGTCAAAATCTTCACAAAACAACCCGGGGTGGAAGACCGCTCCAAGACAGAAGGCTTGCAGCAAGAAATCGGCGTTCTGATGGGCGTTAGCCATCCTAATGTCCTCTGCCTGAAGGATACCTTCAACGAGCGAGACCGTGTGTATCTGGTCCTCGAGTTGGCGCCAGAGGGAGAGCTTTTCAATTACATCGTGATGAAGCAAAAGCTCAGTGAAGACGAGTCCAGGAAGTTGTTCGTGCAGCTTTTCCAGGGCATAAAGTATTTGGTAAGTTGCACTATGTCGAACCCTCGCGGACTGCATTGATCTGACGTTTTACGTAGCATGAGCGCAACATTGTGCACCGTGATATCAAGCCTGAGAACATCTTGTTGGTTGACAAGAATCTCCATGTCAAACTTGCGGATTTCGGTTTGGCCAAGATCATTGGAGAGGAATCATTCACAACCACATTATGCGGAACTCCCAGCTATGTCGCTCCGGAAATTCTTGCAGACTCTAAGCAACGCAAGTACACGAAGGCCGTAGACGTTTGGTCACTGGGAGTCGTTCTTTACATCTGCTTGTGTGGCTTCCCACCATTTTCTGACGAGCTTTATTCGCGCGACTTCCCTTTCACACTTTCTCAGCAGATCAAGAGTGGTCGTTTCGATTATCCCTCGCCATACTGGGATTCCGTTGGAGATCCAGCTCGTAAGTTTAAGTACACTATATGCGAAATGAGCATCTGCTGACTTTCATAGTTGACCTGATTGACTCAATGTTGATTGTCGACCCTGAGAAGCGATTCACAATTGATCAGTGCTTGCAACACCCATGGCTTACACAGAGCTCTCCTGCGGTTAATGATAGTACTGGCGGTTTGGTGGGCGGCATAGCAGGCCTCGAAGTCAACAGAAGAGCTCCTGCTCGCGAAAGAACACTGTTGTCATCACTCAACACTGTTCAGGTTACTGCTCATCTCGATGTTGGCAAGAACAAGAACCCTGTCAAGGTCTTTTCCAAGAACAAAGGCCGTGTCACAAACATTTCAAAAGAGTCTGATCCTGCCTCTCAAAGAGCGCCAGACGAATTCATTGAGATGGGAGGTAAGGGCGACCAAGAACTATTCCCGGACGATGATTCGAGCATTTACCCCATAGGTGACAATGGCGAAAAGATCAAGGCAAACAAGGCCAAGCGATAAACCGTCGGGCTTTTACGAGGACTGAGTCGAATGAATGGGTTTAGTTATTTGGTTTGGTATCGGTGTTGTTTGGGGTTTGGTCGTCATTGCTTATTCGACGTGGAAACATTGATAGAGACAGTACAGTAAGGATGATCGGGGTATGTTATGGGTTACTGGGTTTGTTTGGCTTCTTTTGTTGTGAGTACATAATGGTTCTTGGGATGCACGAGGCGAGACTATGCCGGGGAAGCGATGCTGCTAAGCATTTAGTAACTATTCAAAGCGTACCAAAAGTCCTATGTTCTTTCGCTTTTGCCGTTCTCCTTCTGTGCAGATGCAGTTCCTATCGCTGAACGCTGATCGTTCTACCCTTGACTGACGAGTTCTGGAATACGATCCGAACTTAAATGACGGTACCTCCTTAGCCTCTCCTCAGGGTATCAGAAGAATTGGCCCCTAAAAGCATAAGAGACGAAATTATTTAATCACTTTACGCAGCTTAGACTAGCACTTAGGCTACTTTATTTTATCAATCTAAGCTTTAGAGGACAATTCTTCTGTTACCCACCTGCCTTGCCTCTACAGGGTCGAGATGTATCTAATAAGTCGTCAGCCGAGATACCTGAACTTACATTAGAAGTTCTTTATCTCCACGTGACTTATCGCTTAGCGCCCACAGATTGGAGAAAACCTATCTGGCGGGGTTCCAAGGCCCCACTAGAGAGGGCTATTCGCCTGGGACGAGAAACTTCACATTATTCCGCTCGTCGACCTTACAAACGAACGCTTCGAGATCGTCCTTTCCGCCCCGGTCTTCGCTGATTTCCCTCTCTCTCGCTATTCCTCGTCCGCATCTCCGAGGCCGGAACGAGAATTCTCGACGACTACCGCGACCGATAATCTTAGATCGAAATCCCCCCGCGTGGGAGTCACAGGCAAACATGGCCGATATCAAGACTGCCGGCCAGCCCACTCTGGTCTTTGTTGATGGATCTTTCGAGGATCTCGCCGCCGAGATGGCCGAGTACCTCAAGGCTGAGGATGCCAAGCAGCTCCTAAGCCAAGAGAAGCCTCCTTCCAACGAGGAGGTTCTGTCCAAGCTGGTCTCTGCATCTGGGGCCCTTAACACTGTCCCCGAGAAGGAGTATACCGCCGCTTCCAACCTCATGACCCATTTGGTTCTCCAGTCCTCCGACCCCAAGAAGTTCCTGCCAACCCTCTGCACCACCTTCGCCAAGCCTCTTGTCAACTCTCCCGTCCACGGTGTCGGTCTGTCACTTAACGCCCTGACCACCGTCTTTAACCTGCTCGAACCCAACAACCCCGTCCGCGCCCGTGTCTTTATGGAAATCCTTAAGTTCTTGAGGTCGCATGCCATGTTTGAAAGCCTGCGCACATACCTCGACAAGCTCCCTGAGTGGCTCGCTACCTGGGGAACAGACGCCGATTTTCAGCGAAAGATTTATGAGGAGGTTGCCGAGGTTGCCCTTGAGGCTGGCGAGGAGCAGTAAGTCGTGTCCTCATATGCGGTTTGCCAAGATTCTGTTTGCGATATTCGAACTGTTATAGTCTTTGGAATCGTGTTGCAGAAAGCGTCGCGCCCGCACCGTCGCTTTGCGGTACCATTTACTAAATTGTTAATAGACAAGCCTACGAGTACGTTGTTAAGGCCCTTCGAACATTCGACGGCGATGCCATCTCCTCCGAGGACGCCCAGCGACTTTCCCTTCGCGCGGTTAAGAAGGCTCTCACCTCCAATAACCATTTCCTTTTCCAAGATCTTCGGGGTATTCCCAGCGTCCAGGCCCTCAGCGACTCCCACCCCGTCTACTCGCAACTTCTCGATATCTTTGCTGAACAGGATCTCGAGGACTACAACGATTTCAATGATGAGCACCAGGGTTGGGTTGAGAAGGAGAAGCTGGACCACGAGAAGCTCCACCGCAAGATGCGCCTTTTGACATTCTCCAGCTTGGCCGCTTCCACGCCTAGCCGTGAAATCGAATATTCCAAGATCACCAAGGCTCTGCAGATCCCCGAGGACGAGATTGAGATGTGGGCCATTGATGTGATCCGTGCCGGTCTTGTCGAGGGCAAGCTCTCCCAGCAGCGCCAAAAGTTCCTCGTTCACAAGGTTACATACCGTGTCTTCGGTCAGAAGCAGTACCAGGAGTTGGCCAACCGAGTTGATCACTGGAGGACAACTCTGCAGAACGTCCTTGGCGTCGTGCGCCAGGAGCAGGCCAACGCCAAGGCCCAGAAGGAGCGTGAGATTCAGGAGTTGGAGCGTAAGATCGCCAACGCTGGCGTGAGCGGTAACCAGGATGGTGGTCGACGCCGACAGAACCAAAACCGGGAGCCTCGCGAACCTCGTGAGCCCCGTGAACCCCGCGAGCCTCGAGAGCCTAAAGAGCGAACGGAAGATGACGATTAAACGCAAGAACGGAAATGCTAGGATACGATCAAAAAAAAAACGAGACTAGAGCAGTCGTGGGGAAGCAAAATGAAGGGGCTTTTTCTGGGAATAGGGGACATTGTTATACCTGCTTTGTGTTAATACATCGTTGGGCACATGAGGAAATCCAGCGAACGAAGGGTTGCGAATGGCGTAGCCGGTTTCATGAGCATATTGGCCTTCTACTTCCCAGCATTGAAGTGAAGATAGTGTCACGGCACATCTTCCTAAGATATAGAATCTAAAATGAATGCTTGTTAAATACAACGAGGGCACTGTGACGCTTATGTGTAAAACCATTGATGTGGGATTTTTTGTTTGGTATTATACATATTGTATACCCTACAGGTATTATTCAAAAGGATGATGTGAACTTTTTGTGAGGATCCGGGTTGTGTATCCGTCCTATGTATCAAGTCAGGCATTGAATTGGTAACGACAAGTTCACTTTGGAGTATTGAACATGGCACGATGAAGTGAGTTACACTTGTAACCCCAGTTCCCACAGCCAGACATGGAACCATATGCAAAGTGCTAAGGTAGGGATGAAAAGTGATATTGGACTTACCATTGCGACGATTGACAAGGGCAACGTAGCCTCCTGTCCCAACAAGAATGACAACCAAGAAAGGCCAGAACTTGACCTCGTCATTGCGGCGAGGCTTTGGTGGTTGAGAAGAGTAAGGACGACTGCATTGAACGGCCATAGGTGATGTGCGAGGGGTGAATCGAGAAGCCGAAGCGGCAAGGCGCCCGGCGAAGAGGGACATGCGTGAAGCCATGAGATGGTATCGAGTGGAACCGTCTATGCTGATGATGAATGTATTCGAATCGAATCCAACCAAGTTTTGATATGTGAACGAGGATATAGTCTGGCCGGTCAATGGTGATTTGCTAAGAAGAGCAATGGCGATGAAATAATGGGGCGAGAGAGCATCATGGGAAAATCAGGTGAGAATAGAGATACGATCACGTGACCAAATTACCATTATCTTCCAGCATTTAATGAGCAATGAATGCGTCCAGCTTTAGAGTAAGATTATAAATTTGGCCTTCTATGTGATAAAAACTATGAGCTGATGCCATTCATGTATGCATCCTGGGAAGTATTGTTCTCCGTTACAGGGTTGTGTAAGTCATCTGAAAGGAACATGGGTGCTAATTATACTTCATATGCTTGCCTATGACAACTTCTCTAATTCCAGGTCATCTTTCTCGCTCAGGGGTATATCTAACTATTCATTATCAAAACCTAACTCCCGTATCGTTACTTTCTCAACTTTCTTGGCTTTCCAGTTCTCACAAAGCTGCACAATCAGTTGTCGTCATACATCTTCATCAAACCAGCCTTGATATTCGTCATCTGGCTTCTGTGCATCCTCTCGCGATTCTCCAAGGCTGCAACCCGCTCCTGGAGCGTCGCAATTTTCTCGTCTTTGGCCTTGAGGCTTGCCCGGGCGGTATCACGTCCCAATACAATACCTCTAGTTCGGCGTGCGGAGGTGGCCAGAATATTTCGCACTGATGATAGAGTTTTTGGGTCGATTTTTTGACCCCGCAAAATAGTCATGATCTCGTCCGTTACGTCGTAGATGGTCTCTGGGGGGCTGCTCGCGGGAGGCTCTTGCTGTCTGAATGGTGTCTTGGAGGGCGTAGTATTCGCCGAGAGAGTGGTGGATGACATGGTATCTGTGTATCGCGAAGGGGTCTCGTCAAAGGAGACTTGTTTCTGTCTCTTAGCCTCGCTGGTGGGAAACAGCGTGCGCGAAACAGAGGGCGTTGGCAGCCCAGAAATAAGATCGGCAGAGCGCGAAGTGCTGGGTGTGGTGTATCGCTTCTGAGCCGCCTTCTCGGCACTCTTGTCTGAGATAGCAGCCATTTGACGCTCTTCATCTGACCCTATATCACTGAAGTCTTCATCTGTCTCTTCAAAGACATCTCGACGTCTCTTAGCTGGTCCACGGCTTGGAGTCTCAGCAGCCACTGCTGCTAGTGAAGATGACTTCGGAGGCCCTGAAGCTTGCGTTCGATTCTTGGCAGACTTTGGCATCGGAGTCTCAGGTTCGGATTCTCCACCAGACTCTGTACTTTCCGCAGAATCTTGGTCGCTTTGGCGCCGGCTGGGTGTAACTTGATAACCGTATGCCACAAGGGACTGCTGGGTCATGGTAGGCGGTTCAGACTTGGCAGATTCATCGCCTTTCCTGGATGCCTTCAAGCCGTTTTCGCGAGCTATGGCCTCTTCTCTCCAGAGGAAAAAGTTACAGTCATTGCATTTCCAGAAGAGCTTTCCATTGTTTGGTCCCGTTTTCTTGACTTCACGAAGTGTAGCCTTCTGGCGTGGCTCGCAATTACCTGAGAACATTAGATACTTGAAGGAAGGAATCACAAGGAATTCGCAACTTACACCACCAGTGATTATCGCTGTAGCGCCCCTTAGGCAAACGCTTCTTCTGTGATCTCGGTGTCTGAGGATTTCGCTGAGTCTTGAACCGTGGTGTCGGCGGCATGATGAGTTGTCGTTGACACGGCAACCAGTATTCCAGACAGCAGTTATTTACAATGAGGCAAGTGAGTATCTGGTTGTTATGGACAAATGATGTCAAGAAGAAAAGGTGGACGTTGAAAGCGGGAGCTGCCGTTGAGACTTGTCTGTTCGTACCTGATGAGCTTATGCGGGGATCGAAGCTGAGGTCAAGCAACCTTAAATGCGAGGGGCTGGTTGGGCGGCTACTAACACTGGATGGGGATGGAATTGACTAGCCCAGCCACAATGTTTCATCCCAATTCATAACCGCAACTAGATACTAAGGCAATTTTTCTATGTATAAGGTAGGTGCATGGTAAATTTGTATATGCAGGCAGACTATTTGTTAGGCACCCAGCCATGGTCATTGGAGAGCACGGCTCTATACTACCAGCAGGGTAGTATACCAGGTGGGTGTTAGAAGAATTATCCTCCAAGGTTTAGGATTCAGAAATAAAACAGCCTAAGTGTTAGCCTAAGCTAGCATAAGGTGATCAAGTTATTTTGTCTCTTATGCTCCTCAGGACTAATTCTGACACCCTGAGGGGTACCTTGATTCATCATTTAGAAACCTTCCAGGTTATTCACAACAAACATTCAAGCGTCATGATAAGTAAATAGGTTACTATGCATCAACAGAACAGCAAAGATAAAATTCCGTCCTGTCTATGCATAGGCTCGAAGGCGCTGGAATGCCCATGTCAGTTGGGAAAAGCAATGTGCCCAGTAGATAGTGAGTAGAGTTCATACAGCATAATCATGATCTATTACTGTTCTAGACGCGAGGTCTTGGTCTTTTTGGAAGCTTAACAATATGGATATTAATAGGTCTTTTGGTCTAAACATTTGGGAATCTGACTTCAGGACAGCTCCCCTGAAGCTCAATGCAATTTCGATTTATGCCGCTCTACTGCTTAGAAGCTGGGACCCAACCGTTCGGCGAGGGCCTTCTCGGTGTTGGCATAGACCTCATCGGGAGTAGGGGTAGCATCGAGCTTCAGAACCTTGCCAACCTCCTCAAAGTGGTTGACAACGGGCATGCTTGTCTCGATGAAGGTGCGGAAGCGCTTGCGAATACTGTCGGCGTTGTCATCCTCGCGGCCACTGGTCTTGCCGCGCTCGAGAAGACGGGACTCCATGACAGCTTCGGGGCAGTCGAAGAAGAGAACGAGCTTGGCGGGGCAGACAGTCTCCTCGAACTTAACAGCCTGGTCCATCTTGCGAGGGAAACCGTCGATAAGGAAGCGTCCCTTCTGCGAACCTGTCTCCTTGAGGACAGCGGCCATGGCGTTCTCGAGGAGAGCAATAGTCACCTCCATGGGGACGATGAGGCCGTTGCGGATGTAGTCCTTGATAAGGTCGCCGTACTGAGAACCGGGTCTCTCTTGTTCAGCGCGCAACAAGTCACCAGCCGAAAGGTGGGTGAAGCCGTGCTCAGAGACGAGCTTGGAGCACTGGGTACCCTTGCCGGCACCGGGGCCACCGAGGACGAAGATGACGGTCACATCTTCGGGGTTGAAGGTGGGAGTTGACTTTTGGGGCGCGGGGATTTGTCCGGCGGACTCGGGCGCATCTTGAGGAACAGCAGGCATGATGAGATCTGGGGAGAGGGGTTGAGATTAGTTCAAGGTTGAGCTGCTTCAGAGGAGGGAATGGCACACCTTTTTTTGTTGTATGTTATCAATGTGGAATCATCTAGGTACTCTATAACAGAAATAAACAAGGAAAAAGAGCTTGATCCTCAATGCTCAATTGGAGATCGAGTTAATGCGATGCTGCCAAGACAGGTGGCCTGGACCCTTCGACAGGGCGGTGTCCAGGATCTCTCCAGCCTGAGGCATCCATGATATTGGCCCACTTTACAAGCTCAGCTCTCGATCAACGTCTTATCAGATCAACATCAACGCAACATCACCAAGAATATCTGAGGATCAACGCGAATGATATCTTGCTCCCTCTAATATTAAAGTACTTTTCACATATTAGATGCCTCTGATATTGTGCTGTGAAATCAGGGGCAATACCCAATGACACATCCATCCATAACCATCCCCTCAGCTACATGCATGTCCTCTCATATCATCTGTACGAGTTCTGTTGCGTTACAACACCAAAAATTCTGTCCCTCGCCCAGTCTTTCATTCCGTATGTCTTGCCACAAATAGTAGATGCGATCTTGGCATGGTTCACATGACTTTCCTGTCGTGCGCTTTGGAGCTCCTTATCGGTAGATAACTGTCACCATGGGCTTGCAGATCTCCATGGCCTGGTCGAAACGTCGTCCGTCAGCGTTTCCAATCTTCCTAAGTCGGGGCGAGATCTGGATGTCCAACTTCATCTCCCCGCCTTGCTTCCCTGCGCGGTAACGAATGTCGAGATCCTCCTCCTCGAAGTCTTCTACGATCCAGTTGGTAAGGAAGAATGCCCTGGATCGCAAGAACCTAGCGTTAAGCATCATTGCTTTCTTAACAATGCTCATCAGAGATTTCTTTGCATTAACTTTGTCTTTATTGGGATCCATAAAGATATCCAAGGTTAGTGCCATCCCCTGAGCGATGCCCGTCGCATGTTCCCGGTTGTGGTCATTGAAAGACCCGGACAGTGAATCGGCTTGGATGGCTTTGAAGAGACTGAGCTGCTCCATGCCTTCGCAGTCGATCTCTAAGCAACGATTAGTATACAAGAACGAAAGGGAACTTGTCGTTGAAAACACACCAGAGACGTTCAAACAATAGCGATGGAAAGCGTTGCCTGCATCACCTCCCCAGGTAGGCTTTCCAGCCTGGAAGACGTCCTCGACAAGGCGCTCCCAGATATAGCTCTGGAAGTGGTAAGGGGCTGTGCTGATATCCTTCTTTTGATGTTTCTTGAAGGATTCGACATCTTTGTGAATCGCCCCGAAAGGTGTCTTCACTCCATGCGGCTTGTTGGTAAGTACTTGGGCAACGAAGTTACGAATGTCAAACCCGATTTCTTGCCAGCAGGTTTCGACATCCTCATCCATCACCTTGAAGTCAGGGATAGCTGGTCTCTGCTGCAAAGCAGCAACATGATGCTTAAGCTCTGAAACGCGGATCTTGAGTTGGTGGTTTTCTTTGCGCAGGTCCAGGTCGGCATCTGCAATGTTGGTGAGGTCATCTCCACCCGCCTTGGCCTCCAACATTCGCTCAAGTGACGCAATCTTCTTTTTGGCCTCGGCAAGCTCTGTTGCGTCCTTTGCTATACGACTTTGCAGTGTTTCAGTGCACTTGGTGATAGTCTGTAGCGCGGGGATGATGTCAGAGTCTGGCTGCGGTGAGATCTCCGCTTGCGAAGGTGCCGGAGTGACTGTATAGCCGGCCAGCTTGTTACTCTTAATCACTATCTTGCGTGGCTTCTTGGTAGGAGAGTCGTTCTTGGTTTCGGCCATGCTTCTCTTCTTAGGAGAAGAGGGTTGGTTGAGTGTCGCCATTGCGCAATCACTAATCCCAGAGATGAGCGTGATAGAGGCAGGGCTATTCTCAGAGATGGAGGCCGTATTCTCACTGCGGGTGCCTTTCACTGAAGATGAGCCTGAAGGCTCAATGGGCGGATCCTCATCCTCCGAATCGTGTTCCATCATAGACTGTTTAGGGGCAGCCGCCCGAGCAGGACGCTCTCGTCTCGCCAGCTCGGGAGTGACCTTCATCGTTGACGGAATTTGTGATCTTGTAATATGGTGAAGAGTAGAATGTAGCAAATATTTTGTTTGGGGAAGATGCAGATGAAAGAGGAGAAGAGGGTGGGCAGTGATTCAAGTACCTTGGTAGGCAGAGAGGCAGCCTAGAGTGAACACTTTCTTGCAGTGCCAGGGACCTGCAACAGCAGAATTCACAATCATCTCCATAACAAACAAAAGTCTCCTAAGCTTTAGAATAACAAACCAGATGCCTGTTTCCACCCACACAAAGTAACAACATTATTGCGTCTCTTCTCTACAATGGAAGTCGGGTTGTCCTTCTCGTCTAGAGCACTATGGCTTCGCATATGCGGAGATACAGACGGATTCAAGAAGTATCACGCACTCGTTCTTGAATTTGCAAACCAGATACAACAAAACGTTGATCGTGATGTTATCACTGGTGCATGCTTCTTTATAATAGCTATGCGACCTACTCCTCTCATAGATGTTTAAGCATGAGAAACTGCTGTAGACTACTGATAAGAGTGTTGAATAAGGAATTCTTTACAGGCAGCATAACGAGGGTTGTTTACGGTTTCGCAAACTCATCAAGTTAGTAGCATTGTAGACGAAGTCTAAAAAACATGATATTCGTGATCTAGAACTTGTCCTTGATGGGCGGGTTTCCTGCTTTCTATTATACGGAGATTTTTGGAGTTGCCAGAAAGCCACCCACCAGGGGAACTGCTTCTTCCATGTCCCTTGGGCTTCTATAACCATAGTTATATAAGTTTCCAATAATATTTCTCTGTTCAAAGTTCTATTGTAGAGAGTCGAACCGTGGATGCTCAAGGTGTCATTATCGTGACGAAATGTCCTAATCACTTTATTCACGTTTGATAGACCAGCCTCTGAGCATTTGTTTCCGTCGCACCAAAGCTCAGGCCGTCTATCTGCAAACGGCAGGTCATCACGTGGGGCTTCTGTTGCCATACATCTTCCCCTTTAGGAGTCTATTGAGCACAGGCGTAAAGCAGGCGTTCTCGATACGGGGGAATGGATGTTAGATCGTATAGACTATTATCCGTACTCCGCCTTAATTTCCACCAGCAATAGACCGGGTACCTCTTTAACTAGTCATACTGATAAGGGATGGTGTGACAGCTGAGCCAGAATTCAGTTAGGACATAGGTAACTATTGGTACTTCTATTTTACGGACCATTTATAACCAACCTTCGAGATACTTGCGGATGCTGAAGGATTAAGAAGGATGGAAGACGAACGCGCGTGTCTTGTCTTGAGCCAATCTGGTCTGAGCATGTATCCTGGAAAGGAACTCAGGGCCCACTGAATTCCATACCCATGCAATTTCTGTAATCTCTCATTGGTCCATTCGTAGAACTACCGGCTGCATTTGTTCCTCCCGGGCCGCTATGCACTGGCTTCGTCCCATTGACAGGGGGAAATTTGGGGGCTTTCGTTCCTTGCTAGGGTTCAACAGAGCCTCTAGCTAAGCTTCTGCACGCTGGACCTTCAGCGGGGATGACCGATTTTCACTGCAGCCTCAGCTCTGATTGGGTAGGAATCAAGACCATGCCTTCTAGAACGGCCACTATTAGCAAAATTACGAGATGGGTTAGACTGTCTTTGTGAAGTCGGCTTTTCCCCTTTACCCTTGCACCCACCCACTCGTCTCAGCGCCTCTGACTTGGACTTTTAATTCCTGCATCCTCTCTTTATTCTTCGTTAATCAATCACCTTGGCCTCCGCATAATTCGCATTGCACTGCATTGCATCGCATCGTCGTAGGTCGTTGGCCATTTTGTGTCGTTCTTTACTTGTATATTTTGGTTCCAACGAAAGCGTCATCATCTACGTAAACCTTATCGTCATCTTGATCCTCATCGCGTCGAATCCTCTTCTATCACCGCTTCATTGCGCTCGACTCGCTCTCCCTGACCTTGAGAAAAGAACGACAAAATGGAAGAAGGGTTTATGGGATGGGTCATGGAGCTGACGGCCTGGGTGGCCCCCTTTTTTATCGTCATGTCGCCCGTCCTCTCCTATGCCGACCAGATCGTTTCCATGTACCGAAGCAAGACCAGTGCAGGCTTCTCTCTTGATATTCCTCTTATTATGCTTGTGGCGTCTCTCCTGAGGTTTGTTTTTCCATGCCCAATGCTATTGTTGTAGCTTGCGACTGACCCGCGTCCCCAAATATAGAATATTTTACTGGCCCCACGCTCAATACGATACGAGTCTTCTCCTCCAGTCCCTGTTGATGATTGTCGTTCAAGTGGCTCTCCTGAAGGTCGCTCTTGACTTCCGACCTCCTCCCCCCACCAAGGGCGGCGACGCTGGTCTGCCTTTCGCTGGTGCCGACGACAACTTGATGGGCTTCCAACGCCCCTATAACTTCTGGCAATGGCGATCTCCCCGACGGTAGGTGCCGCTTAGCAATTATCTGGACACCCTTGAACTAACAAACTGTAGATACTGGCAGGCTGTCATGTACTTTGCTGCTGCTCTCGTTGTTCTTGAGCTTCTCCTTTCTCAGATGCCTGGTCTCTATGCTGTATATGCGAACGCTATTGGATGCATTGGACTTGGTGTGGAGGCGACACTTCCCATCCCTCAGATCTTGGTCAACGCACGATCCAAGTCTTCCAAGGGTCTACGACTGTCGGTCTTGGCTGCCTGGATTGGTGGAGACACAATGAAGCTGTTTTGGTTCTTCACATCAAAGTCTGAGATTCCATGGTCTTTCAAGATCTCAGGCATGTTCCAGGCGTCATGCGATTTTTTCCTTGGTTTCCAGTACCTGCTGTACAACACTCCCGAGGAGCCTGCGCAAATCAAGGAGCACCCTATGGTTGAGTGGGAGGCACCCAAGGCGACAACGCGAAGCCACAGCCGAAGCCTTACCCCTACACGACGACCCGCTCCTTTTGTTGGCGCACAAGAAGTTAAATAAGTTGTCGACCATTGAATAATGAACGATTTAATGACGGTGATGTCGAACCTTATGCTTCGGGTTGATTACGATCTGCCATGGTGACGAATCGCCAGGAGTCTGTTTGAGAATAGGGAGAATAGAGCGATCCTTGAAAGAGGTGGAATGAGAAGCCATATGAAGATGAGATGTCGGCAATATATAAACAGCCTTTGGATTTGATTAAGTCCAATGCGCCGGTTATGAATCAAAGATGAACAACGACCTGTCAATACAAGAGGAATTCTACGTCTTGTCTTTGTCTTTGGGCTTGAGTCAAAGTTCCCCACAATTTACTCAATGCAATCTTGGAGCGATTGCCGGGTCTTGGCTTGAGTTCAGATCCTGGCTCCGGTTGGCCTTGGCTCGTTTCTGAAACAGGCACATGGCAAAAGTCTCGCGACCATCAGGTATCAGCCACATGTGGTATCATTCGACTGTTAGGATCTGTTAGTGGGGTACGTACTTGGACAGTATATTGAGCGGCCAGATGGGTATCTTGAAGAATGCCATCTATGATATGATATAGAATATAGACTAATAATACCATAACACTTTACTTTACTTGATCCGCCTCCCCATTGTTGTGTACTGTAACACAGTTGAACTGGAATTCAACCCGGGTAGCAGATACATTACCTTTATGCGAGTGCAGAACACAATAACTCTGATATTCTGGGCTGCTCTCTAAAAGTTGTCTTACACTATCAAAGATTCACACCCTCAGGCAATTTGTTTTTCAGCCCCTAATCCAGGTCCATTGTAACCTCATTAAGTCAACATTACTCCTACCAGTTACAATCTCAATCGTGGACCTGGTCATTGTTGAATGATTGTCACTGTGAGATTCTCGAGTCTATTTAGTTTGGTGCAACTGCAACACGCAACACTGTCGTTGCACTGACATCGATACTGGACAGCCCCACCCACTATACAGGCAAGACCTCGCAGTGGTAGGTACCTACTAAGCTAGGTAGTCAACAAACATCGATACCAAAATTATTCAACCGCATCATCACAGAATTTTCATTCTGAGGATTGATCAGGCAAACATCTTTGATTTACTATTTCTTCATTCATTCTCTGTTCTCCTTTTTATTCTTCAGACTGTGGTCGACGACCTTGATCTTTCTTGGCGTCTGCATATTTGGTCGCCCAGCAACAAACCTACAATCACACCAGAGAGAGATAGGTGCTACTACTATTCATACTCCGTGAAGATAGTAGTGATACTTATTTGGGTGAGTATCACAATTTCCATAGGAATCTTTCTCGACTCTTCACTCCTTAAGGTGGTCATCCTCCTTCCCCCCCTTTTAGGCAGTGAATCATCAACGCACTTCACTCACTTACGTATATCACCTGCCGCTTTCTTTCGTCTTCACTTCATCCTCTTCAACTTCTCATCTCGCACTTCCTTCACCTTACAACTCTCCTCACCGCGCAGACATCTGCGCATATCTTTTCATTTTTCGTTGCCTTTCTCTACACAGGCAGTAGCATTCATTCCTTTCACTACATCACAATCGCGTCCCTTCGCATTATCTTTCGCCAATTTCGTTCATTCATCTCTTCCTTGAATCGAGACTTGACTCTGCTTCGCACCTTCATTTCAATATATACCCACGACTTCTGCCTCTTGACCACAGCCGAAGACAACATCGCTTACGTATCGACTCAAGTCATTCAGAACATACCATATCTTAAATCAATTCTCCCGAGGTCAGTGTTCATCTCTTCTTATCCGTCATCTCAACCTCCTCTCTACCCCCTTCAATACTTATACTAACAACATCTCAAGATCTACACTCAAAATGGCCCCCGCAGCAAACGCCAAAGCCAACTACAAGACCTACGAGGCACAGGCTCGCATGGTTCGTGCCATCGTAGCCGCTCACCCCGAGATCAAGTGGAACTACAAGGGTAAGACTATCTTTCTTCACTGTCTTTATTCATCCTATCCTCCACTGCCCTTCTCTTCCCATGACTGTGACCGGGGTTGACACTCCTCCCCCAGAAATCGCCGCCTGTTATGGCTCTGATATGACTGAACATGCCTTGAACCATCGTTTTCGAAAAGTTCGGGCCTCTGTCGAGATCATCCACACAGCACGTGCTCAGGGCCGCGACATGAAAGGCCTAACTACCGATGAGAACCTGCTTCCATCTACCCAGGCAGCCATCGACAAGAATAGTAGGCTTTCCAACCTTGTCGATTTCTCTATTTGTCGATCTCTTGCTAACATCTTCTCTCCACAGACATTGCCAAGTACTTTGGCCAGTCTACCGCAGATGGCATTCAGTTTCAGTTCCGCACCATCAAGAAGGACGCTGAGGCTCTTCGCCAGACTGCTAACAACGGCGGCGATGTTGCCAGCTGCCTCAATCTTGGTGTCGGCGCTGGTCCCAACACTCCCTCCAAGCCTACTCCCTCGCGAGGTGCTCAGACAACTCGTTCTGGCAAGGGCTCGAAGCGCAAGAGCGCTCTCCCCGTCCATCCTATCAAGCGCTCAGCTTCAGATGATGAGGACGAGGATGATGACATGAACTGGGACGAGCTGGACAACACTCCTTCAAAGAGAACCAAGACGACCGGCCGTGGGGTCACTCCTTCTCGCACGGCTGCCCGGAAGGCCGCTGCTACCATCGCTGATGCTTCCGCACAGTACCAAGACAGCGAGTCCCCGTACGAAGAGCCGGTACCAACCCCTCTGCCTACCATCACCGGTCAAGCTGGTTATGCTGCCCCTACCGGCTCTACTGGCCCAGTCGGTTATTCTGCTGCTGCACCAGTCGCCCCATCTACTAATGTACTCCCGACCTCCATCTTCGGTAACGGCGAGCGCAAGCCTCGACCTACCGCTCCCCCTGCTCCTCACGGCCTTGATATGATGGCTTCTGGTCGCTCTGACTTCGACAGCTCTTTCGGAGCAGACCGCAACGACTACCTCGCTCCTCCTGCTGACGAAGAACACTTCTTTGACTGGGGTGATGGAGAAATCTGAGATAACGAATGTCGGACTTTTCTCTAAAAAAAAAGGAGTGTATTATACAGCGCATGCACAACCTTTTATGCGCAACGACTTTGTTTTGTTAGCGGCTACAGCTAAATCAACTTTCGGCACCCCTTCGGTGCCCATATCTTCCCCCTTTACCCCAGCACAGATACCCACCCCATTTTACAGTCGCGGTTCACGGCTGGCTTCTTTTCTAGTAAGCAACTATGGCTTTATAGCATCTTCCAACGGAATGTGAAGAACGGAAAACACGGAGAAGGAACGAAATGGCTTTCATATATAGTAGCTAGTGATCAGTTTACTTATAATAAACGACGTAGCTTCTAACGCTGTACCACTTCTGCTAGTGTTGCCTCGAATTTTGATATTCTTCCTCGACTGTCGTTTTCTAGATGTTAGTTCGAGACCAAGTACTGAGACCTGTAGAATTCCTCTCGAGCCTTGTGAGTTTACATATCAGTCAGTACGCATCTGTGTACTGAGCATCGAAATATGTCTGCAATTCGAGTTTGAAACTTCTGGACGTTTGTTTATGGTTTAATTGAATCCCCATAGGTATATTTGCATCCCCCCTAACACAATAAACACCTTGCTTAACTTGAAAGAACTTCCCATAGAGCATCCTTGTTCACATAGTCGTGATGAATGAGATTGACGAGCCAATAATCGTCCTTGATACCATTCAAGAGCTTTTCGCTCTCGGAACCACGGCCGTAAACCTTGGCCCACTCACCCCAGATTCCAAAGGCCTCCTCGCACCAAGCTCGGAAACTAACCTCTTCGATAATTGTTGGCGTAATAATCTCCTTGCCTGGGAATACGCCCCATGTTACAGCGTTTGTACTCGGATTGCCCTCCGTCGACCCGTTCACGTGACCGCCGATGTCCGACGAGACGTAGTCGCCGCGAGCGTTGCTGGCGTAGAAGCACACATAGTCTTGCAGCTCTGAGGATACGAGCTTAGCCCTGAGAGTTTCCCATTCGTTCGACGGGATGAAGAATTCAACAAACGACTTCTGGAAGACGAAGCCGTTGGGCGGGCCCCATCCGAAGGTGGCGTCGCTGGAGCGCAAGCCATTGACGGCGGGCTGCGAGGCGACGGTCCACCAGCCTTTCCCGTTGAGTTCAAGTAAGTGAGGCTTGATGGTAGAACTCTCGGCCAGAAGCTCCTCCTCGCTCCACGGGATAGCGGAAAGCTCTCCCTGAATGTGCTTGACAAACAGGTCGTTAATGTCCCGCCGCGTCTTGGGGTTACCCCAGAGTTTGACAGCTTGCGTCACGGACATGTGGAGGCTCACGCCGTATCCATCAATCTCACCATAAGCAGGTGAGCGGGCGTCACCAAAACGACCGTTGGGGAAGTCGTCCCACGTCGCCTCACGGCCCAAAGCACCCTCGCCCTCCGATATGGCCAATGTGTTGGCGCGGCTGTTGATGGCTTCGGCACGTACACCGGCTTCTAGACCAGTGGCTTCCCACTCGGGGTAAACTGCTGGCCTATCACCAACAATAACATAATTGTGAGGGTCCGAGGCGACAGAAGAGTGCCTTCTAGACTGTCGAGAGCGGGAGTGGCTGCTTGAGCGCATGTTGCCGTTGATCTGTAGCGCGGGAATAGCGAGTTCGTCGACTGCGACGACGGCTTCCTCATTCTCAGGGGGGTCAGGTATGAGATTCGCTCGCTCCAGGATGAAGGACACTGCCTTCTCCAGGTTGAGTGTATAAAAGTGGAAGCCCTTGGGGCCCGGTGTCTTTGACTTGATGTCCTTGATCTTGTCTATCAACTCATTGACAATATCTACACCGACCATCTTTACCCGTTCATCGTCACCCTTGACAGCATCAAGGCGTGCGAGGAGATGGTCAGGGATTTTGGCATGGCTCAGTTTGGTGGTTCGCTTAATCATCTGGTAGCTCTGGATAGGCATAAGTCCAGGAATGATGGGGATACCCTTGAAGGCACCACTTGGGTGCTCTCTTAGAGTGTTCTCGAAGTGTTCGTATGCTTCAATATCGAAGAAGAGTTGAGTCTGGATGAAGTCGGCGCCGGCTTGAACCTTTTGGACAAGGTAAGGAAGATCATGCTCCAAGCTTTGTCCCAGAGGATGGCTCTCCTCGGCGTGGCCCTCGGGGTATGCTGCAACACCAATACAGAAATAGTCGCCATGAGTCTTGCGGATATACCTGACCAAATCGATAGCCCAGTTGAAATCTTGACCTCCGTCGTCCTCCGAATCTTCAGGGTCCCGGTACTCCTCACGTCGTGGGGGGTCACCTCGCAAAGCCAAGATATTCCTGATGCCCAATGCCTTTGCGTCTGAGAGAGCTTCGTCAATCGACTTCTTACTCATGTTGGTGCATGTCAAGTGTAGACATGTTGTAAGCCCAACTTCTCTTTGGCACAACTCGGCCAGCTCAAGCGATTTCTGAGAGGTACTACCACCGGCGCCCCAAGTGACGTTTACGAAAAGTGGTCGAAGTGCACGCTCCATTCGGTGAAGTCGGTCTCGTAGGTTGGAAAATCCCATGGCAGTCTTGGGGGGGAAGAACTCGAGAGAGAAATAGGTGCCATCAGCCGGCAAAGCGGCGATGCGATCGGTGATCTTGTCCATTGCGATGGATGACAAGAGGAAGTTCAGTCGGAAGTGGTACAAATGTATTTATTCGTAAGATTTGAGTAGGCTCCAAGACGTAAGACGGGATATCCTTCGAGATTGGAATCGTGGGCTCGTCGATAGATTGAACTTGATGAGGAGGAGATTGGGTATGCGAAATCGGAAACCACAACTCCAGAATCTACCCAAACTGATTCGACCTGCAATGGATCTCTGTCTTATCGATTAAGAGCTATCAAGCTCGGGATGTAGAGAGTGTCTCAACTCAAGGAGATAACTCGGCGTGAGACGAGACAAGTCAAGTACGACGTCGGCGTCTCGTTTCTTTGATCGTGGAGGGATTGGTTACCTGCTCTACCCGTACTACTAAAGTGGACGAATTTTGTGGCGGGGCGTCCATGATAGCGGGGTTTCCAACCATTCATTAGGTTGTTCACAAGTGGAGGGCAGTCTTTCAGTGGCCGTTCTCGGTATGGCTACTGGCTTCACTGGACGTTAGCAGTCATGACGCATCCGACGGTACCTAAAGTCCGCCATCATGAGTGGTGGTTGAACAAGTACCGGCCGGGCTGATGTGGTCCGAGCTTTACTTTCCAGCCCAGGGTGCCTTACCTGATGGTATCTTATCTTAAATCGCATGGATCTAACACTAACACTCAGAACATCCAATTTTTGGACCTCAGTGTACACTCTTACACCACCAAATTTGCTTGTCCAACACCAATTGATGCGACTTGGCATCATATCATGCCTGAATACCAATGCCACTGCTGCAATCAAGGCTCATGAGCTGCGCCACAGCTCGGCGCGCCTTGTCTAACTCACTCTCCAACTCAATCCGACGTCCGATAATCGCACGTTCAACGGCTGCAACTCTCTCGCGACGATGCTACGCCATTGACCTGACCTCAATCGATGAAAAATGGCGTAAGAAATGGAAGGAGTCTAATGTAGCCACAAAGGGGTCTGAGAATCTTGCCGACACAAAAGACAACCACTATGTACTGCCCATGTTCCCGTACCCGTCTGGGACTCTGCATCTTGGCCACCTGCGAGTTTACTCCATTGCCGACGTCGTCGCCCGGTTTCGAACAATGAAAGGCGATAAGGCTATGCTACCTATGGGATGGGATGCATTTGGACTCCCCGCTGAGAATGCTGCGATCGAACGAGGTGTTGCCCCAGAAAAATGGACAACAAGCAATATGGCCAAGATGAAGGAGCAGCTTGAGCTCATGAACGGAAGCTGGGACTGGAATCGTGTAGGTTCAATTCATTTGGAAAATCCTCTCAGCTCTAATTCGTATGTCAGGAATTATCAACTTGCGATCCCGACTTCTACAAGCATACTCAGAAGATCTTCCTGATGCTCCACGAACGAGGCCTTGCGTACCAGGCTGAAGCTGAAGTCAACTGGGACCCTGTTGACAAGACTGTCCTCGCAAACGAGCAGGTCGACTCGAATGGCAACTCCTGGAGATCAGGTGTCAAGGTCGAGAAGCGCAATCTCAAGCAGTGGTTCTTCCGCATTTCTGAGTTCCGTGAAGCCCTGCTGGAGGAACTGGAGGCGCTTTCGAAGGAAAACGCGTGGCCAGAGCGAGTTTTGGCACAGCAGAAGAATTGGTTGGGGAAATCAACTGGCGCTGTCGTCAAATTTCCTGTCCTTGCTATGGGCCATGATATTCATGCTAGTATTGAAGTATTCACCACTCGACCTGACACCCTGTTTGGCGTTCAGTACGTTGCTCTTGCGGCCAGTCATCCTATAGTGGCTAAGCTTGCGGCTTCGGATCCTGAGCTACAAGCGTTCATCGATACCATCCCCGGTTTACCTGCAGACTCAAAGGTGGGTTACTTGTTGCCACACTTGCGGGCTATTAACCCGCTCGCCTACCATGAAGAGACCCCCGATGCCACCAAGGTCTCGCTTCCCGTTTACGTTGCGCCATATGTGTTGGGCGACTATGGCGAAGGCGCCGTCATGGGTGTTCCCGGCCACGATCTACGTGATAATGCATTCTGGAAGGAGCACCACTATGATGCGCCTGTTCGACACGTTCTCTCCGCATCTGAGGATGAAACAACAACAGCTATGGAGAACGAGCCCTTCGTTGAACACGGAGTCATGACGGAACATAGTGGTTCCTTCAAGGGCAAGTCTTCAACTGCTGCCGGAGAGGAGATCGTCAAGCTGCTTGAGAAATCTGACCTGGCCAAACCTGTCGAAAAGTGGCGTCTTAGAGACTGGCTTATCAGCCGGCAACGATACTGGGGTACCCCTATTCCCATCATTCACTGTGGTACATGCGGCCCGGTGCCTGTGCCAGACGAACAGCTTCCCGTAAAACTTCCTGACGTGGACTGGGCAGAAACACGCAACGGAAGCCCCCTGGAGTCATCGCCCGAGTTTGTCAACACGACTTGTCCTAAATGCAACAGCGCTGCTAAAAGAGATACTGATACCATGGATACATTTGTCGACTCAAGCTGGTACTACGCTCGCTTTGCTGATCCGCACAATAAAGACTTGCCATTTTCCCCTGAAGCTGGCAAGACTCTTCCCGTAGATACCTACATCGGTGGTATCGAACACGCCATTCTTCATTTGCTCTACGCACGCTTCATATTCAAGTTCCTGGCCTCAACCTCTTTACTCCCCCAATACACCGAGGAAACTTATAAATCTGCCGAACCATTTAAACGCCTTATCACTCAGGGCATGGTTCACGGTAAGACATATATCGACCCCGACAACGGTCGTTTCCTCAAGCCTGACGAGGTTGACCTATCGAATCCCAACCAACCTAAAGTGGTATCGTCTGGGAAGTCAGCCAACGTCGCGTTTGAGAAGATGTCCAAGTCCAAGCACAACGGAGTTGATCCCTCAGCTTTCATCTCCAAGTACGGTGCCGACGCAACCCGCGCGCATATGCTCTTCCAGGCCCCGGTTGGGGATATCCTCAACTGGGACGAGGCTAAAATCACCGGTGTTACCCGTTGGCTCCAAAGGCTACATGATCAGATCACAGCTATTGCTTCAGAGCCCAGTGAGGAGAAGATGTCTGCACGGGACTACCTTGCTGCTAAGCATGAACGCCTTGAGTCAGGATCTACAAAGGAACTTGCACAATGGGATGCAGAGACAGCCATATGGCGCGATGTCCAACGTACCATCGCATCTGTCACAGCATCTTACGATGAAGTCTACTCCCTCAACACAGTAGTGTCGGATCTTATGATTCTCACCAACACCCTCGCCGACAACCACGCCGCCAGCCTGGTTGTTAAGCGTGAGGCTGCTCAGGCTCTCATTTCCATGATGGCACCTATCACCCCTGCATTTGCCGAGGAGTGTTGGGCTCTCCTTCATCCATCGTCACACTCCATATTCGAGTCCGCCAGTTTTCCCACGGTAGACAGTTCTCTTGGTGAGATCGTTCGTCCACGAGTGCAGCCCTGCGCTGTGCAGGTTAATGGAAAGGTACGCGGGGTTGTTAACATTCCGCCTCCTCCTGCTGGGCTGGTTGGAGATGAATTGCGTGACTGGATGGTTAAGGAAATTCTCAAGACTGAGGAGGGTGCGTCACGCTTCTCTGAGGGGCCGTATGATCTGCGCGCAGCGAAGAGGGCGATTCCTGTACGAGGAGGAAAGACGATTAACTTTGTATTAAAATAGATCCCAGGCGAAAAAAGTGTAGGAATGGATGTATGAGTATTTGTAAGATAGATGATCAATAGACACTGCATAAATATTGATTGATTAATACTTTGACTGCTCCTGCTATAGCAACATCACCACCAATTGTAAATAGTGTTAATGTACCGCAACTTAAACCTCCCTGCTCCAGCCATTGACTTCTGCGTTCTTAATACCTAGACATCTGGTTAAAAAGGTTCACAGAGGGAGGACTTTCACTACGAGGCGATACCGAATATAGGATGGAATTGAAGGCTGACTGTCATCCTAAGACAACGTGGCCGAGTGGTTAAGGCGATGCCCTGCTATTTCTCCCCAGAACTATCATAGGCATTGTGTTCGCACGCGTAGGTTCGAATCCTGCCGTTGTCGAAAATCGTTTTTTTGCCGAACCTTTCTTTTATCTTCAATCTCAACTAATCCTTTTTGTATTCTTAACTTTCTACCCTTTTCTTGTTCATGTCTTTGTCTCTTGATCATGGGGTTCAATCAACTGAGAACTTGACTTCATATGGGCGGCCTGTTAGTGAAACCCACAACGGCGTGTCGGACATCTATATGCGTAACCTCACGGAGACTAGTTTACCATCACGTATTTGGCAATTTAGAGAGTAAAGTCGTTTGCAGATTTGGCTGGGGCCCAAGGAGTACTGTTCCTCTGGGAAAGGTGGTCTTCTGTCACAGTGTTGCCCAGCGCTTATACATCGACTTGAAGTCATAAGGACAACAACTCAATATCGACACGCCATAGGATTTGTAGGATCAAAGACTTGTCAGCTTACGAGGCAATCAAAACAGAACCTAATTGGGCGATATATACGACGTAGATTTTGCTCCAAACAATTATCCGGCAGAAGCGGAGTGGCAGGAACTCAGCTGCTTCACAATTAAATAGTTCCTCATCTCAGCCCAGCCATTGCTGACCATGCGCCTCTAGCCTCAACCCAGGTACAAAATGCCAAGAGCGATACTATTCGGGAAATAGCATGAAGATCGTTCATTGCCAGGGGCAAAAGATTGAGGCGACTAAGGACGACAATACACTATTGGTGTTCTTTCGGTCGCATGCCAACACACCAACCTCGCCGGTTAATGCTGGCAGCAAGCTGAACCGTTCCAGCTTTCTGGACTAAGCCACTTTGCTACAGATAGATAGCTTCAAGATAGGTAAGCAGACAAGGATCGCATTTATGCTAGATGTGTACTTTATGGGCTGTATAGGTGTCTTGTGATCCAATGCAGTATAGATCTTGTAACCAGATGATCCAACTCCAAATCAGGATCGCTAGGGATATTTAGCAAAACACCACTACAGAAAGGGCGGTGCAGCTTGTGTAGCAGTCATCGTCGTCTATTAGTCCAAAAACAGCAGGATCGCTTATTTATGCTCTTCGCTCCTCATCTTGCAACAAGCTTTCACTCTCGCGATCGTTGGATTGCGTGTTCTCAGCATCCCGATACCAAACGTAGTGCTGGGCCATAAATATGGAGTCGAAGATCATGCTGATATTTCCCAAAGCAAATTTAACAGGATTGCCAGTGATGCCGCTCCAGTCACCGAGCTGGTAGCTGTCGATGGCCTGCTGGCTGACACTGAGGACACCACCAGTGAGGTCAAAGAGAATCTGCCAGATGCTCCAGCCCTCGGTGCTCTGATTCTTGTAGTTGGTGATGATCTGGGGTGTGTACTTGATTAGAGTGATAATGAGCTTGACATAGCCGACAGCGTAGACGATATCGAGAGCGACCCAGTCATACACAGCATCGTTTCCAGGCGAAGCAGAAACAATAATCCATGTGCACAGAACCCCAGCAATACAACCGGCTGACACCCCGAGGATGAAGCGGCTGGGGCGGTTTCCATGATTGGGAGCAAACCCCCACAGAGCAGGTGAGAGGTACTGCGAGGTTGTGATGATGGAGAGGACCAGCGCATGGAGCGCAAAAGTGATGTCGTTAAACTGCACGGTGGATTCAAGGCCCTTGTGTCTCGCAGCATACTGGGCACGGATCTCTGGCGAGTAGTAGAAAGCTACATTTGAGCTAAAGTACGCAGCAAAGCCTAAAAGATGAGAATATCGCGGTTAGCAAAAGATTCGAGTATCCGCAGGATCTAGCTTAATGGAGGCGGTAGTAATCGGGCCCAGGGTGCCGGAATGACAAGGGCAACGAGCCGCAGGGCTGGCCTGAGCGAGGAGGGGTGTAGGTTTTGAGTCTGGCAGTCGTATCATCCATGTGTAGACAATACTGAGCCACGGGGGTCTGGATATATCAGGGACTCGGGCTTCAAGACTCACCGAGGACGTTGATCAAGGGGAAATCGACGGTGGTCCCGGTAGTGGAGCGACGACGCCAGTTTAGCAAGGGCTGAGGGTAAAAGGACGCGCTCCATGCGAAGAAGTAGACCCAACCAAAGAGGCCTGATAGGAAGTTAAGGAATGAGACTGCCATTTTGAGTGCTGTCGCAGTATATTGCGCGACAAGTGTGGTAGTAATACAATACAAGAGCAGAGAGACTAGGCACAAAAGAGAGTTGAAAGCCGAGGCTGCTCTTGGGGAAAGGATTGTGTGCAGAGGTCAGAGAAAGGTGAGTAAATGAGTGAGTGAGTACCTAAGGTATCTCACCTGAAATGAATGAAGTCTCATGTGTTCTGACGCCATCTCATTCTAAGTAGTAGGTACGTATTTTTAGCGAATCCCAAACTGGTTGGCGCGGACGGGACGGGAAAGTGCAGAAAGTGTGGCTGACAGGTACCAGATGGGGCTGCATGTTATGGTGAAGATGCTCCTTCCCAACCAATTTACTATTACCGTCAAAATAATACCAATCGGATGGAATAGGTAAGTAAGAATACAGAATGACGAAACATTCTACGCAAGAAGACGTCGATGGTCAGTAATAGATCAAAGCTTATTAGGCAGGAACTCTCAACAACGGAGAACATCCGAGGATTTATCGTGTCCAGCAAGAAATCAACACCAAGGGACATGAACGCAATAAAGACAAAGCTTCCGGATACAACAAAAGAGGCCAATGGATTTCAGTGATTATCCTAGACAAGAGAACGATAGTCCCTGATCACATCAACGGGAATTGACCGAAGACGCCCTGACATATTAAAGCGAGTGGATACTTTCAATACTTACCTAGATAGTCACTCCTCTCTGAGATGTTGTTTTCTAGAACGATCATTTGAGCCGCAGCTCACCTTGAATCCTTGTCTCCCATCGGCAGCAGGAAGCGAGCGGTGAAAAAGTCAAACTGAGATCACGCCAGGTAAACGAAAAAGCGCATGAGGCTCAGGAATAGTGGAGCTTGTTGATAAAACAGGGTCGGAAGAGACCGGACAGAGATAATCTATGGTATACTTAATGTTTCACGCGGATTATTCTCTTGACGACCTCAATCGGTAGTTTCGGAGCCGAAGTGGGCACTTTAAAGCAAAGATGAATCTCTTGATATCAGGTGGTGATGGTTGGTTACATTATCTACGACTGTGGCTGCGGCTGATGCATATGCATTCCCGTCTTAAAGGTACATGCCGTGCTACTGTACAGATATTTCCGAGCCATGTCCGTATCGGATCCTCAAGAATGGTCTGGAAACCCAGTTTAAGTCGTCTTGTTTTGAGAAGAAAATATCAAACAATGGATCTCACAGGGGTTGGAGGGAACCGGGAATAGAGGCAGATTGGAGGAATGACGGTCTTGAGCCTCCGCACCGTGTGTCTCCATATCTACAACTCATAGCATCATGAGATTTTACTTTGATCCATATATCTACCTATCTATCTAATCATGATGATCATCTTTTTTCTTTTCCTTCCCTCTCCTCGATATTCTTCTTGTGATGTTTGAGTGACTGTTTCCAAGATTAGACCCTGGTCTTTTGGAGGCTAAAAAAGGGGAGACCTCTTAAACTCCCGATACTAATCCTTGTACGATAGTGGATTCAACGGCTGTTCCGCGACGGGGCATCGCTCGGCACCGCTACGGTACTTGTCACCTCATGCTCAGCCCATTGATACAATGATATCTGTGGCTGCAATCAGAGATACTGACTGATACCTAGGTGCCTATCTAGGTAGTGATGTGACTGAGAATATCCGTAGACACACTTGAAATCTCCAAGTTAATTCATGGCTGGCTGTGTTCAATGATCAACATCTGCTTATGCTACTTGCGCCAATTCAGCTCAGAAGAGTAAAGGCCTTGGACGAGTCAGCTTATCTGACTGGCACTTGGGGAATTGGAATGGGTGCCACAAAGATTCGAATCAGCTAAAACAAAGAATTCAGCACCAAGATTGAGGACGAATAGAATGTGATAACTCAATCTTTCGGTCAGCATCAGCTACGTAGTACTGTACTGCAATGATGGGTGTGTATTTAAGACAGACAGAGACACTCAGCCCTTGCTTTGACTTGAATACGCGATTGCTGTCAGATCAACAATACATACATACGCAGTAACAATAAAATAGAATGACAGCACCATCGGGTCCCGATCCCTGATTTGATTTACCCATGACCCCTGCTGTTCCTTTCTTTAGTGGCCGATTGCTCGTAAGTTTAAGCCCCAGGCCGTGATGTTACTGTACCTACCGTTACCGGGGGAGGGTGTGTCCCTTGACTTTGACTTTGACAGCCACGGCCATGGCCGTATCTCATGTAATTCTCCAGACCACAATAGATCTTCTGAATATATATATATATACCAAGTCTGAATCTCCCTCTCTCTCTTCTCCTTTTGGTTCCCCATCTTCATCAACCTACAAAACGCTTATCAGTCTTGTCATCATACGACTCAACGCCTCAAAGATCGACGCTACTACACGATCAACATCACTACCATCCGTCAATCACCCTTATTGGATATACATCATTCAAACCAACAACAGCTAGTCTGGTCAATCATCAGCTTAGCAGCTCTTCACAAACTTGATTTAAGATTCTTTCTACGCCAACTAGTCAATTCGACTTGCTCTACTCTCAATATCTATATCTATATCTATATCTATATCTATATCTACATCATTATCACTATCAACTACATACTTGAACCCCGACAATCAGATCATCATGGCTGCCGCAATTCAACAACAAGAACCTCATAAAACAGGTTTCCTTGATCTCCCAGTCGAGATCCGCCTGGAAATCTACGACCAGCTCCTCATCACAGCTCCCTACACAAGATGCGGTCGTCCATGTCCAGAGCAAAAGGTCCATGCCTCTCTCCTCCGCACCAACCGCCAAATACACGACGAGGCCACAGATCTCCTTTACGGGTCCAACACTTTCCTCTCTCATCCTACACTTCTTACATCCTTCCCCCGTCTAAGAAACTGGTACGGCCCCGTCAAGGAGTCCTCCATCATCCCCAGCATCCGTCGCTTCCACACCCAGGTCCGCCTCGATGTCGATCTCCCGTATGACGCAGACGCAGTGACAAAAGCCTACAGCGGTCTCGACGAGTTGACCATCGACGTGGTTCAGTCCATGTTTCTCGGAGTGGGATACCGCAATCTACGCATGTTTGAGGGCGTCCGGGGTGTAAAGAAGGTTACTGTTACCGGCAGCACAACTGGCTTCGAGGATTATGTCGAGTGGCTCAAGATGGCCATGACGAGTGAACCCGACGCCAAGGTGCCCGAATACGTGCCTCAACAACAAGCCGGCTGGATCCAGCGCTTAGCCACTGTGCACTACTAAGTCGCTCCCAGCATTGCTTTTTCTATCTCTTTTCACTTCTTCTCATTCGTTGAGAATTTGCTTCAGCTTTTACTGTATGGGTTTAATGTATTTGGAAGCGATTGATGCATAAAAAGAACTAACGAATGTGATGAAATCGTCCTCATTTGGACTTGGAGTTTTTGGTTAACTAGGTATTTGGAGGGCATTGGAGTAAAAGGGAGTTCACCTAGATGCAAATTCCCAAATATCATCAGGCAAATCCACGATTAGCAGTACACAATGGTATCATGGAATAGAATGTTTGAAGTTGCAAGTATCCCGTCCCGTTGTCAACAGTGAAACAACGGAAACGGCAACATCCAATGTTTAGACAGTAGGATATACACCAGTTCCTAATACAGTGAGACATAGATCAACCCACTGTCACTAGTACAATATAATACAAATATCTTCAACATAAATCTGCTTTCATTTCTACAAAGGACTCACCCAAGCTAGGTATGGTAACGGTGACAATAACAATAACAATAACAATAAAATCAACAGCCAACACAGTAAAGAGACGATAATAAAACAGCCCCCATCATGCCCTTTAAATGCCCCAGAACGCCGAGTCTGATGCAAAAGTAGCAGACGCTCTCCTCCTCGCCCGCTCAGCCGGACTCGGATATGAGATTTATCACAATATAGTTCTTTTTTGTATTCCGTCTTCCAGTTATATCCCCTTTCCCTTCCTTTTGTCTTCGTCTTTATCTTCCGCTCTAAACAGAAAAGATCAATCCAAAAATGAGAGGTCAAGGTCAAGGTCAAGGTCTGGGGTATCGTTGGAGGATACAGGATCTCTCCTCGCCTCTGTCCGGTACTCCGTGCGCGGGTGGGTCGGATATCGAAGCCCGACCGTGGGCCGTTTTCCAAGGCGCAATAGCCGAGCAGTCACCGGACAATCGCTTTGGCTAAACCTTGCCTCCTTCTCAACCTCAAACCAACCTCATCTTCATCCTTTTTCTGCGTTTTTTTCTCAATCATTCATCTCACTTCTATCCCTTGGCTTACTGTCCACCACCACCCATGATCTTGGGCAGCGATCGCCATCCCTTCTCGTTAGGAAGCTTGACCTTGCCAAAGTCCTCATCCAGGTCAAGGATCACCTTGAGGGCGTTACGGCTGCGGCCATAAGGACTAGTGTCCAGGCTACCCTTGACCGTTGATAAAGCATCAGACACTCCTGTAGGAATCTTCTCCTTCTGTGTACCAGGCATGGGCAGGAGAGTCTGGAGAACCTCGTACGCAGCCAGAGTGAAACCGAATTGAGGAGATGATCGGAAGATACGGGCGGGACCACCCTTGAAGAAGGCAGTGAGGCCCTCTTCCTTCCAGATGGTCTGAGCAGCGTGTCGCAAACCGTTGTATGTGGCCTCGCCCTTGCGAGCCTCAACCTGAAGTCGGGTCTTGATGACGTCGCAGGGAGTCGTCAGGTAAGCAGCGGGCATACCGGCAATGGCACCGGCAGTCAGTAGCTGCAGAACGCCCAGCTTGTTGGTCGGGGACTCGCCGAAGAAGTCCTTCTTGAGATGGCTGTAGGTGGGGAAGTAGATGGCGGAAAAGGGAACATCGCGGAGCAGGCAGGCCGAAGCGCCCTTGTACAATCCAACGAGACCCAAGTTTCGCACGATCCACATGGCAGATCGCTTCGGTGTTCCTTCGACGGTCTTGGCGACCTCTCCCTGCACTTGGAGACGAATTTTAACGATCTCGAGAGGGTTGGTGAAAACCTAAAAATGTATTTGTCAGTTGCCATTCTTTCGGATCTTGGTTACTTGTGTACTTACTACTTGGCAGGCACCAGCGGAACCACCAGAGATCATTTCGGACCAGAGCGTGATGTTACCGTTCTTGTCAGTAAACGCTTTTCGGGCGAGATCGTTGACAGTGAGTTTAATGGCCTTCTCGGGAGCGACACCAACTAATTGCGGCAGCACACCCGAGTAGAGACCTCGGAAACCCTCGTTACGGATGACCTTTTGGAAACAATCGATTGAGTTCTTGTAGAGACGCTGACCAGGTTGGGCGCCTCGCTGGTTTTGCAGTCGTGTCTTGACCAAATCGATGGGGTACACCATGAAGGCACCAAAGGCACCAGCAACACTACCAAGGGCAAAGTTGTAACCAGAAGACAAGACGCTCATCAGAATACCTCCACTTGCAACCTTGGCCTTGGTGGCCTCGACAGCATCGTAAATAGGGTTGCGCCATGAGGGGTCGAGAACCTTGGCAAAATCGGAGAGTCCCAAACGACCAGAGGGCTCGTCGAGGCCAGCAAAGTGGAAGAGAATATCGGCTTCCATTGGAGTGAAGAGAGAGAAGCGGGTGAGTTTAGCAGCCTCGTTCAAGAACTCGGGACGAGTGATCTTGCCATCCTTGCTCTGGTCAATGGCGCGGCGCAAGATGATCTCAACAAGATCCATACCACCAATCACGTTCTGAAATGCGCGAACGTTGGCGTAAGAGATCTTGGATCCGATAGAGAGGTTTACCAGAGTGTGTAGGTTGTCGAGAATGTGCTCAGACAGCTTGTGGCGTGCTGTCTCGACGATGATGCGCTCGAACTCCTCACCACTGATGAAACCGTCACCATCCTTGTCGAGCTGATGGAAAGCTTGTCGGATGCGCTCGCCTTGGAGACCTCGCAGCATCTGGCAGAACTGAGGGTAGTCGAGAGGATGACGGTGCTTCTTGTTGCCAATGTAAATCTTGGCCCAGTCGGATTCCCAGTCGAAGGCTAGGTTGTTAGGGCCCTTGTTGAGCTCATATAGAGTGCGGAAGTCGTCATATTTGACAGCTCCGGTGCGCTCAACGTCGAAGAGACGGAAAGCAATCTGATATTCGGCATCGGGTTTGCTGAGGAGGTGCTCAAACACGCCCCAGTCGGCCAGACTCACTCTGCCCTTGCCATTCACGTCGGCGACGCTGAAAAGAATGGAGTATTGGTCACGAGAAATCTTGTGCTGTTTGGGTATTGTCAGTAAAGCCCCGGTGAGTATCCAAGCTGAGCGGTAACCCAGCTTGGCCAGAGTAGCAAGTGACTCACGTAATCTTCACCTGTGGGCGCAACAGCGTTGATAAATTCTTCAGGTCCAAGGTAGAGCTCGCCAGTCTCGGCGTCTTTCACAGCGTGCTGAGTGAAGCGCGCCTTGGTGTGGGCAGCAAGCTGCTCAGGCTCATGTGTCCCCACGACAGCCTCCTTGACGGCCTCGGTGGCCACAGCAAGCTTGGACATTGTTTAAATCGGAGTCGATCGAAGGGGTAAATAAAAGGCACTCGAGAGGTAAAGGTTTCGTTTCGAGCAATTGAAGCTGCGAAAGATAAATACCGATGCTCAGCGAGTCAAAAACCTCAGTTTTTGAGTCAGCCCGGAGACAAATCGGCTTCGTAAAATGCCACAGGGAGGTGGTCCGACAACGGGCGAAGTACGGGGAAACTCTTTAGAGCGAGCCAACTGAGGGACGAGGTAGGGACCAAGGAGGATGTTTCCCTTAACAGTCTAAGACAGTGACAGGAAAAGTATGTCAGAGATAACTCGACAAAGGCAGAGAAAAGCGAAAGCGAAAGGGAAAGGGAGAAGGAAAAAGAGGCAGAAGAGGAGGAGCGAAATGCGTCAATTGGGGAATTTCGAGATGGAGCGAAAGATGAGATAAATTTGCTACCTCCCGCTTCATTCAGGCCGGTGGTTGGTCCGGGCGGGGGGGTGCGCGGTGGTGGGTGTGCGCGCCTACGTGGGGAGAGCTTACCTCACTTCAGGGCACTTCAAGACAATTAAGAAGCCACGACGGGGAAGAGGTACAGGCAGGTAAGTATACGTCGGTATCATACACGAGTCGAGATACTTGTAGTACATGTGTAAGGTAACTTTCTTGCTTCGCCAGTAATTCAATGGAAAGTGCTTGTAGCCCTAATGCTCCCATTCCCCCTGTAAAGGATGTCTTTCCTGCCACTGAAGGTTCCATGGAATGGAGCGAACCTCTGGAACCTCGAGGAAAGCAAACCCCAGCATAGGCTCTAGCGGTCTACCATGGAACTCCGGGTCAGCGGACAGGTAAACTCAGCACCTACAATCCGGACCGCTTCAAGCGCGCTTTCGTTGCTTTTGCCTGACATACATATCGATATTCGTATCCATAACCAGCTTGAACATGTATCAGGAGGTGGTTCAGGAGACTACCTACTAAGGTACTTCACAAACAACTGACTCTACAAGCACACGAGAGCAACAGAGGTCCCGTCAACAAGTCTCTGCCAACATCAGTGAATCAGGGTTAGAAACAGAACCGCAGCCAACTGGTGTGGCATCAGGTACCTAAAGGTACATTCATCCACATAGGCGAATGTATACCTGGATCTCATCAGTGGACCCCTCCAAATTCTGGGCATCCCGGGCATCTCCTGGATAAAGTACTTAGCGAGGCTGCTCCCATACCTTGATCACAACGATTTTAGCCCATTCAACTTCGAAACATCTGGCTCGGGGCATCATTATACAGATAAGAGCTCGAGTATTCATGTCCAACTAATCTGAGCCCACTCCTCTCAATTATTCTCTATCAATCGTGAAGCCGCGTCTCTTCCGCAGCACCGGGAATGCCTCCTTTCCCCGTCCCGGGGTGGCATATCATTGTGGGGATAGACCCCAGGACTGACCCGCAGAGCCGGAGTTCGGAGAAGCGCCCACTCCTCGATTCAATATGACCCGCGCCGTTTATTTGCGTATGGTATCGACCACCACGTTGTTGCAGAGCTGGATTTCGTGACGGTTAAAGAGATCGAGAGGATGTCGACTGATGGTTCTCGTAATATCATTGGCATGCGGTCGAGAGCCTGATATAACTAAGTCCGACGTGTGGACCTCGTTCAATTCGAATTTAAGTTGGGTGAGCCTTCCTCTTCCTTTACGGGTGCCTCTGACGTGCGAGTGTATGGAGCTATCCCCTTGTCTTCCCTTCCCTTGAGGGCCTCGAGAAACTCCATGTACAATCGCGGTTCCGCTGGACCGTAGCGCAATCTATCGTATTGGAGATAACATGGTCTTCTGACAAAGAATTACAGCACTGCTCCAATTCAGGTAGGAGCTGTTCACCTGCTCTCACCTTAAGGTATCAATGTAATATCCCGTGCCCCAGGTTCGGAGTCGCGGAGGGTCTGCCCGTGCTTGTGGCAGCGAACAATTTCCGTGTTTCCAGAACCTCGCCCAAACCGTCAAGACGTCACATGGTTTCAATGGCTTCTCTAGTGTCGTCTTGGGACCCGATCATTTCATATATCGGAATCTTGCCCAGTCACGAGCACGGCGCAGTGTTATCCTTTGACCGAATTTAGCCAAGGTGAAGGTAAAAAGAGAATGGAAGCCGAATCCACCCTGATCTTGTCCATGCTGCTAACCCTACCTCCGCACGCGCACAGGTAGAGATTCAGAACTGACATAACCGGGCCGCTAACCTTGTTGCGCCCCTATCACAACAGCTGCTGGCCTGTCTCCCATCACTTGATTTTAAGAGTCCTCACTTTTAAGGGAACTTCATATACGTGTTTTAATCAACCCATATTGGGTATGTCCATGTGCGAAATGCCGGATTTTCCCGGTTCGCAACAAGTATCAGAACAGCTTTCCCCTGGCTGCCAGGTCTACAGGTAGCTAAACGCCCAACCCCTGTTCTGGCCTTCGTTAGTGGAGCCAAGGAGAGTCCTCCGTGGGGAAAAGTCGGGGTTTCCAGACTAAGGTCGGGGTAAGTTCGCTCTTGTTCAGATTCCATCTTGGTGCAGATGAATTACATACAGCTTGTGATCTGGATCTGGATCTCATTTAGATCTTTTAGATCATGTAATAGACTTGCCAGGTCGTACATCACGTGCATCCTACAAATTCCAGATTGTACCCTGCCAACCTATAGTAAATAGTCACAGCTATCAATGTTTGCACACAAACAGATACTCGCGCTGGCCTCGATAAATGCTGATCATGCGTCATACCAGTAGAAGACAGGAGACTTCAAGGTATGTCATGTCCATTATGTGATGATCGTGGACATGTCAGACTCAACCAGCTAGCAAGAACGCGGGAGAGCTGTCGCATCCTTTCATGAAGTCTTAACATCAACATCACGAAAAATGAAGTTTTTAAACAAGAGAATTGAGGATTAGATATCATACAAGCGTCCAGAGCCTCTAATAGTCTATATGCTGCTGTAAATGTAAGTCGGGCGCATCTGGAATTGCCGGTCATGGCAGTGGCGGCGATGGCTCATATCTGCCCAAAGGATACATGGTTGTGATAATCCCATGCTTGTTGATCTGGTCTAATACCGACTCCTCTGTCTGTATGGAGTCGCGAGCCAGCCACCACCCAAGAAGCCCGGTTTAACCTCCGCGGTCCCTGAATCAGAATCTCCCGTACTCCCTCCGTGGTTCGTCTCCCAGTTGCACGTTGCCTCAATGCTATAGCAGGCCTGTAGAACCAGTACTGGTCGAACCATATCCCGCAACGCCAATTTCCGAAGCAGATGTATTAAACCAGCCAAATAGGCAATAAAATGATGATGATAAACGCAGTCGCACAATCGTAATATTCGTAACAGTCATCCAGAGTCGTTATACAGTATTTGTTCTTCCCTTCTGACCTCACATATGGACTTGAAAGGCCAAGGCGGGAATAGAAATGAAAGTCCGAGGTTGGGGCAATGTATTGGACATTGCTGTGGCTCCAGATAATCAATGTCGTGATTGTCCAGCCCCAATCAGATGTTAGTGAATAAGGGTTATCAAGAACTAACGCCAGCATTGGCAGCAGTGTTAAGGCAAGAGAGCCCGTTCGGTGGCGGCAATGGCTGTAGGTCGAGGTGAACCCCGATGCTGAAACCCGAGAAGAGGTTCATGATGCCTTCAAACCCGGTCCGGTCTTGGAATGTAGGCACCGATATATACCGGGCCGGCAGAACCTCGTCGAGCAACGCAAATCGGTAACAAAAAACAAGAGCCACCATTGCCTGTCAAAACTCCACGGGGGGTTTTCAACCCTCGATAGGAATTAGTTGAGGCTGCGCAATTGGCACCTCGGCACTGTCTTCACGATACGCGTCAAGTTCTTGACGAACTGGAGCCATCTGGTTAGGAAGAGTGAATCCAGCATCGAGCGCTGCTTGCACCAGCAAAGATGCTTCCTTGTACCGACGGTCTGTGTACTTGTCGAATACTGCGGCATGATGTAGATGAGGACGGTCACAGCATTCAATCATCATCGTAACCAAGCTTCTCAACTGACTCCAGGTATAACCCGAGTAGTAGACATGTTGCTTAGTCTAGAAACACTGTTAGCTTTTGTTTTGTTCATAATAATAACAAAGTGATCTCACCCAGTCACCCTTCTTGAGAATGAGTCGTGAAAGGCAATGCGCGCCTGCAGCAAGAAAGCTCGGAGGCGAGGCCACAAATCGCTCGTCCATAATGGTCAACTCGAGGAAATACTTGGCGAGAGTGCGAGTTTCCAAGTCGTAGTCGTCAGCCTTGCTGACGCGTCGCAGAAAGCTCATAGGGCCGGGCCATCCAAGCTCGAAGCTCAGCATACTAAGCATAAAGCGCTCGGCCTTGAGAACCTCCTCTGCAGTGTACCCGTTGTCAACCATGTAGACGATCTCTCCTAAAGAAGGACAGTTAATCTCTTCGTATTTGGACGCCACCAAGATCGCGGTTGCCCCAACAAGCTGGAGCTTGCCAATCGACACAATCTTCTGAGAAAGGAAACGGTCGATGTAGTTGACTGTCAAAAAGAGTGTTTCGGGCAAGAGGCCAAACCGGTTGTGGACCTGCACCAGCCAATCCATGAGAACAGCTCGCATTGACCATTGAATCTCGGTCTGGTTGTCCATGTAGTGAGCATTAGGAAGCATCTTGATCTGCAGGGCATCGTTAGTGTCGGTACTGAATGATGTGCGCAAGGCTACATACCTCAAGTTCACGCATATACTCAAAGATTTCGTCACCATACTCGGCGACCATGCTGACATCCCATAACTCTTCCTCGATCTCGTCGTCTGTGCGCGTTCGCTCCACCTCTTCGCGGGCGTCTTCAAGTTCGCGCTGGACACGAGCTGTTACGCGTGGTAGGGGCACAATCTCTGTAGCACCACCGGCAGTCATATCTCTGGAACGAACCGAGTGCGCCGTCATATATGCTTGGTCCTGGTCATCGAAATCCTCGTCGTCTTCCTCCTCCCAGCATTCTTCAGGCTCCGACATCGCAGGAACAGGGCCTTCTTCGTAACAGGGAAGAACGGCAACTTCCTCAGAGATCTCGGGGAGCTTAGCAGGTGGTTCTTCGTGCTCTTCCTTTTGGAGCGTGTCGAGACCGACACCAGCCTCGATAGGTAGATACATAGAGTCAAGATAAGCAGCTTGGTCATAGGGGTACTCGGTCTCCTGCAGCTGGTGCGCTGCAGGATTCGTGACCTTGCAGCCCATATCGGCATCAGGCTTGGGAACGACCTTGTCTAGCTGCTTGCTCTGGGTACGTCGCAGACTGAACTGTTGCTGCTGAGGTTTAAGCTGAGGTTGGCTCTTGTGGTGTCTTGGTTGAAGGGAAGGTGCATTTTGGGTCGAGGAAGGAGCAGGAGCTTTGGTGACGACGTGGCTATCCTTCCTCACATACGTCTTCTTGTTCGCGTCGAAATTCTTGTTCTCAAGGGCGGTTCGTGTCGACGATTGGTTGACGGGTCTTTGCGCGGGACGAGTAAAGGTATCCTTGCCATAAGCACCGTTCTCCTTGTTCAAAGGCACACCTGTAGGGCCATGGTTGACACCATTCGTAGCGTAGACTTTGATTGATTTGCCTTCATCACGAAGGTGTCCGCCTTGCTTGCTGACATTGGTCACATCGCCAAACGCTGCGCGCTTCGCAGGGCCACGGAAGCCAGCTGTTGTAGTGGACTTGGCCATGTTGGCCAAATTTCCGGTTGACTTATGCTGATGGTGAAGATGAGGTGCATTTTCAGCGCCGCGCGGTCGAAAAGGCTGCAGTATGTTGTTAGCTTATACCCTGTAACGATCTCTGGTATGCATTGGTATGTAAGGGAGAGGGGGCTGTTTAAGTCGCGCCAACGGCCACTAAATAAGGGAGGAAGATGTATGACAACGTACTTTGGCGTCCATTTCGACGTTATTGGATTAAAGCAAGTGACAACAAGAGACGCGACTAGGTATAATGAAGCTGTTGAGTTCGCGTACGAATGCTGGAAGGATGTTTTGGTGGTTGATGTTGGCGCGTTGATTTACCATGTAAGATGCGGCGTTGTGCAGGTGCAGGTCGGATTTGCGGGTCGACAGGCAGCTTGCAGTGCGTACTTGAAATCGTTGATTGAATGTTGTTTGATATCGACTGTTGCGCGCAAGATATGTAAAGCAGGTACGATATCGACGAGTTTCCAGCTCTTGTTGCGAAGCAAGAAGGGCTGCTCTGAAGCTTTAAGAACAAAAGTTGCTTGTTGTTTTTTTTGTTTTTGTTTCTCAGCAGGAACAAAAGAATCAGGCAAAAGCCTTAGACTGGTGGGTGTTGGTCAGATTAGGGGCCCGGGCTTGCAGGGGGCACATCAAGCTGGGAGATTAGTCCTGCTAGAACTGAGCTGATGCTCTCGAGATGAGCCTGACGGTTGGGTAGGTAATTATGTACTTTAGTGCACTAGAAGCTCCCGACGGCTTTGGCGTCTTGAGAGAAAAGAAGATGGGAAGACAAATGCAAATGCAAATGAGGCGATGATGGAATAATAAAGTAGCCCGAGTAGCTGGGATCTTATGCTAGACATCCATACATCCTATCCTGAACGGTAGCTGTGCAACGGGCAACGGAGTCAACCATAACGGTGGTGGAAGCTTCATGCCTTGCGAGTGTCGCTAGAAGCTGTGGCTTGATTGGGGGGATGACCCCTACCGTACCCACTAATTCCTTGAGATGAGATTTTGTTTGTTTATTTATGCTCAGGTACGACATTATTTTTGGGCCATTAGTGCAAGGAGACTGAGCTCACTAAGCTGGAGGTGGGATGACGCACGGGCCGCCAAGAGCTCTACGCTTCGTTTCTTCTGTCGTCACGGCGATGGCGGCTGTTTGAGCATCCCCTCCACGCTAGACCCGTTTAAGCTACTATACACTTTATCGGGCTTATCTCAACTTACGTCGCGTCTCACCTCAAGAGCAATTCAAGACCTTGACGTCGTCAAAAGGCGATCCAAGACACAACCCGAGTATTCTGTGCCAAATAACTCATTATGTCTCTACTCCCAGTCTGAAAATTCAACTTGAGTCCGTCATAGCACATATACGCTGAGAAATCCGTCAATATTGATGTCAATATCTGGTTTTTCGCCACCGCGTCTTATCCAACTCTTTACCTCACGTCTAAACCGCGGTTTCACGTGACTCTACCCGCACTCAAAGTCAACTCCATGTCTAGAATTCACGATATACGCAACGATGCGCAATGCTCAAAACAGTCGTCACAGAGTAGTTTTGTATCGCTAACTATCTCTCTGTAGCTTCCGGAATCTACTGCGAGAGTTTTCAGGATTGCGCCGCCTTCTATACATTTTCCGAGAATCAGATTGCGCTCGTTGTGCGCATAAAATGAACACCATCGTAATACGCCCAATCCACATACATCAGCTCTCGGACAGATGTAGATGCCGAAAGTACAGTCCAGATCATAAGATTTACTCTATATTTTTATCCCACGCTAAGTGCGACAGCATTGCGAACTCAGAATGAAGGGAAAAGGGGCACGGGAGGAAATTATGTGAATCACGCTGAGGTCTGTTTTACTATCATGCGATGCCTCTATCCCCCCTCTCGAGTAAGACAAACCGCCACGCAAGCTATACTAAGACCAATTCCACGCCACCATTTCTGACCTCCCGAGCCGTGCCTTGATATAGCATCATCAGAACAAGTCTGCGACAACCTTTTGAGGAAGATGTTCAGCTGTTGGTGTATCGTCGCAAGATAGCACATGCGCATGAGGGGTATAGAGATCAAACGATTTGTACGCACATCGCATTAATTAGTCGACTTACCAATTATATGAACTTGATTCTCGAAGCAGTCAATTTTTAAAAGTAATCGTCTCATTATTGTGCGACAGATTGGGAGAATCTTTAATTTTGCGACTTTTTATCGCATCAACCCTGGAGTACCAAAGTGACAAGTTTCAACGTCCATTGATAATCACACAACATTTCTAATGTGATCTCTGAAAATCAAGACATATCTCTTTCGCCTCTATTTTTCGAAAACTATACACACATAACTCGTGCCCAAAATCATACTGCGACTCAATTGATTACGACTCTGCGCAACCTATTTCGCCATGAAATATGCGCATTTGTGCGACAGAATTCGTGCGGGATTCAACGGGTGCCAATAGCGGCTAACTAGACATAAATGGTTGAGATTGGATGCATCATGTTTTTTTAACATACGCACACACGCACGGAATCTAGCGACCGCCACATGCCAGACAAATGAATTGGATGCGCCGTGACGAGGGATGAGGCAATAAAGCTAATACACATGAAGCGCAATTCTACCAAGTGATCTAAACTTGTGATGAGTCTCTGGTAGTCTAGGGAGGGAGTTTACTGTAGGTATAATTGCCGAAGCCCGTCACATTCTTGACTGACAAACTGGATGGCGTATGGACGACGGCACACGGGCTGATACGAGCAAGGATCCATTGATGATAATCAGTCAATACTATACACACCGTTTCTTTTTCTGTGCGCCGCGCCGCGCCGCGCATCTGAAGATGGCATGCTTAATGATGAGCCGAGTCGCGAATCAGGCAGACAGGCAGATATTGAAGCCAAGCTATTAATTAATTACCTGTTTGGCCATCTCGCTTGTTACTTGCCTAGTATCTAGCCTCTAGGTATCCGTAGGTAGGTATGGCGGAGTCTCATGGAAGACAATCCGAGAGGGATGGATGGGGACGAAGCGAGACATTAGGCCATGCCCACCCATGCTCAATCTCACTCACTTTCTCTGACTGGAGCTGGGGGCTGGGCTGCGACGAGTTCTGATTCGATCGATGGATGTTGCCATTGTCGCATCTTGTTTTTTTTTTGTTGTTGACCATTTTTTTTGCGCCAGCGCATTCAGACGTGGATAATCCAGGGCGGGGCGGTGACAGCGTGCACACAAGCGTCATGCTTGGATGGACGATGGGCGCATCGCATGCTTTACCCCAATGTAACCCTGTAGGTACAGAGAAAGAGAGAGACGCACAAAGATACAGTACATGTACAGATAGGAGGACTAGAAGCTGGAGCGCATCATTCTCTATACCGGCGCAAGTATGCGATAATTACTGACAAGGGGCGCAAAGTTGCGACAGATAAAGACGGCTCATGCCTTGGTCTTTAGAGACGAGAGCGCATTGCCGTTGCGCAATTCTGAATCGCATCGTGTGGCAAGGGTCTGCTTGGCCCCGTACGGAATATGCACGGTATAGGTAGAGAAGCAGACTAAAGTTAGTCAGTCACGGGTCCTTGAGGGTCCTCGCAGTTCGCTCCTCAGATTTAGTTGAGTGAGAATATGCATGGTCTGCCGATGCCATACCCTTTGGTCTCTGGTCTTTGGTCTCTCTTTGGGCTATTCTACCAAGGGTCCACAACACTTTGACATTGGATACTTAGGAACTGACTGAACTGAACTGATTCTGTCTACTGCAGATAACCTAACCTAGCCTCCATAGCAAGATAGCTACTAACTACTAGTAGTAATTAGGTAGGCACTGTACTGTACTGTACTGTACTGTACTATACTATGCTGTTGAGGCAGTGAGGGTAAACAAGAGCATCTAGACTAATAAACAACACGTTCGCCAATTCGAGTATCTACTATGGATCGATCGCACCATCCACATTCACGCTGTGCGCGTATCTGACCCCGTGCTGAAACAAAACAAGCCTGAACGTGTGGCCAAGATCCAATCCAAGATACCCTTGGCCAACTACCTCGTGCGCGACGAGCGAATCACTGCTACCGCTGCTTGAACGGTTCAATATGAAACCCCATTGCGGAGGGAAATTGATCGCCCGGGTCAAGGCGCCGCGACGAGGGTTATCATCACACGGACAATTGGCTGTTGCGAATCGCACAAGATAGGTAGGTAGGTAGGTAGGTATCGAAGAACATATCAAGCGCTTTCAAGAGTGTGCGCTGCTCCTAGACCTAGACCTAGCAGTAGAGGCTGGCTGGAGTTTTGACACTTGGATTCTATTGTCTCAGAATCATTCATTCGCAAGCTAAGCGCATTATCCCTCGATTCGAGATGATGGATGCGCAACGTGGAAGGGAGTTGGCGCGATTCGACCAAGAGAGTAAAGACTGAATTGCGGTCAACAATATGAAGTGATGTTTTCAATGGTGTTGCTGGCACCAATTAACAACAAGAGCGCATCTGATCCTTTGGACAGACTACTGTACTAACGTTGAGATATGTTCATCATTGACCAGGCCTAGTGGTCAAAAAAACTGGAACATCAAAGTGTCATGATCAAATATCGCCACAAAGGGGTGCTTTTCAGCATCAGCATTAGCGTCTCGAGATCCGTAACTGCAAAAGGTCTTTTTTACTGTACGAACTCATTCCAACAAGAAGGCGCCTGGCATAACGTATGATTTATTGTTATAGCTATTTGAGTTTGTGAAGCTGCTCCTCAATCGTTAGGTACTGTAGTCTGTAGACAACATCATGCTGCTTACCGTGCGCCAAGCTTATTCGACACATGATCAGCCTTAGTATCTAGACAGGTCCCCCAGCTTGCTAGATCATGACATCGGGTGCGATTGGTTGTCAGGGATCTCTTGCAACCACCAACTCAGACATCTTTGAGCCGTTGAATCGACAGCTCTCCGCTCTGCAATTGTCTGCTCACTACGAAGAATGACGGCCAGCTGCTTCAGAATATATTCTCTGCTGCTTTTATCATTACAATTGGGCCTTTATAAGCGCGAATTCGAAAACTCTATATTTAGAGAGCTCCAATGATTCATGGTCATTGATATGCGCCAGAGTCCCCGAGTCTATTATTGCAAGCCCTGAGCGAGGTCGCACTGGCTGAACCCTGGATACGATTTGCATGTTCCCATTGGGGCGCGGGAGAGGGATTGAGTGTGTGCGTTTGTGCGCTCGATAGCAACCCAGCTCAACAAGCGATGTCGCCGAGCATATCCTACAGTATGGCCGACCATACATATTCAGACACACAACGCACAGAGACAGATTCCATATATCCCTACAATAACATCGTCTTTTGGTCAGTCACTCATCAGGCTAGTGGGAACCACTGCAGCGGTCGTTGTTCGCTGTCCCCTCTTCCTAGCCTGCCCACACCACATTTGGCATGGATGTGAGGGTCGTCAAACAGTCACAAACTCACACGAGGCCACCGACAAGTGAAGTGTCAGAGGGGAGAGGGGCTGGGCTGGGCTAGGCTGGGCTGAGGGTTTCTTTTTCCATTGGGGGCGTGGTCACGGCTGTTGGTCGCTGGTGGCCAGCGTCTAGCCCAATTTTGGAGCAACGGATATGTAGCTAGCAAAGCGGATGGATCGCGAGTGGCCGATGAGAGTCTAGAGATAAGTGGATGGCCAACAGAGCAGTTGAGTTAAGTTGAGTTGAGTTGAGTCGAGTCGAATCAAGTCGAATTAGGTTCGGGAGGGAAAGGAAGCGGAGGCCAAGCCAAGGTTCCCAGGGTCCGCTGAAATGGACGACCCATGAAGGTCTGTCCGTCATGGTGCCCGGCAAGATGGAGCCCCAGAATCAGTGTGTACGGATTCTGCACGGTACAGTACAGTATGCGATGCGATATCGTCGGCAGTCGATGGCATCGTAAGTAGAAACAACTGGAGGCGCATTGCTTCTGATCTGCTACTTGGCCTGTTCCTGAACACTATAGTTCAATGTGGCGTCTTGCGACAATCTTAAAGCAAGATATAGACCATCGCGTAGGGCTCATCATCGCCTTTTAAAGTATGCGCCTTGCTTCCATTACTGGGGATCGACATCTGGCAGCCCTCTGATAGCCGGCCCGCACGAGTTTCAAGGCCCAGGAGTCAAGGAGATGAGACCCAGATAGAGAGCTGACGATGATTATACTCATCTCTTTAAGCGACTGCCGATAGTATATATGGAAATAAGATGGAACAATGAGTAATAAATTAGGTAGTTTTTACTGCGCGCAAAAGACAGTCCAACGCTTTCCGATTTGCGCTGCGCGATGCACCGCCGCATCCGCTTTTCTAGGTTCCGATCGAGAATGCGCCCTGGCTACTAATCTTCCCCTGAGGTGAGTCGCAAACCAAGAAGAAGGAAGAGTGCCTGAGTAAATGATTTCTATTCTTAAAGTACCTGCCTGACAATCTATTGGAATGCTTCACTAATACATTTGTACCGAAATTAGGGGGACGTCATAGCAGTTCCTTGATAGAAGCCCGGGTTCATCGGCCACGGTACCACAATGGATGGGTCCTCATCGAATGGAAGCACAATGGATGGATGGATGGATCAGGTCTCCAGCTTCAGGGCAAGCCGTCCAACCAGCCCTGGCCCAATCTCAGCGCGGGCAAGGCTGCCCGGATCCAGGGCGCTGTAATTACAGGTCATTCAGGGCTATCAAACTCGACTCCAGCGACCTCCTGACCTGAACTTCAGGGAGCTCTAACACTGAACTCCCCTAACGCAAGCGGGTTCTTGTTAGTGAGCCGTCAAGGTATCAGAGGATGGAACTGATCCATAAGAGACGAAATAATTTGATCACCTTATGCAAGCTTAGACCGGCTTTTAGGTTACTTTATTCTAGCAGTCCAAGACTTGGAGGACGTTTCCTCTATTACCCACCTGTAGGCCCAATCCCTCCTCAGTAGTAGGTAGCGACAAAATCCAAGAACCTTCGTCTCGTCTGGGCTCCTCTTTTCCTCATGCACATCCTCTTGCCGACTGTTCAACGCCGCCACAAGCATCCCAACACGGATCAAGACGTCTCTTGTGAGTCCCATCGCCTTTACTATCATGCGCGATCTCCATCGAGGCCCAATCTCGAGGCCCTGCATCTCCCCTCTTCTATTCTGAGCCCCCAGCTCCATGGCCGCTCTGCTTCATCCGTCGTCCCCGTCCCAGGAAGCGCCAGGCACACCCGACCGTCTACCTGCCCATTATCCTCTAACACCACTCTTCCTCAACATTCAAGCCGCTCTTCAGCTCATCTAGTCATTTATCTCTTGCTGACTTGCTTCGAAATCAACAGCACGCATCACAGTAAACCATCGCTGTCGTTTCAACGAAAACCGTCCGCCGTCGTCGTCATACGCACCGCCCTCAAGCCCTTAGACCACACACACACAAACGAGACTCGGCGCTTACCGCTGCCCTGGATGGTGATTGCCTCTTGTATCTTCATTACAGCTTCGACTTCGTCTTGATACGTTTACATCGCCTTTACTTTGGTCATTGGCGGTTGTTTTTCGTCTTGAGAGTGCTGTTGATCCTACTGAAGAGGGCCGGGCCCATTCTATTCAAAGCCCGCAACCACCACACCCCAACCCGTATTCTTGCTTCATCCTACATATATCTCTTTCCCATCTCCATCGATACGTTACAACACTTCTGATTTTCCACACAACACAATGGCTTCTATGTCACCTCTCAACACCACTTTCGGTGCTTCGGGGCCATCCTCCAACGATGGTAGCGTGTCCCCTCAGCAGACAGTGACTCCCAAGACCGTCGCATTCGAGCTTACAATCGCCGATTCACCCGAATATCGAGCGCGTTTGCCGATGCGAGTCAAGATATATCCTCACGATACCACCGACTCGATTGTCACTACCGTAAAGAACTTTTATGGTCTGTACTCGGGTCCCACCGGATCAAAGGGTGTCAGCTTTGAGGACTACGAGGGAAACACTTTGATTGCCCGTTACGAGAACTTTCAAGACCGCATGGTAGTATACGTCAGAGTGATAGAAGAGGCTCCGGCGAACCCATCCGCATATGCTCCTCGCCCTTATCATGACCCTTCTATGAGCGGTCACCCTTATTACAATGACAATGCCTATCCTGCTCCCCAAGCCTCGCATTTTGCACAGGAAATGTCTAGACCCAATTCTCGGTCCTCGCGGCGGCGAAGCCCCTCTCCCAATACTGCTGCTGCTCGTGGCAGAAGAAGTGCTTCTGCCAGCACAAATGGTAAGAAGGGACGTTCACGCTCGTCCAAAACCCGAGCTTCAGCTTCTCGGAGCCATACCGAACTATATAGCGACAGCATAAACGGCTACAGCAGCAACGACGAACATGGCTCAGCCTCCGGAAAGAACAAGGACCAGATTCCTAATCCAGATATCAGCATGGATAATATAGTTGAAGGTGGTCGTCGCAAGAGAGCCAAGTTTGAAAGCTCGGTAAGTGGAGACCGCCGTTTTGACAAGGCGGGCTCAAAGAGACTGACAACGTCGGGCCACAGGAATTGCCCCTGTTCGCACCCCCTCAGATGCCGGCAGCAACTTCGAACCCTTCCGTGTCTCCCGCTCGCCGTGCTGAACCTCATCGCCCTGCGATGCCCTTTGTGCAGCCTCATCAAAACCCTTTTACGAACCCCCCTCGCCCCATGCAATCGCCGCAAGGCTATGGCAGTGGTATCACACATCCAAGTCTTTACTCAACACCGGGACCTGACGCTCGTCGCAACCGAAATAGTGGCGGATATGCTAGCAGCGCAATGGGAATTCTTCCTACACCCGACCCTACTGTGGGCAGCTGCGTCTCTGAAGAAGATAAGGACGTTGCCATTCAGCTGATGCGACTTGGTGACATGTCCAACATATCCCACGGCCGAACCTCCGCTTCTACTCTCGATGATACATTCAGTGGCAGGGCTGATGCTGCTTCCTCAACCGGTGCTACCAGTGATGGCGACAGTGAGAGTGAAGCAGAACTACCTCCACCTCGTCGCCAGAAACTTGATATGGCTGGTGTCGTCGGAAATGTCTATCAGACCACTGAGTCACATTTCATGCCGCCTCCTGAGAGCGCCGAAGTCAGTGGCGACGATGCTGACTACGAGGACGGAGCTGACGATTCTCTTCTCTCCAATGGTAAGAGCAAGCCTGCCAAGACCATGAAAGCACCTCCCAAGCACAAGAGCTCGGCCTCGGTTTCGAAGACATCTTCAAATAAAACCTCTAAGAACGCTCGCCCCATCAATGGCACCAAGAGCAAGAAGTTGCCCCCTGTGCCTAGTGGGCCGATGTCACCCGCCTCGATGCCCCCTTCACGCAAGCAGTCAGTGGCTTCCACTGGGCAGACCCCCCTTGCCCCCGGCGAAGATGACCAGCCCGACCTGTCTACCAAGCCGCGATGCCAGCGCTGCAGGAAGAGCAAGAAGGGCTGTGATCGCCAACGACCTTGCGGGCGTTGTCGCGATGCTGGCTTGACCGCCGATCAATGCATTAGCGAGGACGAGGGCAACGGCCGAAAGGGTCGATATGGTCGACATATGGGAGTGCCCATCACTAAAGATGAGGTTCCTGCCGTTGCTCAGCCTGCGCTGTTACCTGCTGCGCCCATCGCTGCAGCAGCCATGACAGGTGATAAGTCCAAGAAGCGCAAGCGGTAGGCGCCGTGTTTTCTGTGTTTATTTTCATTTCATCTCTTCCCAACCCTTCTATCTCGCGGGCGATAGGGCGGCACTTATGATTGATATTCGGACGTAATAACGACGGTCAGTTGACCATTACACTCCTTGTACGGCGTTCGGAAGAAAGATGTGGGAGTTGTCGAATTCGGGTTTTACTATTTCGTCCTTTCCTCTGCTTCAACATAACTCTGATCAACCATCAACGAGTTTAACTGCGTGTCCTTTCTGTCAGCCTTGGCGGTGTCTGGCAGGTAGTGGCTAAAGCAGTTTTACAGAGTGAGCAATGAGGAAATGACCGGCGGCATGGGTAGGGAAAAGGGACGCGTGGATTGGAAAATCTCCCAGGGGCTACAAAGACACCAAGGAAAGGCATATGGATGGGTTATCGTGTGTCTATATGGCCGCGCACAACACGGAATGAGGGACTAAAAAGGTGGCCCGTCTGGATGTTCAGGGATTTGTCCGTCAACAACACAAAAAGATCGGATTAGGGTGATAGCGGGTATTGTATCTGATTGATTCTCCTGTTCTTATCTTTGTTGTACTTAGTGCCAATACAGCAAGCATGTTCGATGTAAACTTGGTGGCCAGGTGTGTGTCAGAAGAACTATCCTCTAAGGCTTAGGGTACCAAACTGAAGTAGCCTAAGGGCGAGTCTAACCTTTTGTAAGGTAACAAAATCATTTCGTCTCTTATGCTGTTGGCGGCCAACTCTTCTGATACCCTCACGGTAGCACAACACGTGTGATAGGCTATGAAGTGTGCGACGACCGAATACGTGATCTACAACAATGCGCTTGAAACGTAAATTGGCAAAAGTCACAGCATCTTCGCTCCAAGGTCATGCGACCACTTCCCCCTTTGTTTTGAAGCCTTAACAACGTTGTGGTTAGGAATTGACCGATGTTGATGTCGCATAGGGGAGTTTGCGCTGTCGCAAAAACCGAAACCTCGGCATAGCTCGCCGACGGGGCCGGGCCGATGGATCGCGCTACATGCATGAACCCACGCGCGCAAACTTCGCAGCATTGTCGCACAATCCTAAACTTTCCATCTCAATATGATTGCTGTTTTCTTATCCTTTTTCGACTTATTAATATTTTGCAATACCGAATGGCAACGTTGTGGTCTAACCTACAGCACACCCCTACCGCAAATCTGAGCCCCCCACCATCACAACTTGGACTAGCGTGCCGTTCCAGCCCCATTCTTTACCGTTGCGGAGATGGTATGGCAACCGATTGGCTGGTAAGCCTTGTATCCAATCACGTGATACACTTACATCATCCTTTTCTTTTACCGCTGTTCTTGTTTACCCCTCCATTGCGAGCGCGGGGTAATTTTTGATATTTTTTTTGCAAGTCTGAATGGGGCAAGAATGAGGAGGAGTAGACAGAAATAAATGATCAGTCCGAATGAAATTTCAGCTCAGGGCGAATAAGCTTGTGCTAAAGTCAAAGTTTGAACCATGCGGGTAGAACCGTTTCGAAAAGATGCTAAATGCGGACCGGTTGTCGCAAAAACCAAGCTGCGTGTTCCAAACCGAGTTATCATGATGAGTGCGACTTTTGTGCGCAGTCGCAACAGAGCGCATCGTAACCTTCAGCGCAAAACTCTTCGTGGTCGCGCATAGGTTCTGCATTGTTATTTCTGTTGTTTATTCTTCATCGGACGCCGGCCGCGGCCAGCCGTGTGACTCTGTCTCTGGTCTTCTATTGGCCCCACGCGTTTTGGAATACGGACTTCCGTCTCCGGGAATAACTATGCCGGCCATCGGAGCGGGGCTCGGGTGGAGAGCGGCTTGTCGGGGGTGGGTGGATCGTGGCGGTCAAAATTACCCTAGATATGAATATAACTGATGGTTTTCATCTTCAGATGTACGTGAAATAGCAACTCAAGAGAGAAATCTGGCTGATTAAACTGGAGCAATTTAATGACGCGGTGTAACTAAAGGTTTCTTGCTGTTCTCTTGTCAGTCCGACTATAGGTCATGACATGCAATTCTGTACTTCAACGTCTTTCCAACTGCCGATCATTGTTTCAACCCATGTCGATATTACCATCACTACTACAGCATGATGCTCAAAAGAATGCATGCATCGTACAACACCCAGCAAAGTCCAAAGGTCTATCTTATCCCGTCATGTAAGTGAAGGGCGCGGTAGACATCTGTATTCGTAACCCCAAGATCTAGCGGCGAATGATCGGGACTGAAATGGAAAGCAATGACTTGCAGACAGAGAGTAACAACCCGGCCCCAGCGTGTGTGGGGCGCGATATCGGCAAACGATTCTAGAAGAGTGCGCCCTTTGAAGAAAAAAGGTCGACTTATGACTAGCCACAGGTTACAATCAGACAGAGAAGTTTGAAGTTGCAACGTTATATAGCTGTTGTATATCTCGAACGTTGAGAAACTGAGACTATATTCTACACATTGAGGATTGTGAACCTTTTCTACCCTTGATCTCATCCACTGATGACCTACCCCTTGGTATCCTTTACACCGTATCAGCAATGTTTGGCAAGAATATAGAGAAGACGCCAAACCACAGGCCGTCGTCGTCATGCTCTTACGATAACGACCCTGAAGCCCCCCAGGTCCTTCGTCCAACAATTTCCAACACAGACGCTCCTCCTCCAGTATTCGATCCAGATACCTTTAACCCTCCAGACGGTGGGTTCCGAGCATGGTCTCAAGTCTTCGCGGTTATCCTCATCAATGCACTGGCATGGGGTTACCCTGCCTCCTTCGGCGTTTACCAACTCCATTATGAAGAGTCTCTTGGCCTACCATCGTCCCAGATCTCGTGGATTGGTTCTTGTCAGACTTTCTTGACTTTCGCTTTCTGCGCCCCGGCTGGTCGTCTTGCCGATGCTGGATATACTCGAGAGACCGTAGCCCTTGGGAGCTTCTTAGCCATCCTCGGCACGTTCATGACAAGTCTGTGTACGCAATACTGGCAAATATTTCTTGCACAAGGTGTTTGTACCGGCATTGGCCTTGCCCTACTTTTCATGCCTGCTGTGACCGTTCTGGGTTCTTATTTCAAGGCAAAGAAAGCATTCGCTCTTGCGTTGGGTGCCACGGGCACTGGCTTAGGATCCATAATCTTCCCTGCTACTTTGCAATATCTTATTCCACAAATTGGGTTCCCATGGGCTGTTAGATGTGCTGCTTTTGTTGCCCTTTTTATGATCGTTATCGCCAACCTCATGTTGAAGCCGTATCTGCCGCCCAGGAAGTCAGGGCCATTGATGGAATGGGAGGCGTTTAGAGAACTCCCTTTTATCCTGTTCGTTTTAGGCGCTTTCCTGAACTTTTATGCTCTTTACTTTGGTTTCTTTTATGTAAGTTGCTGAACATGATTCCTTCCTCGTGAGCTCAGCCGCTGACATACGTCCAGATCAATGTTTATGCACGAAACGTGATTGGATTCACATCTGTCGAAGCAGTTAGCTTGTTGCTCATTCTCAACGCCATGAGTATTCCCGCCCGTCCCATAATGGGATACCTTGCAGACAATGTTTTGGGGCCAATAAACACGTTCATTATTGGCCTAGCAGCGCTCAGCATCATGGTATACTGCTGGATGGGTGTCAAAACTGCTGCGGGAATGTATGTGTTTTGTGTCTTCTTTGGATTCGCGAACGGCGCGTGTCAAGGAACGTTTGTTGGAGCAAATGCCAGCTTGACCAAGGTTTGAGGCAATGTCCTAGAAAATGTGTATGATGCTAAAGTCCCCAGGATCCTCGAAAAATGGGAACTCGCTTCGGTATGGTCCAAACGATTTCTGCTTTTGCCAGTCTGGCAGGCCCGCCAACTGCAGGCGCCATTCTCGACACTTCCAACGGCAACTTTACCTATGCGCAGATTTGGGGTGGAACCGTGTTCTTACTTGCTGCCATTGTAACGTCGGGATCCCGAATTGCATCGACAGGATGGGTCTTCTTGAAAAAGAAATAAGTCAAACATGGGAGAGGTGATCATCTTGATCCAAACTAGGCGAGTTGAATACCACAATGACGGGAAGGAAGAGTCAGTGGCAAATTTTGTAATAGATATTGTAATGTTTAAATTTGGAACGCTTTAGATATATACTTATTGTACCCTGCGCAAGTGGTGAAGGGTGGTGATGACTAGTCGAGCGATTTGACTGCCGTCTTGCCAGACATAGTCGTGCTCGCCTCTCAATTCCTTATTGACCTCCAAGTTGATTCCTTGTTGAGACAAGAGGGTCGTCATATTGTCAATCTCGGGCTCATCGATGAGACCGTCCTCAGGGGACCAGGCCAGTAGGACCAGTTTGCCATTCGCCCACTGGTCTTTGAAGCTTTTGTCAAATTTGGCCGGTGAGGCTTTTCCCCACTCAGACTTGTCCTCACCGAACGCAGATCCAATGAAACCAGCATACCCGCCATTGAATCTGTCGTTGAGTCCAACCAGATCGTAAATGCCCGATACTCCAACAATGGCAGTAGGCAAGGGTCCCTTGGGGTGAGACGGGAAAATGCCATCACTCATCAAAAGTTGCATAGCAAGGGTTGCACCTGCAGAGTGGCCAACCAGGATGTAATTGTCCGACAGCCCATACTTATCTTGTACGTAATTCAGAGCCAGCCAAATATCCTCCAAGTGGTCGGGGTGCTTTGCACTGGCTGACTCTTGGGGAAACTCTGGATGAGGGGATAACCGGTAGTCGATACTGATGAAACCGGCGATGTCCAAAGTCGCAACAGCACCTGACATGACAATGCGCTTGATGCTCTGGGTGAAATCGTTCTCATCGTTACGAGGATCACGCCAGCCACCGCCATGAATGAAGCTATGTAGTTGTCAGTGACACTAAGAAGATAATCAACCAAATTCGAGATAAGGAAATCCTCACACTACCCAATGGCCTGACTTTTGGTCGGGGCGACTAGAGAAGCGCCAAACACCCAACTTCTGGCGGCTATGGTTTCCGTATTGGTGAGACGCGTAAGTAAGTCCCAGGGACACATCTCCAGCAATGTCGGCCATCTTGTCTCGCTTTAATGGAAGAGTTCAAACTAACAGCGCTATGACCTGGACGATGATGTTGGTAAGGGGGTTTTCGCGGAGGTTTGGTAAGGATTGGGATATAAAAAGCGAGAAACTTTGATATGAGGCGTTAGTTCCTTCGGCAGCTTCTATGGTAAAAGTCAGTTTAAATTGGGATTCGATCAAAATTGGTCTAGACTTTGGTGGTCTTTGATCCATTACCAACTAACCTGCAGTTTTGGTACTGACTGACTGGCTTCTTGACCCAACGAACAAGGTGAGGGGATGGAACTTTCGAAGCCGATATCGTCCAATCAGAGGTACTTTGCAATTTATCGGTGCCGTTCAGCTTAAGGTGCTGATGCTAAGTTACACGTCGAGATATCGATCTTTTGACAGCTGAACGGTGCATATTTATTTGCTTTTTGTGCAACGGGTGACGTGGGAAGGAGCACCCTTAAAAGACGTCTGGTCTGACTTGCCTTGGGTAACAATGGGAGTTGTGATGGGAAGGCACGGAACCACGGATGAGTACCTTCCGCATGTCCCGTCTTTCCGCGTTCCCGTTTATTAGGTAGGTCTACAACATCAACTCGCCTTGATATCCATCTTATCTTTATCAAGGACTGCTTCTCACTATAACCCTGCGATGCGCTGATTAACCGGAGGATCCTGGATCATGCTCGCAGCGCAGGAGAATACGGGAGATTGCCCACTAGCTCAGCCGACAACCAGCCTGCGCCCGTCGTACCGCTTCAACAAAAGTGCAGCACTGATACAGTAACACGAAAAGCCCGTTGAGCTAAGGCACACGAAGCCCGGGTTTGCAGCACGACCTAGCACAGAGGCTGCGCCTGTCTGTATAAGGAAACTGGCCATGCTGCGATGCGCAAATTCAGCAAAGGAACCTGTGCGCATACATCCAACTGGTTGCGAATCACCACCGTTTCACGCTTCCAACAAAGCTAGACGCCAATCTTGATCCGTGATCCACACCTGAACATGAACAGGGGCCTCACAGCTGACAGGTATGCATGCTCGGAAGCGAGGATAAATGATGGCCAGGGCCCTGTTCCTGTCGGGGTCTTCAATGTCACCCTCTTCCCGTCAGTAGTGTCTAAATCGCCGACGCCTAGTGCATTTGTGGCAAACCACTAGCCCAGAAGATATTGAAGCAAGCAAGTCTTGAGTCTTGGGATCTTCAGGAAGGACAAGTCCCCTCAGACCCAACAGGTGATTGATCACAAGTCGGGCTGAATGATTGCCCAAAAGCAAAGATGCCAACCTAGCAATGTTTTCTCAGCCGTGTTTCTCAAGAGTTTCTTGGCGTCTTTCAATATCATGTCAGGGATGCAGAAATGGGCGTTCCTATAGCTGACGCTGAAACAGTGGGAGCCAAATCCGTGCGGATCAAAAGTGTCCTACCAAATCCTTGGGTTCGCACCATCGGGAAAGTAATTTGGAACGGCGGTCTAGCGTCTAGAAGAATTGAAGATCTGCAATATGTCTTTGCACCTTTGGCCAAGCTGAATTTTGAAACTTCATCTAACTTGGCTGGGACAATTTTGCGACTCCACCCCATGATCTCCCACATGTTAACTGTTATCCATCGACTGGTAATGGTGGAATCGATACTAACTAATTAGTTTGACGATAGGAAACCGCTAACTGTAAGTATTCACAACCCCGAGTTGTAGTGGCTTGCTAAACAAAAAGATGATAGTCGGTGGCTTTAAACTCGCATGCAGGGTTCATATTCTACATAAGTGCCTTGTCCAAGATTGGCTTGTAAACAATGAACATCGTATTCCAACAACAGCTTTGTTACCCAGATTCGCTTCTCAATGTTCAGAAAATGATACCTTGTATGATCTAAGATCACGTATCGCAATACTAGTGTTTGCCGTTTACGGATTGACGGTATTGTGCTTTCCAAACGGCCCGGCGAGCCTCTCTCTGCCTTACTGGTCAGATGCGTTACCAAGCGAGACTGAAAGGTTGGTTCCTTGTCGAACCAAGGAACAATTTACATGGATAAGGAATCGGGAAAGCAGTTTCGCTTCCCGCTATTAACCCTGGCGCCTGAAGAAGACTAGGAACAAGCCGCAGAAGGTGTTGTGTCTTCAATGGGACAATGTACTAGGGTACCATGAAGACATCAGCTTCACACCCTCTCTTTCTTTCAGCCGGCGGAAGGTCTGGTACCTTGCATTCATCGCATCACGTCCATAAAGCATGTAAACCAACTCCCTCTAACACCCGGTGTGCCGAAGACCCTAGCCCGCATTTGATCAGATCCGCCATGTCGGTTGGGAGTAATATCAGACGTGTGATTCACTGGGGTCTCCTGCAGCTGTGAGATATATCTTACAGTAACCCCCTTGCCCGGCCTACATTGACATTACCCATGACCCTCGTTTGATACTCTTTATCCTCCCGCGCTATTTGACGATCACTCCTTGACACTTGAAAATAGGCCATGCTCGAGCCTGCCAACCTTTCATGACGCCGGAGCGCCATGGCTACTAACGAGCATATTGATCTGGACGAGGAGAATGGAATCGCTTTGGTTGCAACGGCAATAACCCTTTTAGTACTCAGCTGGATCTCAGTTGGTTTGCGTGTCTACACGAGAGCCTGGTTAATGAGTGGTCAACAACTCGACGATTGGCTCATGCTCATTGCTCAGGTACATGGTTCACTCATCAAACAGAAAAAGCAACTAACCAGGCAACAGGTGATATTCACTGTATCTTGCGCTTTCATTCTAGAAGGTGTCAAGCAAGGGATTGGAAAACACAATGATGCTGTTGAATCTGACGAGATCAAAGTGCAGGCCTTGATGGTAAGCTATCCATCATCGTACACGAACATTTGTATTTGGGTACTCACATTGTATTAGTGGCAGGCTTTGGCGACTGCAACATATATCCTAGACATGATGTTCATCAAGCTCAGCATTGGCGTCTTCTTGCTGCGACTCAGTGTCCAGAGGGTCTACAATTGGATAATCTGGATCAGCCTATCCATAATCACCATTTGGAGTCTTGTCCTCTGGTTTTGGAATCTCTTCCAATGCAACCCGGTAGAGATGCAATGGGACTTTCGTATTAAGGATGGCACATGTGTTTCTGCAGATCAGATCGTCTCGGCCGCTTATGCTATAAGTGTTATGACGGTCCTGTCTGACTGGCTCTACGTAAGTGAAGCAAGCCATAATCGACTTACATGGTGCTGACTTTACCCATAGGCACTTCTACCTATTCCAATGCTATGGTCGGTAAAGATGACAAAACAAGCCAAAGCAACAGTCATAGTCATCTTAGGACTGGGAATATTGTAAGCTGATTGCCATTACTTCCTTCAGAAAAGTCTCTAATATTGTGCAAAGTGCAAGTGTCGCGACTCTGGTACGCCTACGATTTCTTGCTGACCTTACCGATACCGAAGACATTTTATGTGAGTGAGAGACATATCTTTATTTTTCTTCCAACTGACGTATTTCCAAGTTGCTGGTACCGATGCAATGGTATGGACCCTGATAGAACCAGGCGTTGCTATTATCGCGTCCAGTCTAGCTACCATTCGCCCACTTCTGCGGGCTATGAAGATAAGGGGCTTCGAATCTACCGACCACACTTACGGCACGGGGCACTCAGCTGCTGTCAAGTCTCATACAAACCATCATGGTCCTGGAGTTATGGTCATGCCAGGCTTCGGCCCCGAGGACGTTTCACTGAATAACATTCCGCACCAAAATCACAGCCGACCCTATCCCGACGACGACGTGCATATTCTATACCCCCGAAGACCAGCCGATGGCCCTCGCTCACCGGGACAAGTTAGTCTCGGTAAAAGCGAGATCTTGGTGATACAGGGCAACGGCTCTCCCCCACAGACACCTCCCGAAACCCAAATGTATCGTTCTCCTTCTACCTCCGATGATCAAATACACGACCTCGAAGCGCAGAGCCAAGACCTCGATCGCTATAACAATAGACAGAGAAGGAGAAAAAGAGGCTTATAATATGACACTGCAACGGAGTGTCTTGGAGATAATCATCTGTCTTCGCTCAACATTATCATTTCGAAATTCATTGATGATCTCTTTTCGGCGAAGGGAAAGGTGGTGGATGGCTAGAGGCGTTGCAAGGAGGTTTAGGAAGAAAGGCTATAAGGCGATAAACATAAACCACATTGGCAATGCGGAAAGGGACGGTATGCTTGGGCCGATAGGGGCTACAGAGCAAGGCGATCGGCGTTTTTCTATTTCTTTCTAGAGATAGTTGCGAGCTTGGATAACTTCTAATGTAAACATGATGATGGATAATTGTTTAAACCATAGCCTAGCTCTCTGCTGGGGAAGCAATGCAAGTACCAACATGATAGTTTGAAAGGGGAGTATTATGACATTAGAAGGATTAGCCGCCAAGATCTCTAACATAGAGACCTTATGTAAATTTAGACCTACATTTATGACATATCATTTTGGCTTATAAGCTTGGAGAATATCTAAATCTCTGCTGCCTAGTATTGAGAGAAAATAAGTTGATTGTTGCCTCTCAGAAGTTGAACATCCCAACAGCAGGTGCTTGGCATCGTTAAAGAGAACCGTGCGCGTACAGGGAGTTCGGCGTAAAGAGGAAACACGTGCTGAATAGATTGTGTTGGGTATCTTTGTTCATTTGGATTCAGCCACTATACCTAAGTATCTTGTTATCGTACGAGTTTGCCAATGTGATAGATCATGAATCTATACATATCAATCATGGCAGAATCTCTCTATTGCGTTCTAAGGTCCTCGGATGAGACCTCCCATTCCTCCTCCTCGTCCCACTTGGGCGCGAGGACAAAACGACCCATGATCTTACCCATACCAATACTCTCTCCTCCAACGACACCTGGCCGTGGCTTTTCATCATTCTCTTCAATAATGACGGCCGTTGTTAAGAAGTTCATTCCCACGGCAGGGCTCAGCTCCATTGTACTGCCACCCCAGTCCATCTCCACGCGGCCTGACTTGCGTACCTTGAGCTGACCCACCATACCACCTGAAGATAGTAGGCTGGACATGAAGCCAGCCTTTTGCTCTGGGTCTTCGAATCCAGGGATGTTGAAGCCATTGCTGTTCGAGTCATTGGTGAGATCAACGGGATCTGCGTCAGCTGCCGCTGGTGTTGATTCGAGAACATCGTCTTCGCCTTCAGTAGGCTCGGGCTTGATCTTTGTGGACTTGGGTTGGGTGACTTGTTTTAGAGGAGGCAGGACAGGTGGGAATTGAAACAGGTACATGCGGCCATCCTTGTTGCTGGGGCCTTGTGTTTTCCCCTCCTCTCCCTCTGCACCCTCGGAGATTTCGACAGCGCCCAATTCGTTAGCAAGGACATCTAGATCTGCTTGGATCATCGTTTCTTCCGATTCTTGAGCCGGCTTCTTGGCTTGTGGTGCTGGTGTCGCGGAGGTCTCCTTGCTCTCAGCTTCCGTATCCATTTTACTCTCGAGATCTAAGTCCATTGAATCATCCTGCTCCTTCTTGATAACCGGTGGCTTTGACTCGTTGTCCCAGATGCCTCCGTCTTCACCGTTTTCGTCTGTTGGTTGAGATTCGCCTGCGTCGCCGTCTACCCACAGGCTCTCCTCCTCCTTGGCCGCAGATGAGGGAATGGCTTGTGCGTTTTCGGCAGCTTCTAATTCTGCTGTAGTGGCCACAACGATGCCCTCATCCTTGTGCTCTCTTCGGTATATGCCCATAGGCAGCACGCTGACAGTCCTCGAGTTGAGTGCCTCCATCATCGCCTCGTCTTCGCTATCGAGATCCTCCTCGGGCGTATGGAGATGGAGTTTATCTGCGTTGATTCGAGCTTCGCGATTCCTTGTTGCCTGCGCGAAGCCAGATTTGGAGTCTGATTTGAAACCTCGTCCACCGCCGCGACCACCTCCAAAACCACCTCCGCCTCCTCCTCCGAACCAACCACCACCACCTCGACCACCGGAACCTGTGACTGTCAGAAAACCAATAGTGAAACAGTGCATTCAACATCTTGTTCTTACCTGCTGCGCCGGAAGAGAAGGGACCACTTGCTCCAGAGATTCCTCGACCAAACCCGCCCCTGCCCATAGCATCACCACGGCTCCTTTTACTTCTGAACCGTGAGCGACCACGGGCTTTACGCTCGTCTGCTGCTCTTTCACTGGCCTTCTGTTCCTCCTGGCGGGCCAGGCTATCTCGCTCTGCTTCATCTCGACGAACGTTCTTGGGTCGGAACCGACCAGCCGTAGGTGCTCTTGTTGCCCGAGTAGTATTGCCCCCGCGCGTTGGTGTGGAAGAAATACTCTGGGGAGCTGGAGTGGCACTGCCTGATGTTGCTTGAGCAGTTGAAGGGTCAACGCTACTCTCGCCGGTTGCTCGCGAACCAGCAGCAGCAGCGCCTCTCCGGGTACCCCGGGCTGATGCCCTACCGCGGTTCATCTTATTTTTAACGGTGATGTTTTTGACGGAAGTTGATATCGGTGTTTAGCAATGGTTGTCGTTGTCGCAGGTCACGGGTCTTTATTCAAGCTTTACAAAAATTTAGTTTGTCGCGAAGCCGAAAGTCAGATAGTGGGGGGCGGGAAGGTGGGGGACGAGAAATTCTGCCAAATTTATGCTCACCGCCTACGAATTGATGTCACATCGAGGTATGCGTCTAATTAGCTTCACATCCAATACTTGTTACTGCTTAATGCTGCAGCCGAGTATTGTACTTTATCATGTAGGGTGAAGTGTTCTATCAGGAGACCTCTAAAAAAAGAGAAGAAAACAAACGATCCTTGACTCGCGCGGTCTACAGTACAGACATCGAAATCATCCGTGGCCGATCCGGTATTGCTAATAATAGAGCCCGAGGGTAAAGGAGAAGCGTTGAGCGACCGCTGCAACGTCGAAATTGATGTGTTGAATAGGCAAATTAATTACTAATACACTCAGTTATGTATACTTCAACTTAATCGATTGGTGGTGTCTTATCATTAAAGGCTTCTGTAAGTCAAGCCGGCTTTATTCAAACAGCGCGGTGTAGTGGTAGTGTAGTTCCTAATGCGGAAATGCGCCTAAGTTCCATTGGTCAGACCTGATGATAGCCCCAGCGCCTGGAATTAGGACTACCATTACGACATAGGATGAGCCAAAGGTTTATCGTCTTTAGGCAGTGGATATCGATTTGTTTCCATAGAACTGCCTTCTACTGTAGTCTCAGGTCACATTCATAGGCGATGCAATAAATATATCGTAATGTAGCCGTGATGTCGTGTGTCAGGTATCACTAAATTTAGCTTTACATCTTATGTGGATTTAGAGCAGTCCCTAGGCTACTTCTGAAGGTCAATTTTCTGCTGGCAATGGACCTAGGTCGCGACACCTCTCCCTCGAATACGCACATTCTTCGAATAACGTCCAATCAAATGATTTTACGGTATAAATCGATCGCTCTGAACCTTGAGTAGATGTCGTCTCTTCAATCAGGAATTCGCAGCACTCGGAACCAACAGACTATAGCCATGGATGGGCTTCCCGGAACCAGTTTCAGGTATGGTTGTAGTGGTCATAAAATGATCAAGATGGACCCGCATGCTAGCTGAAGCAAGGAAGCTTCTTCGATGCAAATCCCTAATATAATATGTATATACCGGGCCCCAAATGGCTCGTAGCGTACCTATTGATGGATTGTCTTACCGTGGTCGACAATCCTTGAAAGTTTTGAACCAGAAAACGCCGGCCGTGCATACCCCGCGGTCCACGGCAGTTAGGCAAAGCCTCATCGGAGACACATCAATGCCTTGTCCCCAAACTCTGAGGCGATGCTCCCTTCATGATCGAGCATCGAACCAATCCATTCTCTTCCAGCTTCAACTGTTTTCGCTCCAAATTTGACGACCACGCAACCTCGAACATTGGCTGCAGACCAGAGAACACCCCCCTCTTTCTCCTTGTCTAACCGTTGTGACCGCCAACGTTCAAGGTCAGAAGTATTCGTGCTATCCTGGGCCATTGCTTCTGGCGATCGGAAATCTCGGGCACCAATGCGGGGAAGGGCAGCAAACTCAGTTTGAAAGAACTCCCCCAATGATTTTGTCTTTGCACCTCGCAGAATGAGGGTTCCAGTTATGGCCATATGTTGCATCATCTCTGGGAGCGTGCGGCCAACAGATTTGCTCGCTTCCCGGGACAAGATGATTGAGTCTCGGACGAGGAGCCTGTCGGCAGATGTCACCGCCGGATCTTGCAACCATATTTCGTTGCGCCCTGACCATTTCCTGAAGCTCCAATTCTCACCGCGGGCCACGCGCCCTTGTGTGACCCAGTCCAAGAGACAGAGGGATGCCTGTTCTCTGAGTTTGAATATTTGCTTCTGGGCGTACACGCTGTCTTCAAAAGGCTGAACAGGATCCGGGAGAAGGCACATGGAAGCGTCGTTGTCTATTGTGACATCCAAGTTTTGACTTGTTATGACGTCTACTGTCGGCGACTTGAAAATCTTTGTGTGACCTTGGGTAGCAATGCTGAGCTTCGCCTCTGGTTTAACGTGAACTGTCAGATTGACACCATCTCCAGCAACAAGACCACCTCCGTAAGATAGGAGGAACACTAGAGTGCTTGGCTGGCTTGAAGAAGGAGCTGGCGATATCAGTTTTAAAGGATACTGGTAAGTCATGGTTTCGAGACCGCTTTCACCTGCGGGGAGCAGGCCGACGACGATGCGGCCATCGCCAGGAGATGAGGATGATGGGGGAAAGGGCGATTCCATTTTGATGGCATGTTGCGATGATGTAAAGGAGAGAAAGGCCGGGGATGAATTCTTTGACGACAGTCTAATTGAGTCAAGACAGTGTCCAGGTGTCAAAGCCAAACAGCGTCTCCATCTTGACGCAGCATCACTAACAAATGCCTTGGTTTCTATTGAGGCACGAGTCAAAGGGTCCTGTGCTATTAGATAAGAGATAAGAGGTCGTTGGTCGAAATTGTGGCTGGCGACCCACCTCTGAGCTTGGATTGTGGGGGTTAACAGAGAATACCCTGAGCTTGGGTGTGGCTTAGGAGATACAGGGCGTGAAGGAAGCGACATGCTGTAGCGGTACGGTACAGCGACAAAAGCTGCCCTAGGTGCCCGACATTCAGCCGTAAGTTAGTGAAACTACCTGTCTAGCACCACCCACCCCCAGGTAGCTTGCGCCGTCATCTCTACCTACTACCTACTACCCATTTGCACTCTACTACTTCACTCCACGCGATATTCGACGCGCCAAGTGGCCAAAAACTCCATTGTCGCCCTCCCATCAAGGGTTTTTAAGATCGAGACCCGATACTTTCAATTGTTAATAGCGCGATCAAACCTTGAAAGAAACCATGGACAATAATGCAAGCCCGACTCCCGACCCCGATGCTACAACGCGTCGCCGATCGGGACGCGTCGTGAGAGCACCCTCCAAATTTACACCCGAACCTGCTTCCCAATCTACGCACCCGAAGCGCAAGCGAGACGACCAGGACGATGAAGACGAAGAAGGCCAAGAAGAGGTAGCCGAAAATGAAGCGCCTGACTCCGATGAGGAGATGAGCGACGAGCCTGATAACGATAGCGACGAAGATCATCCTGCACCGCGCTCTAGAAAGAAGGCGTCGCAAACAAGTCGCGCAAAGAAGCCCTCTGCCAAAAAGCCAAAGATTAATGGTTCCAAGCCTTTGCGACCAGCGCGAGTCACCCATGCCGCCAAAAGTCTTCCGAGCAGACCTAAAAAGAGTGTTCGTATTGAAGACGCGGCATTGAAAGGAACCGGTCTCTATTGTACGCAAAAACCTCCCGACAATACGATTTTCTATGTACTAACGCGACCCAGCTGATCTTTTTGGTTCGGGCGACTCCAGCAGATCGGTGGCCGAAGAGTGGTTGAACAAATATAATGGTGATGGAGTAGTAGCTTTTACTGATCTAGTGAACTGTATTTTGCAGTGTGCTGGCTGCGACCAGCTTATCACAGAAGATGATGTTCGAGATGCAGAGAACATCGCTGGCAGATTGGCAGATCTCCAGAGTGTGTACCAAGAGGTAGAGTCGAGCTATGTGTTTGGAACAATAACATGCGCTGACAAGATTGCAGCAAGAGATTACCGATTATCCTCTCATCTCCAGAACGAAACAGTCGCGATCCTTCCGAGACGTACTCATCAGCTTCTTCGAAAACCTCATTGTCGATATGCACCAAAATGAGCTCATGTATAGAGACGAGTTCTTGATTGAAAACCTCCACGCGTGGCTTGCGAGTATGTCATCGTCGAGCCTCCGGCCCTTCCGCCATACTGCGACCACTATATCGTTGGCAGTTCAATCTGCCCTCGTCAAGGTTGCTGATGACCTTGACTATAGACTTGGTTACACAGGAAAAGCTCGAAACTCGAAGGCTAAATTGAACGCTGGGCAGCAGCGTGACATGGAAAAGAACACCAGCAATCGCAAGGTGTGCACCGAGGCAATTCAATCATTCTTCGACACTGTCTTTGTCCACCGCTACCGAGATGTTGATCCTAGGATCAGAACCGAATGCGTGGAAGCTCTCGGCAATTGGATCATTGCCCTGCCATCTATCTTCCTTGAGCCCGGCTATCTGCGCTACTTGGGCTGGATGTTGTCAGATACCCATGCTCCCACTCGCCTCGAGGTGCTAAAGCATCTTGCCAAAGTCTTCAGAAAAGACGCAGATAAATTGGGACATTTCATCGACAGATTTCGCCCCCGTCTAGTGGAGATGGCTTGCAAAGATGCCGACGTATCTGTGCGCGTAGCAGCAATCGGCGTTATTGACGTCCTTCGTGACCAGGATATGCTCGAAGGTGAAGAAGTTGATGCCATTGGAAAACTCATTTTCGACAACGAGCTCAGAATCCGAAAGGCAGTTGTTGGGTTCTTTGTAGCCTGCACCAAAGACGCTATTGGCGAAAAGGTGAAGTGTCTAGGAGATTCAGACGTCATGGAGGAGATCCCTAGCGGAAAGAAGGCTTCTCTTGACGCGCCTCGTGCTGAGTGGGTTGACTTGAAATGCCTGGCTGAGACGCTTGCTATCTACGACAATCAAATCGAGGAAGAGCAAAGTAACCAGGTCTTAGGGCTGGATGCAGCTGTGGACCTTTTGGAAGCTGCTATCCCAGAGACGAGGATTTCCTTGGCATCACAAGTTCTTTATGAGAAAGTTGATGAAATCAAGCAATGGACACTTCTCGCTGGATACCTGCTATTTGATCACACAACAAGTTCAAAAGCAAGATCGAAGGGCAACAATCCGGAGCTTGCATTTAAGAAGGCCGTTGCTCCCTCCTCCGCCGAAGAGGCCATACTGTTGGATGTATTGAGCTCGGCAGTCAAGTCTAGCCTAACCCATCCGAGTGAACATGACAGATCACGAAAGAAGCATCAAACGTCCAAAGATAGTGAAGACGTGAGCATCAGCCCCGAAGAGACTGCGACTGAGCTAGTCAGTGTCATTCCTCAGCTTTTGAGCAAATTCGGCGCAGAACCAGATACGGCAGCAATCGTTCTTCGATTGGCACACTTTCCCGACATTGAAGTTTTCAAGCAATTACGACAAAATACAAACAAGTACGAAAAGTTACTTGACGAGATCGTTACGCAGTTTAACAGACACGACGATAAGAGAGTTTTGTCGGAAGCGGCTGCAGCACTGTTACATTCACGTCAATACGACGAATTGGAAGAAGTCGCAGACAGTAAGATCTCCAACCTATGGGAGACTGCGATTACTGCTTTGCACAATTTCGACAAGACTTACGAGCTTTCTTCAAGAGGCAACTTGGAGGAATCCCCCCTCAGGGAACTATCAACAGTCCTGCTGAAGATTAGCAAATTGGCGAGTCTTTCGAGTTGCGTGGACATCCTTGAGGCCGAAGGAGATTCTAGCGAGTCAACAATGACGCCTGTGATTCAGATACTAGCCAACATTGTACATCGCGGCAAGTATGAACCCCTTGACGATCAGGATATTGATGACCTGGAGGACGAGGTGGTCTCATATGCTATCAAGACCTGTCAGTTCTACTTTATGTGGAAAACATTGGCATACAACACACTCCTTTCTTCAGGCCATAATGTTGCGGACGCTGACCTCGACCGCCTATCTGTGTTGCGCCAAACCTTCCGCAGGCATCTCATCGAAACCCTCTCCTCACGCGCTGCCATCGATCAGCTACGATTGTTCGCTACTGGTAGCTTGTGCGATCTTCATCTCACATTTGCAACCCTACGGTCTGCTATCGATAAACTTCGTCCCGCTTCAAGTTCTGGGTCGCCTTCCGTAGAAGCCGATAAATACAAGACGTTGATTCAGGAAATTGAGTCGGGGCTCATTCCTGAGTTGATTTCAATCTTTGACGGCACAGAGAAGCAATATGCCAAGAAGATCAAGAAAGACAAGTTGCTGAATGAACCAGCTGAAGATGAAGACCCCCTAGCCGATGACGAAGAGGAGGAGGAAGAGGACGAGGATGAAAGCCTGTCCGAAGAAGAGCGTCTCGCTGCTGAACTCAAGGCCGAGAAGGCACTCTGTGATCTTACTGGCAAATACGTTCTCGTCATTACAGCACGACTTGTGGACAACAAGGGCACTCACGCAGGCAAGTTGAGGCGACGTTTACTCCGTAACCAAAACAAACTCGGCCACAACTTCAAGGAAGTCGTCACCTATCTCGACGAAGAGAAGCTTGCTGAGCGAACAAGGAAGAAGGTTGCCAACACGCACTCTACAACATCCAAGTCCCAAAAACCTCAGCTCAGCGAAGCCCTGGTGATTGAGGATGACGATATCTTTGACAACACACCACCGCCTGAGGAGGGTTCACGTGAGGATCTTCGCCAGAAGGGCCTCCTGGAGGATGACCCCATCGAGGACGACGACGAAAATGAAGATGAAGAAGCGGAACGACAAGCTCATGAATCAGACGACGAAGTTATAGGGGACTAAAACGTAACGGGGCTGACCTCTCGTATATGGTGGACGCATAACTATTTCGGTGCGCGGTGGGAATGACCTCTGTTTTCGTATTTGCCTTTCGAGCTGGCAGCAGTTTTGTTCGTTTTCTCTTTGTTTTTCTGCGTATGCAGTCTCGTCGTATGAGGCAGTGGACTAGGGTTTTCAGGGCGTCAAAAGACTGCATGCGTATACATAAGTAGCCATTTCTTTAAGAAGTATTTGCGCCTCACTTTCACTTCTCGCGGTGTGCTATATTATCTCGTACAAACGGTGAATGGTCCGGCTAAGTTGGTAACAGAAGAGATGTCCTCCAAGACTTAGGTTACAGAAATAAAGTAGTCTGAGTCCTAGACTAAGCTGGTATAAGGTGATCAAATTATTTCGTCTCTTATGCTTTTGGCCGTCAATTCTTCTGACCCTGCAGCCCGGGTCCAGAACTCCAAGTCAACGTTCCCAATAGGGGGCTCGCTACTATGAAGCAGGAGAAATTAATCTAAGACTCGGAGCACTACAATAAAATAGCCAAAGTGCTAGTCTCAACTGGCATAGAATGCCTCTTGTATCATCTCTGAGGGTCGTAGCGGCTTCTTTTTCTCTTCCACTGACGACTTGATCTTGTATATCCATCGTTATCCTTTGAACTGACAAAAACTCTTAATACATCTATCCTCCCGCAATCATAGTGCCGAAGAGACGGAACATTCTCTGCCATCGTTTCCCGTTTCCTGCACTGGCCCTTGATGGATCTGATTCGCTGACTTTGACACCGTATTGTTGTATGCAACAGGGAAATGGTCGATTCGTCAATTGCATCTTGCCCGACTCGCCGTTTCCATCTACTTGGCCGTTCTCGTCGTCACTATCAGCTGGTGGTTTCCCATTTTTTGCTGCTTCCTGAGCAGCCATCTTCTTCTCCTCCAAGTTCCCCCAGAGGGTGAACATTTTTTCACGAAGTGTAGATAGCGCCTCTTTGTTTTGTCTCAAATTAGATGCATCGAGCTTTGTGAGGCACTGAGCAGCTTGATTGTCAACAAGCACCCAGAGTCTTTGCTTCTTCTGCTGGCCGCTATCAACAGCATCCTCGAGTTCTAAGAAGAAACGCCACTCCCAATTTCGTACTTGAGTGAAAGCACCCATTTTCGTCTGGCTTGGTTGTTCGTCTTCAATATCCGAACCACTATTGGACACAGACTCTTCGCCATCATCAGATAGGATATCGTATTCTGACCCCTTCTTAGGATGTGCAAAGTCCGCAAGATTGGTAGGCGAAAAATCGACAATTCGAACGTTGGCTCGGTAATTCAAGTTGACAAATGGTAGAGGGAGTTTCACGCTTTCCCCTTCGATAGTGGTTTCATGTTGCACAATGCTGGTTATCTCGGCAAGTCGACTGGTCACCTTGTCTTCGTTCTCGCATTTCACTGAGAGTTATCAGTACGAGTAGTTAGAGTATGGAAGTGGAAATACCTCGCGTGTTCAAGTCCGCGACCAGGACTGTGTCGTCTTCTGCTTGTTCGCCACCCTGACCCTGTCTGCTGGCTCCCTTTTTTCGTTTGGCGTCCCGCCTTGATCTGGCATTATCCTTCTTCGATTTCCCATTAGTTTCCACGCCCTTCTTACGCTTCTCTCCTGCTTTGCTGGCTTCCTTTATGTCCTTGAGCTGCTCTTTTCGCAGGCGTTCATATTCCCTCTTTCTCTGCAACGCTGCCTTCGCGTGATGGTTAATACTTTCGGGGTCATCTGTCAGATCTACTTCATGGATGCCAAATTTAGTACCGAGAGCACTACGATCTTCTCTCAAATATCCTTCCAAGTTGGCACCGTTGCGGCTCGTCTTGATCTGTATGTTTCTTGCGTCTATCCATGTCAGAGGGCGCATATTTTCTTCACGAATGACAGTCGCATAAGGTTCCCAGCAGGTAATTTGCATGGATCTCTTGCCGAAAGGTCCTGGCCAGTCAGTCGTCTGAGCGGCTGTGGTGAACTTGTCGAGATAACCCCATGGATCTCCATCCCGCCCAGGAGAAGCAGCATCTACACTGATGGAGAAATTATAGAATGCCGCGTTTTCTGTATAGTCAGAAACCCACAAAGTTATCTTGTCACCTCCATCGTAGGGCGGTCGGACAATCTGAGCTACTATATCGCAGAACTGCCCATCTTGAACGTCTTTAAGTAGTCTGAACTTGTCCTTGACGTTTGTGGAAGTCATAACCATAACCTCAAAGTCTTCTTGAATCGGAATACGGCTCCGGTCAATAGTGTGATACATACGAGACACAAAATCATTCTCTTTGCTGTCAGGTGGAGTATCCTTGGGGCTGTTGCGAGAATACAGAGCGACTGAGGCATCCCCGGGAGGCTTGGGAATCTTTGAAGACTCATAAACCGATATTTTGGTACTCCAATGGGTTATTAACGACATTTCCGACCCGTATTCTTGAACCTTTGGTAAAAGTTAGTACGAAGTCGATGCACGGGTGATTAATACATGCCCTGGCTGAGCGAACGAGTATAACATCGCCGCAGCCTACTTTTGGGAACTCATTCTTCGGGCGGAAGATGTTGATAGAGATCGAGTCGCCATCCTCAATGGAAGAATCGTAAAATCGTATTTGACATTTCCAGTCTAAGTAGATTAGATTGGATAACTTGATGAATCGCAAGAGGAATTTCTCATCTTACCTGAGCCCTGCGTTGGCATTGGAGCACGACAGTCCACAATAATGCCGACTACATTGACGGTAGTTCTACGTCGAGTCTTGCCTTCCAATATGTCACGACATGGTGTATAGTTGGGGAGTAGTGGTGACTGCATTGGAGCTGATATGAACTCAGCGATATGAGTTTTGCTCTGTAGCAGACAAACGATCAATTGATTTCGATCAACGTTACCGTGTTAAGTGGGCAACGTCGTGTAAGTGAGGGCCCCTTAGACGCGGCGACAATGATGGATCCGGTGGATTAGACGCGCTTAGCTGCCTGTAGCTACCTGCCCCTCCAGAACGGAAAGGCGCGACAGCACGTGACTATGAGATTTGACTTTTCACATCAGGCAGGCACATCCATCACATGGTGGCGAAGAGAGCGAGTCGCATAGACAGTATGTACCTATATGGGTAGAAATTTCAAGCTCACATACATACTGTACCCAGTCAAAAGATTCTTTTTATCCTGCAGGCTAACGAGACAGGCATGACTCTCCATAATCAGACTCAAATCAGCCCCTGTTCATATTGTTGTTGTCAAACATTGTAAATTATAGTATTCATTCACTTGAACCAACTTTCAAGAATAGTGAACCCTTTCGCTGGTTGCTTTGTTTACATACTCTACAAGTGGATAGAAAACAAACAATTCCTCTCTTTTCTAGACAAATTCTAGATTACCTTACCCACATTATCTGCATCAAACCCTCTTTTTCTTCCCGCAGAACAGAGCTGATTTGATTACATGGCGTGCATAGGTAGAGCTAAGGTCAAATAGCTGCCTGAGGCTGAAATCACCGCCGGGCCCTTATTTTGTCAGAGGCGGTAGCGGTTTCTGTTTGGGTTTAGCAGGCAACCTAGCAGAACGACTCGCCCGCTGGGTCAATCCATTTCGACACCCTCCTAGTCCCCGGCCGACGACCAAGACTTCTCTTCTCCATCCATCTCCATCATCAACAAATCTTTCTCCTTTTTCCTTCCTCACAACCTCTTCCTCCTATTTGAATTTCTACTTTCCGCCATCTTCTCAGGGCCAGTCTTTTCTCTTTAGACGCTGAGCTCCCCTCTTGACGAACCCTTTGTGCTTCTTTCACCCCGCACAATAAATTGCTGCTGTTCACCTACCAACACCCCCTCGGACCAAAGCAACAGCAGTCAACATGGCTGAGCGATACATCCCCGAGCATCGCCGCACTCAGTTCAAGGCGAAGAACACTTTCAAGCCTGAAGAACTCCGTCGCCGTCGTGAGGAGCAGCAGGTTGAGATTCGAAAGGCCAAGCGTGAGGAGAACTTGGCCAAGCGACGAGGTATTGGAACCGGTGAGAACCGACCTGGCGCTTCCCTCGGTGCTGCTCCTGATAGCGACGATGAGTCCGCCCCTACTGAATCTCAGGTATGTATACTCGACCCAAAGTCTGCTGTTTGCGCAAATACTGTCGCCATCGCTTCGCCTCGTCCCTGCCGTTTGACCTGTAATGTGGGGGGAAATACGCACCTCACAACCCCACATCAGGCTTGGTGGATTGAGCAAAGTCGGTCATTGGGTCATTGTTGTAGTGACTGTCATGTCCTACTCCTGTCGGCACATTGGTTGCGAACAGCACAGCTTTTCCTATGCGTTTCTTGTGAACCTTGGCTAACTCCTGCTTCAGTTGAATGAGGATCTTCCTCAAATGGTACAGGGCGTTTTCTCGGACCAGATCGATTCGCAGATTCAGGCTACTACAAAGTTCCGAAAGCTTCTTTCCAAGGAGCGTAACCCCCCGATCGAGGAGGTCATCAAGACCGGTGTCGTTACCCGCTTTGTCGAGTTTTTGCGATCCCCCCATACTCTGGTTCAGTTCGAGGCTGCTTGGGCCTTGACCAACATCGCCTCTGGCTCCGCCACCCAAACTCAGGTCGTCATTGAGGCCGGCGCTGTCCCTATCTTTGTCGAGCTCCTTGCCAGCCCTGAACCCGATGTTAGGGAACAGGCTGTCTGGGCCCTTGGTAACATAGCTGGCGACAGCCCTCACTGCCGTGACTACGTCCTCAGCTGTGGCGCCCTCAAGCCTCTTCTTAACCTTCTCGGAGACAGCCGCAAGCTTAGCATGCTCCGAAATGCCACATGGACCTTGAGCAACTTCTGCCGTGGCAAGACCCCTCAGCCTGACTGGACTACTGTAAGTCAACATGAACTGCATCAGTGAACCCACGCTAACCCTCGTCAGATTGCCCCCGCTCTTCCTGTTTTGTCCAAGCTTGTCTACTCTCTTGATGATGAGGTTCTGATTGATGCCTGCTGGGCTATCTCTTACCTCTCTGACGGTTCCAACGACAAGATCCAGGCTGTCATCGAGGCTGGCATCCCCCGCCGACTGGTGGAACTCCTTATGCACGCTTCCACATCTGTCCAGACCCCTGCTCTGCGATCCGTTGGTAACATCGTCACTGGTGACGACGTCCAGACCCAGGTCATCATCAACTGTGGTGCTCTGCCCTGCCTTTTGTCTCTGCTCAGCTCTACCAAGGATGGTATTCGCAAAGAGGCTTGCTGGACCATCTCCAACATTACCGCTGGCAACTCTTCTCAGATTCAGGCTGTGATCGATGCCAACATTGTTCCTCCTCTGATCCACCTTCTGCAGAATGGTGACCTCAAGACCCGTAAAGAAGCTTGCTGGGCTATTAGCAATGCCACCAGCGGTGGTCTCCAAAAGCCCGAGCAGATCCGCTACTTGGTTTCCCAGGGCTGCATCAAGCCCCTCTGTGACCTCCTCGGCTGCCCAGATAACAAGATCATTCAGGTTGCCCTGGACGGACTCGAGAACATCCTCAAGATCGGTGATCTTGACAAGCAGGCTGCTGGCGAGTCCGGCGACTCTATCAACCGATATGCTCTCTTCATTGAGGAGTGCGGTGGTATGGAAAAGATTCACGACTGCCAGAACAATGCCAATGAAGAGATCTACATGAAGGCTTACAACATCATTGAGAAGTACTTCTCTGATGATGAGGAGAACGCTGATGATGGTATGGCTCAGCAACCTGCTGGACCTAACGGTACCTTCGGCTTCGGCACCAACGGCGCTGCTCCTTCAGGAGGATTTGAATTCGCTAAGGGCAGCGACGCCATGGACATGTAAAAGGTTTCTTGATCCAGTGTCGTTATTTCGACAACATGACCCAAAATGTGGAGCAATCCCAACCCCCTCAAAGACATAACACCATCACGACACCCCTTCCCCCAGAACAGTTTTACCCGACTGTCGTTTACCCCACATCCCCATGATATCACACCCCATACCGCGTCTTTTTAATGTATCTGGAAGGTTATAGGAGGGTAGTCCTACACCCTCAAAATACAGGCCCTATGGTAGCTTGAAAGCTCCAGCCTGAGTGAAGAAGTGAGGCGAGAGCGGAGTCAGCGGAGGCGTCTGGCTTGTTAGTCACGTATGAAGAAGCCACAACCCGACGAGTTTGCGCGTGTACGTAGAAAACATCATGATGGTTGGTGTTCAGGCACATGGGACTCGCGCAGGATTATTGCCAAAGCTAAAGGCAGCGTCAACCGAGGACGCGTTGCCTTAAGAAGCCTATGCTAGTGCATCAGGACTTCTGAGATGGTGAAGCTCGAAATTGCGGAATTTACTGCCAAGTGGTGGTGAATCTGGTTCAGAAGTAGCCAGGAACCGTAGTCAAGTAAAAAAAAAAAGAATAATAGGAGTGTTTGCCCCTCATTCATGATGATCGTTGCTGCATGTGTTGACATATGATGACTTGCTTAATGTATAGTATCAGTTCAAGCGATAGGATACATATATTAAATCGTAGAGTTTCATGTCCATTATTGATGCCGTCTATCAAGTACTGTCATGAACATGAATATGAACGACAGCTCCCAGGTTGTGTTTTTCCAGCAAGAACAGTACAGTGAAGGTCTGTCTATGGCGGGGTCCTAGTCCGTGTGTAATCACTTGTACTTACTGTGCGTCATATGTGTAGGAGCCATATATATACAGTATGAATTTCTATCATTGGTTAAGTGCTTGATTTTTCGTTGACGAAAACCAGATCAAGCATGAAGTAAAGTCCAAAAGTCAGCCCTTCGGAATATAAGAAGACCTTTTTACCACAGACCTCTTTCTCTCCAAGCAAGGTTGTCTTGTCTCATCCACTTCCATACTCTGTAGAAGGAACTCCACTACCTACCTACCTAGTTTCTACTGCGATAGGTACCTGCCTTGCTTGTTAACTTATCAACCTGGCCTTGACAATATTCATTTAACAACGCCACGACCAACAGACACCAACCCTTCAAAATGGTCAAAAAAGGCAAGGGAAAGGCCAGTGGTGGTATAGATCTCTCAGATCCCATGCCATCTGGCTCATCGAAAGACCAAACTAAGGGCAAGAAGGCCCAAAAAGGCGGCACTTCTACTCCTGAAGCGCCGCCCGCCTCAGGTCCCCCCAAACCTACGGTCAAGCAACTTATTGGCGGTTCTTCATGGACGGGAAAGCTGCCTGTCAATCTACTTAGCGAGTATTGTCAGAAGCAACGCTGGGAGAGGCCCGACTATGATACCAGAAAGACCCCCGAGGGGTTCTCTGTATGGGTTACCATGAGTGCCAAGGATCCCAAGACACAGCAGATCACCAAACTCGACCCTTTTAAGATTCCAGCAACACACAAACATTTGATTATGCGACCCACAGCCATAGAAGCCAAGCATGCTGCGGCTACATATGCGCTCTTCAGAGTCTGTAGCATGCAGAACAAGCACACAGTGCTTCCACCGGAACATAAATCGCTATGGAAAGATTTCCAGGCCCTCAAAACACAAGATCTCAAAGAAGGGAAGGCCTGGATGTATGAGCCAGACCCATTCAAGGCACTCCAGGAGAGACAGGAGGCCAAGGCTGTTGCAGATAAAAAGAGGAAGGAAATCGAGGCTGCCAAAGCCAAGGCCGCCGCTATGCCTGGCGCGGCTGGTCTGGTCCTCATGAGTAACACAGGTAAAGGAGATGGCCGATCGTCAAATATCATGAAAGGGTGGAGCACAGCACCCAAGGTCGAGATGGGCAAGAAGACAAGAGCTCAGTTGGAAACTCTACTACGAACCGGCGTCAAGTGGAACCCAAATGATGTTCAGATGTCGAAACCCCAAAAAGAGGCCATCATTGCTGAGCTCAGCAGACTCAGCTTTCGCAGAAGCCATGTTGAAGAGGCAGTAGAATATTGCAAGGACCGGGAAGAGACACTCGAGTGGCTACTCATTCACGTTCCCGAAGACGATCTCCCTAGGTGGGCTTTGCCAGAGAGCTATGCTGCTGGAGTCTCAGTCGGTGCAACAAATCTGAGACGAGAAGGCATCATCAAGCGACTCGCCCAAGCAGGCTACTCTCTCGAACTAACGACAAGGGTGTTGGATGAGCAAGGGATCGACGAAGACAAGGCCGCCGAGACGTTGCAGAATTTACTTTTCTCAAGCGAGTCCAAGACTTCTGACGATGCTGACTTCTTAGATCTCGGTTCACCAGAAGAACAATGGGAGGAAGAGGTTGGGAGCCTGGAAGCAATTTACGGAGACGGGTTTGAGCGCGAAGGTGATAATGTCATTCGTATCAAACTGGATTCCGTCAAGAATGGACAACAGCTTGTTGACGCATCGCTTCAAATCCGACGCCCGGCTACCTATCCTGCAAATTTGATTCTTTCCATCGTGGCCAACATCCCGTCTTATATCAAGCTCAGTATTATCCGAAAGGCGCTCGAGTACATTGATGAGTCCTTGCGTGACGAGCCCATGAAAATCTACTTAGCTATGGATTGGATTCAACAAAACATCAACAGCATTATCGAAGATCCTGGAAAGCTTGTTGACATTTCCGCGGTTTCTTCAGCTGCCGCCGAATACAAACCAATTGCAGCCGTTGCGCAGAAAAGGCGGCCAACCCGTGCGCCCAAGTTGATAAAATGGGTCAAGGACGAAAAGAACCGTGAGCACTGGCTTCGAAGACAGGAGTCAACCTCTTTGAAGAACATGATTAGCAAGCGCCAGAACCTTCCTGCGTGGCAGATGCGCGAGGCTATCATTGGCACCGTCCGGAGCAATCACGTAACTATCATCAGTGGAGAAACAGGTTCAGGTAAATCTACCCAGTCCATGCAATTCATCCTGGATGATTTGTATGCCCAAGGGCTAGGTGGTTGTGCGAACATGATTGTCACCCAACCGCGCCGAATCTCGGCACTTGGACTTGCGGACCGAGTGGCTGAAGAGCGATGCTCACGAGTTGGCGAGGAAGTTGGATACGCAATCCGTGGCGAGTCTAAGAGATCCAAGGATACCAGGATCACATTTGTAACGACTGGTGTTCTTCTCAGACGATTGCAGACCTCGGGAGGCCGAGTTGAAGATGTGGTGGCGTCTCTGGCAGATGTCAGCCATGTCGTGATTGATGAGGTACATGAGCGAAGTCTGGACACAGATTTCTTACTCAACCTCATTCGTGAAGTCATGAAATCAAAGAGGGATATGCTGAAGCTCATTCTTATGTCTGCTACACTCGATGCGGCGACCTTTAAGAACTACTTTGCCTCGGAAGGACTCAGCGTGGGCACTGTCGAGATTGAAGGTCGAACATTCCCAGTTGATGAGTACTATCTGGACGACGTCATTCGCATGACAGCATACGGCGTTGAGAGTTCTGACACCGAGTTTATCAGCGGAGATGCTCTAGGCAAGGTGATTCAGAAGCTGGGTCATCGTATCAACTACAACCTCTTGGTTGAGACTGTCAAAGCCATTGACTTTGAGCTTTCATACGAGAAGAAGTCTGGTGGCATTCTCATCTTCCTCCCAGGTGTTGGTGAGATTAACCAGGCTTGTCGCGCACTGAAAGTGATCAATTCCCTCCATGTTTTACCACTACATGCGTCGCTGGAAACACGTGAGCAGAAGCGTGTATTCTCAAGCCCTCCGCCGGGAAAGCGAAAGGTTGTGGTTGCAACCAACGTTGCAGAAACTTCCATTACTATTGATGATATTGTTGTGGTAATTGATAGCGGAAAGGTCAAGGAAACTAGCTTTGATGTTCAAAGCAACATGCGCAAACTCGAAGAGACATGGGCATCACGAGCTGCTTGCAAACAACGACGTGGTCGAGCCGGTCGAGTTCAAGAGGGCAGATGCTACAAGCTTTTCACGCAAAACCTTGAGCAGCAAATGCCTGAGCGGCCGGAACCTGAGATTCGGCGTGTTCCCTTGGAGCAACTTTGTCTGTCTGTTCGTGCTATGGGAATCAAGGATGTTGCTGGGTTCCTCGGCAGATCTCCTACGCCTCCTGATGCAACAGCTATTGACGGCGCCATGAAGCTCTTACGACGCATGGGAGCTCTCGATGGCGATGAACTCACCGCAATGGGTCAACAATTGGCTATGCTGCCAGCTGATCTGCGATGTGGAAAACTGATGGTGTTCGGTGCTATTTTCGGCTGTCTGGGTGACTGTGTGACCATCGCCGCGATACTGAGCACGAGAAGTCCGTTCATATCTCCACAAGAGAAGAGAGACGAAGCAAAGGAGGCCCGTATGAGATTTTACAGTGGTGACGGTGATCTCTTGACCGATCTTCAGGCTTTCCAGGAATGGGATTCCATGATGCAAGACCACCTGCCTCAGCGTCAAGTACGATCATGGTGCGAGGAGAATTTCCTCAACTTTCAGACCTTATCTGATATCTCCAATACGCGTGCGCAGTACTATACAGCGCTCGGGGAAATCGGTATTGTAGCTCCCTCTGAGGCCTCAAGTGAAGCTCATGGCCGCGGGTCTAGTTCAGATGGGTCTCAACTGTTGCGAGCACTGGTCGCGGCTGCTTTTACGCCTCAAATTGCTCGTATTCAGTATCCCGACAAGAAATTTGCCAGTTCTATGTCTGGGGCTGTAGAGCTGGATCCTGAGGCCAGGTTGATCAAGTACTTCAGCCAAGAGAACGGACGAGTGTTTGTTCACCCTAGCAGTACCCTATTCGGAAGCCAAGGATTTTCTGGCAACGCTGCTTATATGGCATACTTTAGTCTTATCTCTACCAGCAAGATTTTCATACGAGACCTAACACGTAAGTATAATCCTTTTCCTATTAGTTAGCAAGACTGACATACAACAGCCTTCAACGCATATACACTCCTCCTCTTTTCAGGCCCTATCGAACTTGATACGCTAGGCAGAGGTCTCCTTATCGATGGGTGGCTAAGGCTGAGAGGATGGGCACGCATTGGTGTTCTGCTAGCGAGGCTAAGAGGCATGGTAGATGAGTTGATTGCAAAGAAGGTTGAGAATCCTGAGATGAGTGTCAAGGATGATGAAGTTATTACATTGGTTAGGAAGATGATTGAACTTGATGGTTTGGATGCCTAGACGAAAAGCTTTGGACACTTATTACTTAGAATGGTTATCATAGATGAACATAGTAAACTTTGGATCTCGCGAAACACGATCAGTATAGGTTCGAGTATCATACGCAAGCAAGTGCACACTGAAGAAGACTGCTCGTAACAGAGACACATGTTGAGCATAAAAATACTATTTGTGATATTCTAAGCAAGACTAAAGAGATGACGTTAGACAAAAAAAAAATGTTGTAGAATTTTCTATGTAACTTGTTATTCAGCAGACCTACATTCATTCGTACGTGGAATCTTTTCGACCCAATCGTTAAACCAACGCTCCGAAAACACCGTGCTCCAACCATGATGCTAGCTAATAATCCCTTCAATCTGGCGCTTCACTGTAATCACACGTTTCAGAAATTCTCCTTCGTGCCCAATGGCATCCTGGCGCTGTCCTCGGTTTTGAACCTCGTAAGATCTGCCGTCATTAACTTTCTCAGGTTGCCCATATCCTGAAGATACCGGTGCATTTCCTCCTGCAGCTCATCTTCTTCGCCGTAGGCCGTGCTCTCCGAGTCGTATTCATCGTCATCCTCGCCAAACTCAGAGGCATTTTCCTTGTCTTGCTCATCGAGTTCACTCTCTGACTTGACAGGAACAGGAGGAATGGGATTCTTGAGACTTTCAATGGCGAGCTTCAGGTGCAGCTTCAGAGCCTCGTTCTCTGTCTGGAGCTTCTTGATCTTGCTCTCGGCCACCATGCTGCGCTCTTCCATCATGCGCTGCATGGAGTTGACATGGGTTTGGTACTCCTCCAGTTTCTCTTCAGCCTCCTTGGCGTTTTTCTCACGTTGTCTCGAGTCCGAAACGGAAAGTTGCAGCATGCGAATCTCTTCCGCCATTGCGGCGATCTGCGCGTCTCGCTCAGCGGTGGAGATATGGTCCTGATTGACCACAGCTCTAGTTCGGATTCGCTTGGCCTGATCGGCGTAACGCAATGTCGACAGCGTCTCGTCGTAGTCTGAGGGGGCAATACATGCAATCATGGCTGTCTTACTGTTTCCTCCCAGAGAGTCCTTGAGAAGCCATGTGAGGATAGAATCTCGGTACGGCACGACTTCTCTTCGTTTTCCAGTTCTGGAGGATTTAGGGTCTGCAAGAGCAGCAATGACGCGTCCGAGAGTAGTCAGGGACTTGTTGATGTTGCTACCTTCACGCAGACGTGCACCAGTTGCCTCGGTGGCTTTCGCCCTCTCACTACCTGCCAGATCCACCAATCGAATGCGAGAGCTTCGCTCTGTTGTCTCGTCGGTTTCCATGTCGTGGTGAATCTGCTTGAGCATGATAGTGAAGACGGCGTGACTTCGACTACTGGTATCGTTCATCTTCGTGCTTGCTACCGTACGGGACGTGTCGCCCAGCTTCATGTAGCGCAGGATCTCATTAATGTTTCGCACTGGAACCTCGGTAAGATCCTTGACGTAAGGGCCCTCAGTAGGAGATTCGCGAATTTTGAGATAGTTGGGTGCCTTGTGAGTCTGGGGTGGTACTAGCAGGTCGCGAACATGCTCGTTATATACTTCAAAGTAAGAAACGCGAACGTTGTACGCAACGTTTGAGTTCTCGCTGTGGGCGGCGTCAATTCGCTCAAAAAGATCCTCACATGTTCGAGGAATCAAACCAGGCTGATCGGGGGTGCCCATCATGGTGTAACTTTTACCAGAGCCGGTCTGGCCATAGGCAAAGATACATGTATGGTAACCTTCAAAGTTGTGATCCAAGAAGTCTTCGCCCAGGCTGTTGTAGACGTCCTCCTGTGTGGCATAGTGTTCGTCATTAGTGTCGTGACTCCAGAAGGAGTTGTCGAAAGTGAATTTCTTTTCCTCGATGACCTTTCGGGTCTTCAGCTTTGCAGCTTCTGGGTCTTGGTCATCGGGCGAGTATAAAGTAGTGAGCTGAGTGATGGGATCCATATCAATCAGGCATTTTGCCTGACGTTCAAGCTCTGGAGGGGAGTTTTTGTTAGTTTCTGCAGTTTTCTGGCATCTGAGATAAAACAGGCCGGCGGTCTATTGCTTACCTCTCTTGAGAAATGCTCTCACTCGGACGACAACTTTGACGTTTCCTCCACCGTCCATCTTGGCGGGTATCGATAAGGCGGCATCTCGAGATCGCAGTGAAGGAGTCGAGGCCGAAGAATGGACTCTCCCCTCACAAAAAGAGCTCGAAGACGAAGCCGCAGAAGGCATCAGTCTCGAATCCATAGCCATATTCGTTAGCTTTTGATTGATATCGTTGATGCTGCCGTGAAGTCGGTGTCGAAGAATAATCCACATTTTATCCGCTGTATCGACTTTTGTTTACCAGCGTCATTCGCGTTGCTAGGGGCAGTTGCAGGGGGCCCTTGTCTTGTTCTTTCCAATTTTGACTGGTTTAACAAGCAGAAGCTTGGGCCTGATGGTCCATCTGATTCCGGAAACGCTAGATCATTTCTGGTCAAGGGTGGGCCATGGTATAGAAAGAAAGAACATCACCTTCCAGTGCCCAGATTATTCTGTTATCTCTTTACGCGGGGACCTGACGCGAACTCCAGCCACTTTAATCAATTAGTACTACAGCTAAGCTACCTATGCCAGAAAAGCTGCAGCTGGGAGCATAGGTGTCAAAACTAGTTAGGCATCATACGCAGCTAGATACCAAGCACGTGTGTCTCTAATTCTTGCGCCTCAGCACTTGGAGATCAGCTTTTATGTCACCCTAGCTATCCACGTCTGGACTAGATACGTCTGCAACACTCGTTTCTTCTTTTCTGTCGTCTTCCTTCTTCATCAACTCAGACGCGTATCTTCAATTTAAACCTTCTCTTCGTGCAGAGTTGTACCGCGCTCGACTATCTCATTTTTTGGAGATTTTTTCCCGCCCGTCTTTCTTATTCAATTCCTCTTTATTCCTCCTCTCTTTCGCCATGGCGCGCACCAAGGAAGATGCTGTCGCGTCCAAGGGCGATGCGTCGCCCAAGATTCCCAAGTCCTCAGCTGGCGTGACCAAGAATACCGCTGAAACTCCCGTCAAGCGCGGACGCGGAAGACCACCCAAGGGCTCTGCGCCCATGCCTAAGAAGGTCTACGTTCCTACCGGACGTCCTCGCGGCCGTCCTCCAGGTGGCGGCAAGAAGAAACCTGCCCCTGCGCCCAAGAAGGTTGCGGCTGTAAACGATGACGGTACACCCAAGAGAGGACGTGGGCGACCTCGTCGAGAAGCTGCTGTTGATGGTGGGGAGTCCGCTGCTACAACACCGAAGGAGACCAAGAAGCGTGGCAGAAAGCCCAAGACTGTCAGCTCAGACGCTGAGGCCTCGGCCGACGAGGATAAGGACTCTGATGCTGGTAAGATGCGGCCTTCTTGACCTGATCACCGCGACAACTTACTAAACATTCTATAGCCGACGACGCCAGTGATAAGGAAGCTCCCGCAGCCGATTCTCTCGATAAGGACGAGGTAGTTACACTCCTCTCAACTTGAATTCGAGCACTCCATTTGCTAACCGTGCGCAGGATGAGGACGATGAAGAGTAATCAACCAATGAAGCACTGGAAGTCGGAGGCGGCGCGGCAATACCACCCGCCCTATGATGTATTGTACTAGTGGAACGAAAGGGTTGGGGTTTGATTTGATTTGATTTGATTTGAGGCCTGGCAAAACATGGAATGGGAACTGGTTGGATGGCTTTCTGGAATTCTATTGGGATTTTTGCTTTACCGGAGTTGCTGTAACAACATCGAAGCTACTATATAATAGGGGAAAAGCAGGCCCTCGTTTCCGAAAAAGATAACTCACGCTATCTTGCATGTCAGAGCCTTTTCCATGTCTCGTACTCCTCCGTGAGATGTCCCTTTAACTGCTGGAACTGGTTTTTAAAGTTGCGCTCACACCTCCAACACTTCATGTCCCACCGCAGATACGCTTCTTCTTTCGTATTCCGGCGCGCATCTTCAACTGCGAGCGGAAAATCGTCCAGGTCGACGAGGAACGGCGTATTGAACGAATTGTAGTGCTTTCGATGCCTGAGTGCTTCCGAGAACATGTCTCTCGACAGGACGTGTACATGTAAGTGCTTCATGCTTGGCACGGCGTGAACACCGGCCTTGACTTCTGCTGCCCAGTCCCGGCCTACGGGTAGTTCCCCGCTCTTTTCTGGCTCGGCATCGCCGTCGAGTACGGCTTGCCGTTGCGCATCGCTCTGGCTGTTTGCGCCGACACGACGTTGGAGTTCCTTGGCGACTAGGGCCTTGAGACGTTCAGTTTCGGCTTTCACGCTGGCGAGGAAGTCTGGGTCATCTAGTGCGTCGAAAGGATGGAGAAGATTATACTTTGAAGAACGAGAGAGAAGAAGCGTGTGGATGGTGGCTTTTGGGTAGCGATCGTTGATGGCTACGAAGTCGTCGTTGTGATAGATGACTCGTGAAGACGGGTAGGAGGCAGGGTCTTCCAGGTATGCACCCAAACCCATTCTATCTCCGAAAGGGTTTCCGCTCCGTGATGAACGAGCGGAGGCAGTTGATGGCGGAGTCTTCCTCTTCTGGCTCATGAGTTCTGTGACTTTTATATGTAAGAGTAGGCACCATGAGTGAGTTGGAGCAGAAGCGTATATGCTACTAACATGCATTGCGATTTGTCTTTTTTGGTGGCTCTTCCCCGTGAATCTCTTCCTTGGTGATGGCCTCTTTAGGCTCTGAGTCTTGGTGCGACATGCTTTTAGGTGTAAGTGTTCTAAGAAATCGTAGGCGATAGAGTGGTTGAGCTGGTGTAAGTGTTTAAGTGAGGTTGGTATCACACTTGTGATACGCCCCGCGGTGGAGAACTTTCTTTTGCCAGAACATATATCAGCCTAAGAATTTGGCAGTCATTTAGACCATGAACTGGACAATTAGAATAATACTAGTTGTAATTATCTATCTATCGTTCGTGATCAGACGGAGAGTTGAGGTAGGCTCTTTCAGCTACAAGACTGCATGAGAAGGTACCTATAGTACCTCATTGTAACAAACATGTCAATGGATGTTGATGGTGAATATGTACTGTGCCTGGAATGGATGTACGGACACAGTACAGGCTACACCATAACCCACTACATCGGTTTCAGCCATGCCGGGAGTATCTGAAACTGCCGTATCGATTCACTAATTAGGTACCTAGGCTGTTAGTTCTGTTATGAAATGCCGTTCTGCGCCGGTTAGAGGTTGACGAACAAGCAATTAACCAAGGCATGGAACCAATCAAATAAATTCATTGCATTTTCTGTGTCTTATTCGCTGTCTTGAAGGACCCCGCAGTCATGTCATGTCATGTCTAAGGTTCCATGTTTCGACTCAGTCCACGGTTAGAACGAACAAAAAGTCCCGACTATAACACAGTATAACTGCATAGACTAAGCCTGCTTATTACAAAGACCGTTCTTTCAGCTTTTAAAATACTCGGCCTCGAGATTGATACTTTTGTAGTAGTCAGTAGTATAGATATTGTCAGAATACGGATAGCTTTGAGGTTGATCATATCCATTTCCCCACTAGAGCTCAGCTCAACTCAACTTCTAGAAACAAAATCAGATAGAACAAACTTCCATACTTATACTTTCGGCGGTGATGTATTCCGGTTTTCTTTCAGAACTCTCTCTCTTAGTATTGTCGGCCCAAGTACCTACATAGGTAAGTCAATGTATTAAGAAACCGACAAAGAATAGGGGCTGTTATTGCTGCTCTGTCCGTGCTAAACTGTCCATTCCTCATTCTGTCTGACGTGCCCCTCATCAGCAAGCCTGGGCAGCGCCAGCGCCAGCGCCAGCCCAAGCTCACCGGGCCCTGCACATGCAGTAGGTACCTCTACCTATTACCTGGCTCGGTAGTGCTATAGGTAGCCCGTAGTTTCAACTTAAGCATCCGTGTTCATCTCCTTTCGTCTTTGTCTCTTTTCAACTTAGACAACCCTTTTTCTTTACACTCGTTCTCTTCCCCTATTGACATCCATCTTTGCGTCTCTCAGCCGAACCGTCATAATGTCCTCCCGTTTGCCTCTCTTCACACGCAACCTCCCAGACGCTCAGGAGTCTAATGATCCCAACTCTCCCGCCGAGCAGCGAGACGATGCCAAGCGAAACTTCCTAAAGACTATGCGAGCGCTGCCCACGCAGCATTACTGGAACGTCTACTTCGACCGCCAGGCAAAGGAGGGCGAGGGCGAGGGCGGTGACCAGTACCACTCTGGGCTTGAGCAGCTCGGTAACCAGATCGAGTCGGTCCAGGACTTTTGGAGATATGCAAACAACACTCCGGTTGGAAACATCGGCGTGCGCGAGTCGCTCTACCTCTTCAAGTCTGGCTTCCGACCTGTCTGGGAAGACCGACGCAATATCCTAGGTGGTAGCTGGACATTCCGTTTCCCTAAGAGCTTGGGCCCCGATGTTTGGACTCGTGTCCAGCTCCTTGCTATCGGCGAGAAGCTGCAGAGTGTTCTTGACGAAGGTATGAACTTCTCGACCCCCAGACCATGGCAAGCAAGTACTAACAGCTGTTGTCTAAGAGGATCAACTCTGTGGTGTTGGCCTTTCGGTCCGCTTCAACTCCCACCTGGTTACTGTCTGGCACCGCGACGCCTCTAAGAAGAACTCGGTCGAGAACATCGTCAAGTGCATCATGGAAGAACTCCCCCCAGAGATGCACCCCAAGCCCGACGCATACTACTACAAGCGACACTCTGACCACGCCGGCTTCAACCCTTCCCCCGAGCTCAAGGCTGTGCTTGATTCCCGACGACGCGAGGAGGAGAAGCTGGCCGCTGCGGCCAAGGATGGCAACCCGAAGCCGTCAGTGACAATCGACTCTCCGCAATGATTTACGAACGTTACGACATTTTGGTTTGATTTTACTGCAGATACAATTGGATCCATATAGTGTGAAGGTTATCAGCTCACACTCCCCGTCGCCAACGAGGGCATGCATCTGATGAGGCGTTTCAGAATTAGGTGACATTATACTATATACATTGGTCAGGACCGTTGATCCTGAGAAACCTAGTACATCTAAGATTGAGAAGAACTAAGACCAGTGAATGTACAAACCGCCTCCCCCTTTACTCCTGATGCAAATGCTGAATGACTACTGTGATGAAAATGCCAATTTTTCCAAAAAGAGCCCAACGCAATAAATTATGGTATACTTTCCGTACATGATGCCATGTAAAGTGCTACAGTATATGATTAGCCGTCCGCACCATGTCGTCAGGATCCATGGAAACCTTACCTCTCAAACTGCGACCACGCAACCTTGTTTCCTCTTCGCCTTGTGGTATGGACTTCCTAACTCCGTTGAATAGTTCGTTCCTTCATGAATCGTAGCGCGATCGCGCGGCTTATCGGAGAATCACCTCCACACACCAGCACCCTTCATGACTCCATCGAACTCTTCAACGCCCACGCCTCGAGCGACACCCACGCCGCCGTTGGCTTCGAGAATCATATCCTTAAGCAGCTCCTCATCCACATCCTCTTTCAGAACAGCTGCTACGCGCCGTAAATGCGCTAAAGTAATCGGTCCGTCCTGTCCATTCGTAAAGAGTCGAAAAGCCTCCTCGACCTCTGCACGGTGAGCATCAGAGTCGTGCTCTCTCGTGTGGAATTTGAGGGCGCAGATGGCGAAAAAGGGCTCAAAGGTTGCGTATCCGTCGTTTTCGGGGTCAAGAATAGAGATGAATTCTTTAAGCTCTGCATACGATGAGGGTGGAACGCCGAGAGCTCTAGGACAAAGATCTTTTTAGCTGAATTCCAGGAGTGTCTCCTGTAGCGCACTTACATGAGCGCGGACTTGACATCGTCAATAGGCAAAACACCATGCTTTTCCCCATCCATCGGCTCCGCAAATAGGCTGAACGCCTCGCGGATCTCAGCCTCCTCTTGCGGCGTGACGTTGTGCTCCTTTGCGAGTTTGGACTGTCGCGTTTTGGGCGCTGCGCTTCCGCTGGCGGCGGGTGCTTTGCGCTTTGGAGGCTGGAAGATATGTTAGAGACCATTATGCCATGGAAAGTATTGGCGACGCTTCTTACCATTTGCGCTTTGGTTGAATTAAGAGCTGTTACAGCGCGGTCGCAGTAGTTGATGTCACGACGAATTCTTGGTGGTGACGATAGTGGATTTGGCATAGCGTAAAGACAGTGTGCAAACGCCGTGCGATAGTAATATTGAAACTGTACGGGGTCCTTGAAGAACAAGCCTTTATTATTTTTATTCTGTTCGACTCAAACCATCGTCCTTCAACATTCCTTCTTCCACAGTCTCTTCAGCAGACTTCGAAACTGAAAATCGTCCGTTCGCGCTCCTTTGGAGAAGAATCAACGCGAAAGACTTACAAGGTTTGCTCACGTCTGCTATACAACCTACCGCGATCGACATACCGATTTTTTTCGTGATATTCATTCTTCTACAACAACATCCGCTTCTAAAAATGCTAGAGCTTGCCGCTTTGATGTACTACAGCGAGCAAGTGTGGACAGTGAAGCAAAATTAAAAAAAGCCTCGTCGGACAACTTCAAACCGGCGTGGTTCCAGCGGGTAGCAAACGGTGTCGTTGTCTTTGAAGACGGACACCTAGCGATCCATGGAGACACAATCAATAGAAGAGAACTATTTTTATGGTATCAACTTCAATTCAATCAATTATTCAATCGAATTCTCGCTCCCATATACGCCTCATGCTTGATGCCTTCTGCAACATCCCATCTTAAGTTGAATCAGCTGCTCATATCTTCGACACCGGATCCCTTGAAATGGTCAGAAATGGCAAAAGAGGGGTTGGCGCAGTGCTACTTACTCACTTGAAGTTGTTCTTCATCTCTCGCAACTTCGCCATAACTGCCACAGGCTCAGACTCGCCGGTCTGCTTCTGGATCTCGGGATCCTGCTTTTATTAGCATGACTCTTTCAACAGCGCTCCTAGCGGACAAACCTGAACTCTCATAAACACGTTGTGTTCCTGTGATAAGTTAGTCATATGTTCTTCGGCAGCTGCCATCAATGCGTTGACATACCTTCTCATCTCCAATTGTGAATTTGCCAGTGGTAATCTTGTTGTTTTCGGCAAACGAGTGAAGGTTCTGTACAGCGTCGCGTGAAGAAACAGATGCCGCGAACTTGACGTTGGCCTTGGTGTACTCGTGTCCAGGCTGGAATAATGTCAGCAACTGCGTCTCTCTAAAAACTTAGCACATGACATACATAGACAACAGTGTCATCAGGCAACGCTGCGAGACGCTTGTTCAAGGCCTCGTGCATCTCCTCGGCGTTGCCTTCGAAGAATCGACCACATCCTGGTCATTATTGTCAGTTTCAACCCCAATCTCTGAGCATCAAGGGCTTGCTTGAACATACCTCCAATGAACAAAGTGTCGCCGGTAAAGACGGCCTTGTCGTTCCCGTCTTGGGCAAAGAAGCAGATGCTGTCCTGGGTATGGCACGGCGTGTGCACACCCTTGAAAGTGATGTCGCCCAACTTGAAGGTCTCGCCGTGGCCAGGCGTCTTGGTCACACCTTCGCAGTCCTTGCCGCCGATGATGTCCAGCTTGGGGTTACCGAGTTCGGCAAGCTTGGGAAGTCAGTGAATATTCATAACTTAGTAGTTATAGTGGCGTCCTACCAGCTTCTTGTTGCCTCCGGCATGATCCCAATGGCAGTAGGGAAGTCAGCTATGTCCATTCGGCTGCGGTTAAGGTGCAGGTGCAGTACTTACTGATGGGTGTTGACAATGGCTGTCAGGTTGACCTTGCCTGCCTGAATAGCATCCTTCAGAACTGGTGCAACCCTGTGAGTTATTAGTTGACAAACTTCCATAAGCTCATCGAATGTTGCGGTCATACTCTGGGGGGTTTGCAGGATCAACAATGACGGCGTCCTTGGACTTGTCGTCAACTACCAAGTAGGCATAGTTGTTGGAGCTTCCCTCCCCTGTTGATGTCAATTTTGTTATCCAATCCGAAATACCATTCTCCCGGTGAAGTATCAGAACTATTCACATACACATAGGAATCGACTGGATATGCATGGCGCGAGATGCAACGAGCTATACTGTCTTAGTTATGTCCGCTTCAAAGTCGGGCGATGGATAGACTTACAGCAGATGATAGATATCCAATTTTCTGTTTAAGAAATGGTCGGCTTGCTGCGATTCTATACATAGGCCTGTAGCTGGATGTCGAATTGAAAGTGGATGTATCGTTGGAAGGATATCGAATGAGCTGCGAGGTTTTGTAATGGATCCTATCAATCAAGGCAAGGTCCAGAGGTACATATATCATGGCTCCCCGCCGCTATCATGACGTTTGCCGATGCGAGTGAGTGCACGTGATACGAGGCTGGTCTTCCGCTTCAACATCAAGATCATCAATCAACTGAATTGGTCTCTGGGATATCATTTGTAAAATCAATTAATCTGGGTATCAAGTATCTCAAACAATCTCTCCATCACTAGACCATTCCAATTGGTTTGGGTTTCCAAGTGCCTTGAAACTGTGTCCAACCAAAGTCGTCCTCCTCACTGCTAGCATCGAGTTTATGATCTCTCATCATGGTGTCCATAACATCAGGCTCCGCCAAGTTCCTCTCTTCCTGGGCACTCTGTAGCCGCTGTGTCAACTCTGCACATTTGAGGAACACCTGGTTTCCCGGCAGGGTACCTTTGACTTCTTGAAGCGTCTTAAGCACACGCTCCTTCGGCCAGCGTTCGAACTCATCAGCTATAGCTCCTAATTTTGCGTTGTCTCCTTCTCGAAGATACCGCATCACCACCATACGGCACGGGTCGCTGCTGTCCTCATCTAGCTGCTTCCAATAGTAATCCCAAATCCACAACAATGCCTTTTTGGCCGCTGTGCGTAGCTTTGCTAACGAGGGCAGTTGCTCGTGTGTGGACTGATGGCGTAGCTCAACAAATGTGGCAGGTAAACCTATAATCTTTGCGATTGTGTACATGCTCTGCTTGCGCTGCTTTTCCTGGTGACCATCGACAAGGCCAGTGACAAATCTAACAAGATATCAATCAGTCTGCCGCACATGATGGTTTTGGGATCATGACACTCACCTACTAAATGCAGCTGAATACGCTGCTCGGATAGCGTATGCTGAAGAGGCTGCATTTCCGCCAGAAGATGCCTCCCGATCACTCAATAAAGCTGCCATTAAAATCGCCGTGGATTCGACCATGTGAGGACAATTTCCTCGCTGCATCCACATTGATACACGCGCAACGGCTTGGTGCTGTCGTGCCCGAGTCTCCTTATCGTCTATAGCCTGACGCATCTGCAGATTCTCTCCATCGCTAGACTGATTGGCGTCAGGTCCCAGCTTCCGCTTTAGATCTTGGGCGTTGGTGGTGACGATGCCTGTGTACATCTGTTCACGTACGAGCAACAGTTCGTAGCGGTCGCGCCATGGCGTAAAGACGTATTGGACCATTTTACAGGGTTAATCTTGATCTTCGACTTTTAGAGGATTCCTTGTGGTGCTTTGGGCGGAATTGGGGAGTGAGGTGAGTTTTTTTGGTGATGCTGAGGGAGCTTTGAATGCAAGCCTGGTCTGGATGCCAGGATGAAAATTATTTTCCAGCGTCTGAAAGCGGTCACCAACTGCTACAGTGATAACGACTTGCCACAACAACGATTCGCATACCATACATTGTTATTGATGAAAGAACCATGATAAACTTTGAACACAGACTCGCAAGGGTGAAAATCCATATCCAATCTCTGGGATATGGCAACATTGAATGCATTCGCATGGGAGTGATCAGTACTGAGTGGGTTTGGAGGCAATGGATGGATACTGGCAATGGCTGACGAAAAGGTACTAATACAGCACATTCCATAATATCATCTTGGTATCTAATATGTAACAGCAGCTTGACATTGCCAAGTCACACTCTGATTTCAGAAGTATTAATGATTGTAAATGATACTTCTGACGCTAAATTTGCAAACCTGTATCGGTACTCCATGACAAGCAATACCAACCAAACCCAATACATACAGTAATTATCACAGACTTCACACCATACATGATGAGAGTTACTGTACAGGTAAGGTAGGTACGTAATTATCAAGTATTAAAGATTGACGACTTGTCATATTCATTTGCTCTCAAGGTTGTTGTTGACGTTGGCCGGCCCATCCCATTTGACGGAGCTTCCCTTCAACTCTCATCATCTATGATCTCTATTCTCTAGCATCCTGGTAAACTTAATACTGCAACTTGGACTTGGCCGAAATTTCTAGTCAAAGTCAGAATGAAATATCTCAATGTGGATAAACATGAACAACTATGCGTAGACCTTGATCTCATCAGAACTAAGTTTTTGGGTCTTTTGATTAGAAAAGGCAAGATCTTCGAATCCCAGAGATCCAATGCCTATGTATGATTCTTACACCACACACTTTTTACTTTAACAAGCCGTCAATCATCATGGCCTCAGAACTTCTTGACCATGTTCTTCTTCTCACGAATTGCGGGGCCAGCAGCCACTTCCTCGCTTGCCAGCCACAGCCGACCCTGAAAAGTAAATAGGTACGTAATGCCGCAAGAACAGTGGAGCTGTACCGTGTAGCGCCTAAGTCTGGGTTTGCACGCCGCCGCACAGGGCTGGCTGCAGGTGGTTAGTGCGTTAGGTGGAAAGCAAACCAATCAAAAGCTACGAAAGAGAGACCATCAGCACGGACCGACTGGATGCCACATGTCGGGCAGGGATTAGCGTACCTACCTACTGAATCAAACGTTGAGAACGAGACGCGGCTCGTTATTGGCCCGCTCTTCGTACCTACTGTACCTGCCTCTTTTTTCACATCGGAACGCAGGCTTCTAATCTCGTCATGTCACTGGGAACTCATCTGAGGCTCTCTTGTATTTGATTGATCTTCCATTTGAGTAAGAATCGTATGGCTACCTGAGCCAGTACTTACATCTCCCTATCTTGTGCTCTTGCACGGGGTATCCATAGCTAGTTTCTATACATGTTGAAATCAAATCGCTTAATCCATGCCTGTTTTCCCCAAATCAAGACTCCATGCTGTTGTCTCCGAGACCCTGTATCCTCTTTCTTTAACGAACAGATGGAGAACAAAAGCTGACTTGTCCTGCCGCCGTAATACCATATTCGTACAAGTTTAATGTCGTGATTCATGTTCTCCGTTGCGGGCATTGCGTTGTATCGCATTACTCCTCGTCATCCTTGTCCTCCTCATCATCATCCTCCTCCTCCTCGTCATCCTCATCCTCATCCTCGGATTTGGGAGGTTCCCATGTCTCTTCAAGTTTCAGGCCCTTACCGCTGGGCTCATGACTTCTGAATGAAGATCCAAGCAGAGATGATACGGTGGATCGGTAATTGTCCAATTGTGGATCTTCGTTGAACTTTTCTGGGGCATCGTAGAGACCCATACCAACCAGAATCTCACCCTCTTCTTCTGAAGCGTCTTCGAGTGCCTGGTATTGGATATCCTCAGACACAGCTGGCTGGGAGAGATGACTCTGGGGGAGCGTCTCTGGTGTTGGGGGTGTTGTTGCGCCAAAGCCATGCATAATGAAGTTGTTCCAGTCCCATCCGTTGTTGTAGCTGGTGTCGGCAGGAGCAGAGGTAGCCGGCATTGAACGGGTATCCGCCGTGAAAGAAGCAGCTGGTGAATGGTGCGAGATACCAGCCCCTGGGTAAGCGTTGTACGGCATGTTGTCGGCATGCTGATATGGTAGTGGCAGATGGGGGAAGGCAAGAGGGGATGTGCCGCAAGAGGTTGAGCCCATCATAGGTGAGTAGTGAGAGAAGTTTCCATATAGATCGTGTTGATCAGCAGGTGTGTAACTTGGAGTCAAGGCATGCATGTGCTGCTGTGTTGAAGCTTGACCATAGGAACTTGGGTGCCAGCTCAAGGGACGCGACGATCGTTGAGTGTGCTGCTGTGACTCAACATCGTAAAACGAAGATAGCTGATCCATTATTTGTTGCTGTCGTCGTTGAGAGTTGCCGTCGTTCATGAGAGTCTTGCGTCGAGCCATGAGGCCTGATGATCGAGGACTATTGCTGGCACTTGAGGGTTTGGTGATTCTTGTAGAGTTTCCTCCAGAACGCTGTCCGTTGGAGCCTCGTGAAAATCTCCTTGATGTTTGAGAACATGCCATTTGCTGTGCGTGGTCGTCTAGCATCACGTCGTGAGGATATGTGACGGGCAGAGGGCCTGCTGGTTGCACACCGAAGAGTGGGTGCATCATCTTGAGGTAGGTATCCAAAGGTAAATCTGTAAAACTTGCGGAAGGATTTAGTGTTGGTTGAAAAAGACCTTCAATAAAGATTGTTATCGTTCTCAAACTTGCGTTGGGTTGTTGATATGTGAACAAGAGACCTGAGGGACCAACTTCATTATGTATCGTCGAGTGGATGTACAGTACAATCCCCAAGGGGGTTCAAGGGAGTACGAAACATGGGGCAATCGATGGCTTGGGAATAAATCGAGCCTAGTAACTTCAACAAGATCAACTCTCCAGGGATCTGGGTGTGGACCGGGAGGGACCAAGCAAAAGAAGAAGCATGGACGATTTAGTACCAACTGGCTACAAAACGCAGAACTACGAGTGTCGACGAATCAGCATTGAGTGTGTCGGGGTACTTGACAAGGTTCACTCACCAGAACTGGACCTGATGTTCTCGTTCCTGTGCTAGGATTGTCAATTTCTAGCATGGCAGCTGAAGTGGTGGCCTGCGTCATACGGGCCGGCAGGGGGTGTCTCAGCAGGCGGAGCTCAAGGCAGTGAAAGGTAGGCGGGAAGTAGTGCCGGAGCGAGAACTAGGCCACTGTTCTGGGGATTAAGACAACGCCCATGTATGGTGAGATCCAGTGTCAGAGTGTTTAGACACAAGACCTCTGTTCTGTGCGAGGGTGTGTGGGTTGGGATTTTGGACGAGACAGGAATACAAAAGGTACTCACGCCAATTCTCTCGGTGCTACGCTAATCTTGGCGTGGTACCGACAAGGCGAACAAGAAAGCAGAGTCTTGATGGTTATGGTAATAACATAACGATGGAGTCTTCCGCAACTATGATTGCGATGCAGCCATGAGCACAGAGTCTTCAGGAAGTGGGCATCATCGGTCGTCTGGACTCCAGAATATTCACCCCTGCCACTAAGGATGCAACTCACATGGAGTAGTGAACAATAGAAGGGATGGAGAAGAATTGGGCTCACGGCCCGGAGTCGTGATAAATCGTGGAGCAGTGCATTTGCAGCCAGTCTTTGGTCAAGATTCACGTACTGCTTCACCGAAAGGGGGTGGGGAAAAGGCGAGGGGTGTGTCAAGCCTACAGAGCGGCGCCACAATGTATGCATCCCTGGGGCCCGAGTTAGGCTGGGGACCTCAACTAGGAAGCGCCGCGCCCAGGCCAAAGGATGGGACATTTCCTTGTTGCTAAATGTGCCACTCGGGAAGGGTCTCAAATCTCATCAAGACGGGATGCGCATCACCGCTTTGGTCTGGCATGCTTCTGGGTAGTCACTCCACACACCCCTGCTGTAGAAGACGTAATTCCCATTTCTCGGCCCCGTGGTAACGTTGGAAGCGGGTTGAGACAGGGTGTTGTACAAATATGGCGTTGTCCTAAAAGAAACAATCATATCTGATCGACAGGCGCTTGGGGATGATGGTAGACCATGTTTGCGATGAGTTTTGAATCCTCATCAACACTGAGGTAGGACACCGGTGAAAACGGCTCAGTACCCACTTCTCAGTGTGTATTTTCGTGCTTGACTTGGTGATCCCCAAGCTTTTTCTCAAACGATTGTTCACTTCAGTAACAACAGCCTGCTTTTCAAAGTAAGCACTCGGTAAGGACCGATGGTTGAGTTCAGAAAACCCAACAATCTGGCCTCCCGTACGGAGTACTTGGCAGTGATATCCGTGACCCGAAAGTATGAACCAGGCGAGTTATCTGTCAGGGTTCGAGGGCGCAGCCAAACTCCATCCAACGTCGACCTCGCAGGCATTTCGCAGTCCAGGCTAGATGGGGATTCCCTCAAGGCCATCTCAAATATTGTTATGTGGAACCGCATCTGTTCCAAATAAGGGTGGGAACGGCGTTTCCTGATAACTAACGCGTGGCTGGTCGACATTGCATCGTGCATACTCTGACTGTAAATACAGTATGTACCATAGTATGCGCATGTACAGCAACAACCCATCTAAACCAGGTCGGTACGCAGGCGTTAGTGTGCTTAAGCTATTTCTCTGTATAGTTGGCGAGCGATGCTTCCAATCTTTGGCGGTGTGTGTGCCGTTGGTGGGAATCCTTGGTGGCAAGAACACCACTACAAGGGCGCAAGGACGTTTGGACGCGGGTACTGGAGACATAGCCGTCGCGCAATTTGCTCCATAAGGTAAGGTACCGAGTACGAGCTGTTAGCCGCAGGGTTGAAACTGGAGACTTCAAGTCGAACACAGGTTGGTTGATGAGAAACACTCGTGGATTAGGGAGGTGATAGTTGACGTGGACCATCGGCGGGCACTGTTCGATAGTGCTTTGAGTACCCTGGATGGGTATCAATCTCAGGAAGGAACGAAATGAGGTGAGTCAACTATCTTAGGCAGGCGTCTTCAGGTGATGGGCGGGCCTGAGCGGCGGCGGGCAATGAGGGGAGGGGACGGAAGGTGCAAGTGTGCAAGTTGCAGTGACTCGCTTGGTATCCGTAAACTGAAGACGCAGCTTCCACATGTGTGCTCCATATGCGACCTGCCTACTGGTCCGCCCTTGGCTTCGCTGGGTATTCTGAGAATGGAAAGTGCGGAAATCACCACATCGGATAGGCGCCCTCACTTGGCTGTCGAGACTCGAGCATTGTCAACTCACTCATCAGCCAAGTGCCAAGTTGCCATTTTCCTCTCCTCCACTCAGGGGTTGCAAAACCGACGACCGATTTCCCAGACGGGTAAACACTGGAGGGTCACCCCGTGCTAATTAGCTGCAGTACGTACCACTTCCTCTCACAGGCAAAGTCAAGCAGGTAGGGAGCCAGGGTGTCGCTGGTCTCTTTAGGTTCCCTGTCGCCTGTGCAGCGCCAGCGCCAGCACAACTTCAGCAAGTGGGCTGCCTGTCGGGCATGGGATTTGGCTTTGTCTGCACCTGTGTTAGTGGAACTCGTGCTCTCTGTAGGCTGCCACGTCGTCTAACGACTCACTTCCGAAACCGAAACACGGGTCTGTCGGTACACACGCTAGGCTATTCTGCATGCTTGTATGGTATGTTGCATGTCTATCCCAGGTAAGTTGGTGTCCGCAGATATTGCTTCTGAGGTTATGTGTAAGGTTTACAGGAGGTCTTGAGACAAGGTGGTCAAGTTCAATTCCAAGCCGCTTGGAAAGTACTAGCTAACCTTGTACTGTGCACTCATAGATTATAATGCAACATTGTTGTTTGTGGTCCTTTTCCAACTCAAACTGGGATAGGGAATTTGGGCTCTCCGAAGGTTCCCATCCTTGGAAGCGAACGATTTGCAAGTACATCATCAATGAACTGTCCGAACTCGGTACAAAATGCGATAGTATCGACCTGTTATCTCGTTCCTGCTCTGTCACTTCCCTTGTCTCATCTCCCTACCCCTCCGCTGAAGGGAACGTCAACGAATCATCAGGTTCATGCTGCAGCACAGCAAATTTTTGCTTGGGCTGGTTCTTTACGAGGATAATCCCCACCTGCATAGTTTCATTGCTGACCACGACCATGAGATGAGTTCTGTGGAGCCGCACAACACATGCGCTGGTTCTGGATGGCCCCTCTGAACCTAGCCGCTTTTCGGTGTTGGAAAGCGACGCGCTCCCTCAAAAGATCTGGGCGTCTCACCGTACGTCCAGGACCTAGCCAGCTAGCCCACCATGAAGGGTTACAGAGGGATCAGCTGGGGGCCGCCAGTGGATGATATTGCTTGACCATGGGTTTTCAACTGCCTTGATCGTCCACTGAATCAGTCACCTCACCAAGCAAGGGCTAGAATTGCGCGCCACCTACATGCTCCCTGCAAATCTTAGGTGGAGATGGGGAACGAAAGCGTGCCGCCTCGATGGATCTTTTTTTTTTTTTTTTAACTTTCCAAATCTCAAGTATTATGATCCTAGTGAATCCTAGAGCCTACGGTGTGCAGGGAAGGACATCGCTAACCGTTTCGCTCCGTTCAAGTGGTGATACGAGGCGATCTATGCGTTGGTATGAGAACATGTCGATGCCATGCATTACACACAGAGTACCTTGGTACCTACATACTGTATGTACCGTCACCAGTTGCCGGCTCTACATGCTGATGATACATAATACGAACTCGGAGCTATCATAGAGTTCAGCACCTCTTCAACAACAGCTGTTATGGCGCTTCCTAATAACGATCCTCCTCGGCATAACACAGACGGTAGATGGATTGGCTATTTTTGCTTTGAATGCCCTGGCTTGTGGTTGTGATGGCTTGCTTAACACTAGTCCGATTTAACAGGGGTGTCGGAATACTTAGCCAATCCAACCAATCTCTGGCTCAACCCATCTTGAAACTTCGATGGACTGTGCCCTGAACATCGGTCTATTTCAGGTAAATATAACAGTTTAAACCTCACGGCTTGAGAGTTGGGACCTGGGAGCCTAGGACTCGACTCGCCTATGGACCTTGAGCCATGTCCCACCAGATAGGCAGGGACAAATGATATTTTATTCGTTCCTTTCAGCACCTACGAAGACCAAAGGGATCACGCATTGACTAACATATCTGCTCAGACCTTCCATTTTCCGAACGCTGTCAAGGCCTCAAACTCAAGGGGCTCCCAAGATATTCATTGGCTACAGTCTTATTTAACCAAGTTGCCAGCATTATCGGCGTCAATGTGTTGTTTTCTTCTCGAGTCACGAAAGTGCAGCCACTGTCGTGTGATGACTCTCATAAACTTTTGCAAAAACGGTACCTGATTACCAACATAACGCGGCGACACTGTGCTGTGCTCTGGCCTAAGCCCCTGGTTATGTACCACAGCTTGTGTCGGCTGCATCTTAAATCACATTTGCCTATCAAGGCTGACGAAGCCGTCAAAATGCGTCATTCGAAAACAACCGTCTGTGTAACCGATCAGCCTCTGCCCTCCGATAACTGCCTCTGCATAGTAGAGAACTCAGTGCTCAATCAGTTTGCTTCGTCCTCATTTGAGCTGCTTGTGCGGGCCTAGAACCGGGTCTGTCCAACAAGCGTAGC